AGATATTTAATATATCGAGGAATGGAACCAGCTCCTTTGAAGGTAGTTTCCAAAGGACTTCATCCTCTAATTGGTATGTACCTAAAATTTTATTTCTTCTGTGGCCTAGTGCATTACAGTTGGTGATCAGATGATCCATAGACTCTTCCTCATCACAGCAAATATTAACAGTGCTACTTTAAGGTAAGAAAAGAACACTGTGAGTATTGTTACATGAACGTCTTATGTCCAAGTTTAATACAGATCCACTATCATATGAAGACTACTTAGTATATATATACATTTTAACTAATATTTTAAAATAACAAATTGGAATATTCAATATTATATATTCAATCTGCTCAAATTGTCAAAAATCATAATTTTTATCAAAAATTAAACATATTTGTTCATTTTATTCTCTTTTTAATTTGCAGGAAGGTGTAATTGATTATACTATTGTGTACATCTACTATCTACATCTACAAAAAATACTACAATAGACTATTCTTTAATATACATCTATTTTGTTAAAAGGCTTGGAGATATTTAGCTTGCTAAGTACTCTTCCGTCTATCATTAATTACTAGCATAAGATTTCGTTCATTGACTTTATATGGACCAATGGCTGTTATCTATTCACTATTCATTACAAAGCTGGCTTGCAAGAGGCATTAAAGTTTCACAAGGAGACTTTTGATGCGTTCTATCAATCATAAACAAACTGTACTATTGCATTTATGTCCCGCTGCAGGTCCTTAGTGCACGGTTATTTCTTGAGAAACAATACGAACAACATTGTTTGAAGATTTCATTGAAAATATATTATTAATTGTTATTCTATTTAAAATTTAAATACACAACTAATTCGATATGTCTACAAAATAAATCTTAAATCATTTTAATTTTTTTATTTCTTTAAATTTTGATTCAGACGTTTAAAATTCAAATTCAGTCTGTACATTGTACATGTGCGTGATTTTAAACAAGTTTGATGGCAATAAAAATTTAAACACGAGATTTGAGATACTTTATTTGCAAATAAAAATAAAAATAAAAATAAAAATAAAAATATTAACAGTTTGTATATATATATAAAAAATAAATTATAATAAAGTAGAAGATACTAAATGCAAAAAATTTTGTTCGTTAGCCCTTCGTAATTCAAGAAAACTTAACGATAATTTTCAACAAACCGTTTACATGCAAATTGAATTTAATTAACCTTTTTATATAGATTCCATAGATTCTATATAAAACTTCATTAGGATTAACAGTTAATAAACCATAAGAAAAACGATATTACAAACCTCATTTGACGATAAAAAAAATGTCGTGTTTCTAATTAGGCGCGTGAAATAATCCTAAACCTGCTCTGCAATTAACACAAATTCTTCAAAGATTTAAAAATTGATGAAAAAACAACGCAAAAACTTCATTAAATATCTGTTAACAATAAATTTGCAGACTTATTATAATTAATTTATTAATAAAACTTAGCAAAATGAATTATTTAAATAGTCTGCACAACTCATCGAACATTTATTGCGTCAAAAACTTCAGACTTACCAATTAGTAATTATCAATCAGATAAAGATTTTAAAGAAGTTTATCTATTAATAAAACCAAACTACGATCATTGGCTTTTTTTCGGTTGCACCAGCAGTAACGCTAAAATATAAAAAAATGCCAACAGCAATAAAAAATCGACGGAATTGCTTAGCGTCACAAGAGAGAATATCTATAAGACCGTGACTTGCCTAAAGTCGTGGTTACTGGTTATTTGGCAGATAAGCTTTCAGGAAAGGAATCTTCCCTTTTTATGAGTACTGTAATGTAGAAATTGTACTGTACTGACGAAAAAGCACAATTCTTCTGTAGTGGGTAGCTCCAAGCTAGAAGCAGAGCTAGGTACTTAGGATATTATGCTCTCAGCTCTCTCAAGCATGTATTGGTTCCAAAATTAATAGCAGTTAATGTCCCGTTTTAATCAGTGGTAGGCATTCATAAGGTCTTAATAAGTTAGTCAACTAGATTGACAGCCTCAATAGCGTAATCTTACTTAACAAAAAAATGACAAGCATTTCACAAAAAAATTCGATAGAAAATCTTTGTAAAAGACGAAGATGTAAAAAGGCATCTTCGTACTTCTGATCATTCTTTTATGAAATGAAATATTACCTAAAAACGTTCCTTAATTATTGAAAAACATACAAATTAGAAAGTATGTGTAACAGAAGTACCAAACTTACAGTACAATTGACTTCTGGTATCTGCTTCAACATTAGATAGTTATTCTGTAAGAGTAATGGGTTTTGTTTAATAAAGCAAATCATTTAATTTCGTTTTAAATAATAATCGTTTTAAAAATTTTTTTAAATTCGTGCTAACAGGATTGCGTGCAATATTTTTCAATTACTTTATTTAAAATTATATAATAGCTACATCAGTGGTTTGAAATTAGATCTACTCTTCTTATTTGTTGGCACCCTATAGCCTACATGACACTACTAAATACATACATATATAAATGTTTTTTCTGTACTGAACACTTCTATATAAAACACTAAGAAATTGGTTTCATTTTTAATCGTCAACATTTTTTCACTTAAATCCTTGTAGAGTAAAGTCATAAATATCAAATAATTTTCAAATATTAATTGTTTATATATAGCATAATAATATAATATAAAAATAAAAATTTGCAGAACTGACTGTAGAGGATAATTTCAGTTTTAAATTGGTTTGAGATTTTTCGACTTAAACAATTTAAAATAATGTTTGCATGGTCAAATTCATGGGCCAAACATTGTGGTTAAATTAATAAATAAATGCTTATATGACAAAAAATTTAAAGGGGCTTGTTGATTTTATTGCTAATTTAATAAATTTGAATATTGCTAGTGCCTCAATAACGTGATGGGGTTAATCTATGACAACTTAACCATAATTGAGGACAATATTGCGTTATATCAAAATTCGCGAAATTTAAAAAAAAAGTCTTTGTATTACTGGTCCAACTTTAAAAAAAAATAATTTCTTTAAAATTGTTTTTATACTACTTTATTTTTAGGTTTTTTTTCAACTAACCTAAACTATAAAATCAACCTTGAATTATAATTATAATATTTTTCAAATATTTAAGCGATTGTAAATATACTTATTAAATATAATTAATTTTAGTCTCTAAATAATATCTTAATATAATAATGTATTACCTATATAGTTATTTTTTTTTACTGATTCCAGTTATCAATTTCTTGATATAAAATGTTATCAAAATTCTAAGCTAAGCTAATTAAATTATGATACGTAGTCTTTATAGTACTAGTTCAATCATTGAACCAATTCCAAAAACGTTCAAGCGTTATGATAAAAATTATTATAAAAATAATAAACACAATGCAATTATTGTTGCAGTCACTAACTTTATTATTAAACCATAAAGTTATATTTGAATTTTGCATTGAACATATTTAATAAGATATATCAAAAGATATAACTAGATTCTGTAAGACATAGTTGGTTTATGTCAGACCTAATTGATTTTGTGTAAACATAATTAATTTGTAAATAGAACAAAGTTTAAAAAAAACAAAAACAATATTTTACGCTTTGTTACACGCTTAAATAATAAATCAAAAAGACAATACAATCTTAAACACATATTTAATAAAACAGTGCTATTTTAATTCATTATAATAAGTCAACACAAATTCATAATACCAACTTAAGCAACTAATAAATTGAAGGGAATAATTGAGAATTTTATATAAAACAAAAAAAAAACCTTTTTATTTAATTTATGAATTCAAAAATTTATAAGAAAAAAAACTTTGTAAAATTTATTATAGCCTTAATTTTTTCTTTCAGAGTAGCAAAAAAATACTCGCATCTTACGAAAGAAAGCACGTGAATCAACAATAATACTCTTAAAATCTTCAGAGTTAGGTTTTCTTTACAAAAAATTTTACGTCTGAAGTTTTGGTGCAGCCAAACTCAAAAATCACTCTATTGTGAATGTTCACTGGAAATATATTGCAAAATTATATTTATTCGTTAAAATCATATGAGCAGAAATAATAACAAATTGCAATATATCAAAACAATAAGATAAAAAATGCTTATCATTGTTTTTGTATTATTGATATTGTTTTCTTTTATTTAAATTAATTAATTTTTAGTGTTTATAATTTTTATATTTCATACTGTACACAACACAAGAAAAAATAGATGTCAAAAAAGTATTTAACATATTTTAAATGTGATGCCAATTTGTTTCAACCAGACCAACGTTGTTTTTTCACAACTCTGAATTAAACAATTACTATGGCTATGTTTAAGCTCATTTATTAGATTTCCTAAATACTTCCTTAAATTTATCATAAATATCTAATTTAATTAGAGTTACAAAATATCAAAACACTTTGTTGTAATAATCATATACTCGACTTATTTTCGATTCTTATAAACTTTTAATATTTAGTTATTTATCAAACAGATCTACAATTTCTTATTGTAGGCATCGGCTACTTATTTTTCTGACTTAAGTACTCAAGATAGAGATAGATAGATCAAGTTAGAGAGTTTCTGTTAAGTAATATAATGACTACCGTTATAACTAATATTAAAATCAAATTTAAAATTGTGGGAATGAAATTTAAAAGCAAAAATATATTGCACTTTTATTATTTATTTACATCTTTAAATATTATTTTAACTTATATTACAAAAATGATGAGACTAAAAAGTAACATCACAGTTTAACAACAGTTGTGTGAAATCTTTTATTTTATATGTGTATAGATGTCTAAGGATAAATGCGTACTCAGTTTACCGCCACATTTTTAAAATTATTTACACTTTATATAAATTAAGCCTCAAATAGCAACAATTGCAGAATTAGAACTAATTGTTTAAATTACAACGAAGTTTTAATTGCGATCTGGTAGCGCTTTGAGATATGTTTTCTTCTTTTGCTTTTTACGTTTAACAACACTTTTATTACATGTTGCTAAAAACATGTGTAAACCCGGCGCTTGATTTAATTTTTTGCAATGCAAACAAATACAAAATATACAAATATTTTTGATTATATTTTTTAAAAACAAATGGAGCATTGCAAGGAATTCGACGATATTAAGACAGTGTTAACTTACTGCAATAATAATGTACAAAAATATGTCAACCTTGGTTTTCGAAGTGGTAAGAATTCAATATATAGTTAATTAGAATATAATATTAAGTATTTTCCATTTAATAATAAAGGTAATGACAGAATTGTGAACGAAATCAGTAAACGCATACAGGATGTACTTCTCGAACAACATCACTTATCGAAAGCCTTGGAGCCATTACCAAAATCTTATACTGTCCTACGTAAAGTACTATTGTTTTTGGTGCTTAATTCAGATATCCCACGTAAATCTGAGTGTGACATATTTAAAAACTTAGCACATGTAAGTGATTTGTGCCCATTATTGCCGAAATTTTTGTTAATAGCTATAATATGGGAACTAAAATTGGATAACTTTCTTTACGAATTAATTTCGTACACTCCTTGTTGGTTTACGTATCCATTAATAGAAATTATTTTAGAGTCATTAAGGTACATTGATGATGTATGTGAAGTATTGGAAAAAGGTGAACATGTCATACGTGCTATGTACAATAGTCTTACCAACACAATAAATTATGCATGTGACCAGAAGGCTACAGTGAAAATAAATAGTCAGTTTTACGAATTAATAACAAGAATACTACAAAGAATTTTTAGCCCACCAGACAATGAAAATATAAAACGGAAGAAAGCTAATGCCCGTAAATCAGGATATTTAGTTAAGCACATAATAAATTTAATCAGTTTTGCTTACAATGCGCACTGCAATCCAGACTCCTGTATGCCAAATAAAGACATAGATTTTTATGATAGATTTCTACATGTAAATTTGGCTGAAGGCGATGCTGATGATAGAAAGGAAGTTGAAAAAAACGTACAGGAACTGCAGTCGATGGTTATTACAGCTTTGCTCAACACTTTGGAAATAAATGTAATAGAGGTAAATATTGATACATATATGTACTGGGCCGAAATCGATGTACCTAATGACGAACACTTGCAAGCTGAAGTAGGCAAACTAGCTTATGATATGAAGGAAAATTTAAAAACCTCAAATTTCATTGAACATAATGTTTTTGAAAAAATTGACTTTATGGTCAATCGTCCCGTTAGCTTAGAAGAAGACTTAAATAACGCCGCAATTAATGATGAACTGCAAAATGCGGAACGTAATACTACCAATGAAATTAAGAATGAAGTAAAGTTGGATGAAATTAATGATGAACTGCAAAATGCGGAATGTAATACTAACAATGAAATTAAGAATGAAGTGAACTTGGTTGAAATTAATGACGAAATGCAAAATGCGGAATGTAAAACTAACAATGAAGTTAAGAATGAAGTGAACTTGGATGAAATTTTGAAAAAAGCAACAATTAATGATATACTGCAAAATTTAGAAGGTAATAAAGCTTATGAAATTAAGAAATCTTGGTTCGAGGAACTCTTTAATAGATCTTCTATTGCATTTGGCAACGATGAATGCATTGACGCAATCAAAATGAATCTTAAATTGATGAGCACAGAAAAATGTAAAGCTATTCTGGATTTTATTAAAGATGATTTAAAACGTAGCCAAGAAGAACAAATTGTATGTGAATTAAATGATTACATGGATTTGGATACAGAGAACTATGAAGAGTTGGGAACTATTATATTGCGAACGTTGCGCAATTTAAGCAATGATTCAATAATAGAACTGCTCATTTATCAACGCCAACTGTTTGGCGAAAATGCGAATATTTGTTGTCAAAATGACGATTTTCATTTGCGTTCCATGCAATTTTTTAAAGAAAACTTTGATTTTCAGAAATTTCTTATACTGTGCTTTGAAAATCCAGCAAAAGTGTGGAGTATGTTTATCGATTGGTCGTTCCGCAATATTGCTCATATCAACAGCTTCTGTACAACCGTAAAAAAAACAAGTCCTTTCTTAACTGAATATCTGGAAAATCATTTTAATGAAACTCTACTTGATCCAGACAAAGTAAAACAAACACATTTTCCCACTTTACTTTCCCAAATTTATATCGAACTGTATTACCCTGACCGTAAGTTGGACTTTTTTAAACACATAAACAACTTTGTACCAAAATGTTTGGAAGATAAAGATTTTGAAGCATTGCTTCCATTTATAAATGCGCTTAAAAAAATCGGGATGCATGGAAAAACCTCAAACCCTGAGCTATTTAATTTTGAAGATATAACTCCTCCAGTATTACTAATGATAGGACTAATTTTGGATGTAACACGTTGGGACTTAATCACTTACTCAGATGCCCGTTATAATGTTGCAGAGGAGTGCATCAGTTTAATTAATGGAACTGCAGAAACATTTGTACCAATACTTACTGAAAAAGGTATGAAGTTTTTTTTTTTTCAAATATTAATTATTACTATAAAAATATTTAAAAACATAAATTTATTTACAGAACGAAAGTGGATTTCTGAAGGAATTGCTAAGAACTCTTTTCGTCTCCTCACTCAGTTCTATTTTCAAAAGTATATACTATTAAAAGACCAATCGCCACTTAATTTTCATGAGTTTGTGATACCAGAATCACCAGCAAACACTGAAGAAGCATACATTGCTCTGCTTTATGTAAGTTAGTTATGTATTGAAGAATGAAGTAAATATAATATTAATAAATATATTTCAGCATTACGTGCGCTGTACAAAAAGTGAAATGATGCAATTAATGCACAATAAACTGCTTTTAACAAATTTAACACAATGTACACTTAAACTTGGCAGAATTGTTGAAGAGAAAGAACATCTAAATGCCCTAGACAACTACGTTAATTGCATCGCCATATATGCGGATATTGTACAGAAGATAGTATTAGTAGAACACGAAGAGGACAAGAATGAATTGCGAAAAATATTAATAGATTTGTTTAAAGTAATAGAATCTACACCGGATGCGGTTTATGAAACAGTTTTTTTAAATTTGCTAGATTTACTAACAAAAACTGCAAAGCATTGTATACCTTTAGATCAAGCTGAACGTAAAAATTTGTTACAGACTATCGTTGATTTAAGGGACTGTAATGCTAAGACATTGTTTCTAAACAAGTTCGAAACTTTATCACTAGAACATAATAAGTAAACTAAGATTTTTGGATTTAAGAAATATTAATTTTAATATAAAAACTAAATTAAATATTTGTAATTAAGATCAAACACTTCATAAGTTAGTTATAAACTACACATAGTTTCATGAAGAAATCATTTTTATTCGAAACGTTGATTGATTTTGAAAATTTGATTCTCAAACGTTTAACTTTGTCCGTAAGGTACAAGCTATACCCAAAAAATGTAAATTGCAAATCGCTTATCACGATTGTTCCCATATTCCGTATAAATAATTTAAGCTCTACTTATTCATTTTGTACATTTAATAAATAATACTGTAAGTAACAAATATCTAACTTAGAATTTTATCTTAAAATACTACTAACTATGAATCTTACATTATATTATTCACAATATTTAATAAAATAAAGTAATAGTTGTCAAGAATGCACTCAAATATCATCAATATTATCGAAAAATTTTTTGTCTCCTTCATAGTATGCTCCATCAAGTACAATACAACTATGCCAGCGCTTAACCCAATCCTCCATACATTTTTCGTATGCCGATTGAGGTATTTCCATCAATTCCTTCAGCGAGTTTTCTTTTATCGCCGCAATCGTCTCGAAACGCTTTCCACGCAGTAACAATTTTAGCTTTGGGAACAGAAAAAAGTCACAAGGGGCCATGTCAGGTGAGTACGGTGTTTGGTCAATCACATTCGTTGAATTTTCTGCCAAAAACTCTTGTACGACGATGGCCTTATGTGATGGTGTATTGTCGTGATGCAAGATCCATGAATTGGCTTCCCACAAATCTTGTCGTTTTTGACGGATATTCTCACGCAAACGCCTCATTACATCTAAATAATATTCTTTATTCATCCTTTGGTTCTCTGTAAGAAATTCGGATTGCACCACACCACGATAATCAAAAAAAACTACAAGCATTACCTTGATTTTTGAGTGAATTTGACGCGGTTTTTTGGCGGTCGACCCGTTTTCAAAACACCATTCTGAAGATTGCTGGCCTGTTTGTATATCATACTCGTACACCCAAGTCTCATCGCCAGTTATAATGCGTTTTATAAAAGTAGGATCAGTCGTTACACGGGCACTCATATCTTCAGCAAACTGCTTTCGATGCTCTTTCTGAACAAAATTGAGTTCTTTTGGCACCAGTCGTGAGGCAACGCGTTTTATGCCCAAAATATCAATCATAATGTTATGAACAGACTTCAACGACATGTTGACCTCTTGTGCTAACTCTCTAAGACTCATACGACGATTTTCGAGTACCAGCTGCTTAATTTTGGCGATATTTGCATCATTCGTACTTGTTGAAGGCCGGCCAGACCGAGGTAAATCATATACCACATCCCGACCTTCTTTAAATGCTTTGTACCATTCATAGGCCTGTGTTTTTGACATGCACGACTCATTGTAGGTTTTTTGCAACATTTTCAACGATTCGGCACAAGGGATTTTATTTGACACACAAAATTTTAGGCAGACTCTTTGTTCAACTAATTTTTCCATCATAGACATCGTAATAGACTACTTAAAGCCATAACTGCAAAAACAGCTGATGTAAACACACTCTTTCACAGATCGCGCTCAAGTCATGCATAGTAACCACAATACAGTGCTACCAATTCACTGTTGGTGTCGTATATTAGGCGCGTTTTTCAAATTATAAATTCTCGATATTTAAATTGAATCAAAATAAAGAAATAATTTGAAGAAAATACCAAAATAAAAAATTGTTTCAATATAAATAATATATATATAAGCCATATATATTTATTTTTTACTAATTATCACCATTTCATCCTTGAAATCCTTGAAAATGATTTTAAATTAAAGTCGGTTTATTTTTTTAGGATTGTTACTTCATTTCGTACGTTGTATTTTTAAACGTATTTCGGCAAATTTCTTGATTAAAAGTATGTTAAGAATTGTATCATTTGCTTCGTTTATTATTGATATATGAAATTATTTTTTCAAAAATGTATATATATATGTTACATATTAGTATATACAACTAGAGGATAACAAAAATTTTAAGTGGTTCAACAGGTAGGTATATTGGTATAGTTAAATAAACAATATCTGAGAAATCAAAATAAAATTCATTTTATCGGTGCATCATTTGCACCGATATCGAAAGCGGACTTGGCAGCACTGCAAAACAGCGATATGTGCGCTTTGTATGGATGTATATACAGCGGAAAAGACAAAAAAGAAAAGAATAGTATAAAAGCAACGAAAAAATTGTGGTGATTAAAAATATAAATTTTATTTTAACTAAAACAACGTTCAAACTAAAAAATATTATCTCAAATAATTAATATATAACTAAGTTTATATATAAACTATGTTTTCGCTATATTTACGCAAATAAATAATCAACAGTTGCGCTTCTATTGTGCAAATGTTGTGATGGCATAGAAAAGATGAAAACAAAAAAGGAGAGGAATTTTAAACAAGTTTAAAAACAAATTATACGTATAACCCATAATAAAAAAAAACAATCAACGAAATAGTAGAAGATAAAAATGGATTTTTTGAAAAAACAGAAAAAGAAACTTACTAACAGTAAAGTAAATCAACCGAACTACCAACCCAGTAATGCATATTCAAATGCATCAGGTACAACAAATACAACCATAACGCTGCTGGATAACTCCAGTATAAGTGGTTGCTCAACAATCACGAACGGTTCCAGCGTAACGACACCATCTCCAAGCGCATCCTCCACCGGGCTATCACCTGTGTTAAATGGAACAGACATACATGAATATCTTATATTTAACTACGCTTTTGGTGATTTTGAGAAATGTAACCATCAAAACTATATAACCTGTGAGGAAGTTTGTCTACGGTTAAGCCGAAAATTAAAAATTTTACCTGCAACTCGTCTACTATTTGGTTTACGCGCTTATGATTCAGAAGACGGATGGATTGCACCAGGCAAACATATTAAATATGGTGTACGCTACGTGTTTCGTATGCGCTTCAAAGTACCTAATTCCGAGCTACAATTGCAAACGCTAGATCACAATGCCTTTGAGTATTTATACAGACAGATGAGGCACGATATGGTGCATGAGTGCATACCAGAAATACGTTATCCTGCAGAAAAAGATAAAGTTATGGGTTTGGGTGTTGTAGATATGTACATTGACTTATTAGAGGAACGTGAAAGTGTAGAGCGTATTGCAGCCAATTGCGAGCGATATGTGCCACGTAAACTCGTAAAAGCACATAAAGTATTTGTGAAACCAAAAATTTGCACCAGTTTCCATCAGTTTAGGCAGAGAAATGTTAGTCTGGGCACTGCTAAATGGACTTACGTTCGTGAAATACTCAACCTTGCTTCCAACTATTTGTTGGAAACGTATGATGCTCTTGTTGAATATATACCAAATGATGATCTAGCCGCAATAAGTGATGCTATGACTGAGGCCCAAGTACGCGTAAAGCTGGACTTGTACGACACACTAGAGCCTAGCTTAAAAATTGCTAGAATTGCACCACAAAATAACTTAAAGGTAAAATATTATTTGAAACAGAAAAATTATAACAATAATTATAAATATTAAGAACAAGAGAATACTATGAATTATTTTATTATTTACTATATGCAAATAATAAAAATAATAAATAGTTGTGTCATTAAATTAGTGAAAAATATTTAATTATACACATATTTATTTTAACAACAATATATTTTTTTATTTATAATCTTAAAAAAACAATTGTGTTCCGGAAGGGATAATGACATATTTAGATATTATTAATGATATCACATATTTTGTGTAGGCATCAGTTTAATAATAACCTTCTAGCATGGAACATAAAGTTTTATAAAAAATTATTTCATTAAATAAGCGCAAAACAGAGTCTGAGTACTATAGATAGATTAGAATTATATAAAATAATTCACACTATAAATTATTTCTAACGCAAAGTTAGAGTATAAATAATAATGATAACAATTGCATATCATAAGTCAAAACGGTTTCATGGACCGCCTGTCGGAGAGTACTATAATTATAATATCAGTATTAATTCTAACAATAACTAAAACCGTAATAATAAACTATGTATATACTTTGTGTAGGTCAGATAATATTTATACTAATTGCACATTCCTTAGTAAATTTCTTATTAAATATGTAAAAGTTCTTAGAAAAATAAAGTTTTATACATTATTGCGATGTTTCGAGGCAGTTGTAATCTGCCTCATAGAAGCGATAACAATTTGTTTACAATTTACAATTTGTTTTGATAAGACAACCAAACAAAAACATTTTCTATATGCAATATTAAAATAAAAAAATGCAGTTTGCGTATGCAGACCACAGTTGAGTACTTATCTATGATTTATATTATACATGTATAGATATGTATTTAAATATTTACAATTTATTTTCAAAAGGGGTTAATTTATGTTAATGCATTTACAGTGGACACCACTTGCAAATTTGGGCAAAATATATGCAGTATCTATTGAAGATTCACATTCTTTGCGTTTGGAAATAACAGAATTTCCCAGTGGCTACAGTTTAAAATTTAAAACACCGATTGATTTGGAATCATTTATAACCTATCTCGCTGGCTATGTAAGGTAAGTAGTGTGAACTTTTTTTTTCTTTATCAAAAGCAAAAAAAATGTATTTACTAACTCTATTTTTACAGGCTCACTTCGAAGTGGATGTTGGATTTATGTGCACAATACCCAACTCCGTCATTGCAAGAGTTATTAGAACTTAGGTGTCATGGACCGATAGGGTATATTATGCTTAATTATAAAATGTAGTAGTTATAGTTGAGATAAATGTATATAGGATGTGTGCGAGTTATGCTAAGTTGATGCTAAACCAAATGGAAGATTTTTTGAGACTTTTTGCACTGCACACATTTAGCCATTTATTAACACATATCGACACATCACTACATTATCGGCACAACTTAAAATTTCCCTCATTTAGAACGCAACTTAGCCTAACTCGCACACATCCATAATAATAAATTAATCTAAATGAAAGGTTAAAAAATATCTTAACCGTTAAAGGCATTTATTGATAAATTTATTATTTGCGCTAATAAAAAAGACTGCATTTATTTGTATATATATTTGTTTTCACTATAAAAACAAAAAAAAAACAATTTTATTTAAATAAAATTCATTAACTTTCAAAATTTCATTTCAGTGGTAATTTCTCTTTTGCTAAGTTGCGTGAAAATAATGACAAAGTTGGCAGTTATCTTATACGACAATGCGAGAAGGAATATGACACCTACTATATTGATATAAACACAAAATTGTAAGTTTTCTATACTGATATAGTACAATAATAAAAATTTTTATATAAATATACAACTTTATACTTTCAGTTCTGGTCTTCAGTCCGTAAAATGTAAAACAGAAACATTTAAAATAATTAAACAAAGCAATACCCAGTGGGTATTACACAATAATGAAAATCTCATCACAATCGATAAACTGGTGAATGTGGCACAATATATCGAAACTGAAACTCCTGAACGATTTCGCATTCCGCCATCGAAATATGGTAAATTGAGACTGTTATATATATGTATATATTTAAATAGCTAAAATCAAAAATGTTTATAATACTTTTAGAAAAGCCCCCTTTACTTTTAATATGTTTACCAAAAGAATTGCAATCAAAAAAGACTGAATCGGAATTGAGCGAAGCTGAACTCCAACGTAAACGTGTACAAATATTTGATCCCGTTGTTGATTTGCAAATGTATAAAAGTAGGTTGAGCTGATTATAATTAAAATCAATTACTTATACCAGACTCTAAATTAACTTTTTCCAGACTCTAAACGTGAATGTGACCATGGCAAAATGGCTCGTTATCGTGCGGATTGGATACAACAAGGTAGATTCAAGGAAGTTCCGGTGATATTGAAAGTTCTTAACAAAGACAAAGACTTTTTGGAATTTCGAGAACTAGCAAATAAATGGAGTAAAATATATTCACCACATTTCTTGAAATTATACGGTTTGACACTTTCCACACCATACACATTAATTATGGAAAATGCAGAATATGGACCACTTAATGAATTTCTGATTCGTTGTGCACAGAAAGTATCTGTTAAACCATTACTTGATGTAGTTGGCAGTTTAGTACGTGGTATTTCATACTTAGTAAGTATTAAATTTATACTAAAAAAATCAGTGGATCAATTAATGCTGTAATATTAACGTATAAATTTCGAATTGCAGCAAGACTGTGGCATTGTACATGGCAACATCCGTTGTTCTAATTTATTTGTTACCAAATTTGACACTAAAAATAATTTCCTAGAAGTTAAAGTGGCAGACTCGGGCTTAACCCGACCGTACTCTAATGCCGAGTAAGTAATTTTTTTTCTGAAAGTTTTAATAAAAATTTAATAATATTTAACAAATAGTCTACCTTGGATACCATTTGAATACTATTCCGATTTGAATGCTGCTAAGAATGATCCCACCACTGACTTCTGGGCCTTTGCGACTACTGTTTGGGAAATATTTGCGCGTGGAAAACCGCTTCAAAACTTATCGGCATCTTCTTTGCGTGCAAATTATAATCGTTATGGTGGTATATTGCCTGTACCTAGTGAGGACTGTCCAGAAGATATGTACAATCATACAATGATGGATGGATGGTGTCAAGAACCTGACAAACGTTTCGATCATCATAAAATCTTCAAAGATTTAATTCATATCAAAAATAGTCTTGTTTATGAAACACTAGATTGTGAAACATGTAAAGATTTGGAGTCCGAACTATTTGATCTACACGAATCTACCTGTAAGCAGAAACAATTATTATTATCAATTATCATTTTATACATTTTAACATATTTATAGATACAGATACCGATATTGATATACCTTTACATAATGGGTACATTTTCGAAGAAAATAACTCATTCACTCGTGATAGAGTCCCTCTGTTGCGACAACAGCCTAGTTCTGCGCTGCAACATAATTTTATGACAAATCGGTTCAACGGTCGAGGTTACTTTGATAGCACACCTTCTGTGATCAGAGTGCCACAAGGAAAACTGATAACCAAAAAGAAAATTGGCGAAGGACATTATGGAACAGTATTTTTGGGTGAACTGCGATACAATTCCGAAGATGAGAAACGTGAATTTGTCGCAATTAAAACATTAAAAATAAACGATCCCAAGCAGTTGGATGATTTTAACCGTGAAATACAAATTATGGAGGTATATGAAGCATTTAAACCAAAGTTTTTTGTGTAAATCAATATAATTTAATTAAAAATAACGTATTTTTAAAATTAACATATATATAATTTAATTTAATTTACAATCTTTATTTCTTATTATAGGAACTAAATCATCCAAATATTGTTAAAATCAAATTATGTGTTCAAGATCCTTTATCTATTGTTATGGAGTATTTAGAAAGTGGCTCTTTCATAGTTTATTTATCGTCTCGCAAGCCCAACTTAACAAATGAACGTTTATTAAATTTTGCACTGGATATTGCAAATGTATGTATCTATTTTCGATTTAGTCGATTTATTCGATTTAGTTTTCATATTAAATACTTATGAGCATTTTTAATTTGTTTAATAGGGCATGGACTACTTACGAAGTAAAAATATTATACATCGGGATCTTGCTGCACGTAATATATTAGTTGATCGAGATTGTGTGAAAATTTCTGACTTTGGTTTAGCACAGTGGGTTAACTCCGATGGTTATTATATTGTACAAAGCTCTCGAGATATACCTATTATGTGGTAATTAAATATTATAATATAATTAAAGTTAAGAATTAAATTTTTAGTTATTTATTTAGTTATCATTGGTAATGTACACTATTTTAGTTTTAATTAAATTATAAAAATATAAGTATTGCTTAAAAGGTCACAAGTCGAAAGTTGAGATATATTTTAGTGAAAATAAGTTTCACAAATATAATTCGTTTCTATATTCCAATACATTTCTTTAATCAATTATAATAATATACCATATATACTCAACAAGTACGATATTCTAGCATCTATTATTCCAGTTACTTTAATAATAATTATTCATTAATCTTGTTTTAAACTTAGTTATTTAATTTTAATTAATGATATTCTTTAGGTATTCCCCTGAGTCTTTAAATACGAATAAGTTCTCTTTCCAATCCGATGTCTGGTCATTTGGTGTTACTTTATATGAAATGTTTTCTCGTGGTGAAACACCTAATTTAGACCCTGGAATGAAATTAGGAAAGGCCGAAATTATTAGTAGGCTCGATAAAGGCGATAGGTAATTACGAAAGCAATTCTTAATGTAATAAATATGTTAATCAAAAAGTGTATATATATTCAACAGATTGCGGAAACCTGAACAATGTCCTGACGTAGTATATAACAAGTTAATGTTGCCATGTTGGTATGCGAATCCCAAATCAAGGCCAACTTTTAAGTCGATCATAGAGGAAATTCAGTCAATTAAAATGGAAAGTGGCGAATACATTTAAGTTTTAAAATAAAAAGCATTTCTTGTTCTATACACTCAATGAGAGTTAAATACGACTTGCAAGTTGTATATGAAAGAGCTAGAAATAATGAACATATTGAGTGATGATTTTTATTTTGAAAATCATGTATTGAATTATTGTTAATCTTAAATATTTTCACTTTAAAAAAACCAAAACTAAAATTATTTACTTTCGCATATTTGGTACATTCAATTCAATGCGAAATGCGATAGAGAAATATTTAAAATAGTTTAAACGTAAAAGTTGGCTACAATCTCGTGACATTTCTATTTCTAATTTATGTGTTTAGCTGAAATTTTGTTATTTATTGCTCTTAAACTTCAATTGTATATATTATATATGTCTTATGTTTATGTTTTTACAATTTTAGTTAAGCTTCTTAAAATAAGTTAATTAAATGTCATACTTACGATTTACTAATAACGATTTTATGTTTAGGTATTTGATAAGTTGTAGTTTAATGTTACTATTGTGCAAAAATAAGTGCCTAATTTCTATATAGTTTTGCATATTTACAAACTATAAATTTTTATTAATTAAAATTTTATCAAAACAAACTGCATTTTAAACAGACGCAATGAAAAACTTTTAAATTGTTAACTTTTAAATATTGTTAAAGAAACAATATTTATCTAATATTTATCTAAATATTGTTTCTCATTGTATATTACAAATTTGTGCAAAAATAAATACGCGAATATTAGCTTCACACTAAATTGAATTATTTAAATTGAGAAAAAAAATTGTAAGTAGGATTCTGTTGTTTTATCGTTGAAAATGTAACTCACCATTTTGTACTAACGATCGATACAGAAACTATAATATTCAACTACGCAAAGACGAAAAAAAAATAAAGATTACAAACATGAGTTCTTTCATGAAACAACAACAACAGTCAATATGAGGGTTGTATGCATGATATGGTAATTATTATTATTAAATAATAGGCTATGAATGCATCCCGAAATAAAAGATCCATTGTGCTCCTAAAGACCCTACATAAACAATTCTAGACTATAAATCTCGTAATTGCTGTGGTCTTAATTTTACCTATTTGATTTGGACTAAGATTCCGCTTCCAAGTTAGTCGAGTCTACGTCTTGCCGCCGTTGGGCAGTTGCATAGGATATGCTCTGATGTTTTCTTCTCCTCATGACAGAGGATCACTTTCGACAGGAATCACTTTCTACCGCACCTATAATCCTGTAAGAAGTTCAGTGTAGATTTTAATAGCGTTTCTGGTAAGGTTAAGGATAGCGTCAATTTTGATGTGTTCAGGATCAATGAATCTTCTTGACTGCCGCATGCTTGTTTGAGTTCTCCAGACATGGCAATAGTTATTGTGCGAAATCTTATTCATCATTTCATTAGAATAAAAAAGATAATTTATTAAATGTACCTCACCCCTGATCCAGGAACAATCGGGTCTACTTCCTGAAGTCTCTACTTTTTAGATCAGCGACCCAAAGAGCAAATCTTACGTCTAGCTTAAAAATACAACAGCAGTATATGTGAACACAATCTCTTATAGTATATTAGTCTAATATTTATGCATTTGCTTTAACGTTTTTTAATATATTTCCCGTTCAAAGGAATTCGATTAGATAAGAATCGATTGCTATTACATGTTTAAATAGCCGTTGATGATATTTCATTTCAAATTCTATTTCATTTTGAACAAATAGTTGAAAAATATTCACGTTGGTCCGTTTTTCATTACTATATCTGTATGTTCGTTTAAAAATTCTCACTAGATAAAATCGATATGGGCTTTTAGAAGAAGTTTTATTCGTGATTATATCAATTACAAGCGCAGACATACTAGCAATCACTAGTCTTGTACTGCTCTTTCGTTTATAATTCTTCCAAATAAATCGCAGCTACTTTGCCTCCATTTCGAAAGTCATTAACACCCAGAACTGGAAGTCAATGGTATGTTAAACTGATCTATTTTAGTTTGCATTTATGTTAACTCTTACATCCGTTACATCTTTAATCGCGTTTTATGCGATTCAAGCTTTCTAGCTTAGATGACTTTAGTTTCCTCATGTCATCTGCTATTGTTTTCTACAATTGTATTTCAGACTTCTGCTTCAGCACTGCGGGTTAATATATTTTTCTAAGTCATTCCTAAAACATAGTTTTTGTTATGTTAAGCCTTTTCCGAGTTAGTGCATCTAGGCACTTTTAATCTATGATAGTTTGGGGGATTCTGCAGAGTCCCGCTCATCTCACAGACTAATTTGAATATTTCTGATAATCTTCGTGATTATTCAATGATTGATCTTAGCTGCGTACCGCCCCGTGCGGTTAGTGATTACTCTGAGATTAGATAGTCGGTTTTCGCATATAACTTCAGAGCTCTGTCCCTTATATATTTTTTGACCGGATCTATTCTAAGGTCTCTTAGCATGTCAGTCGTGTGGATGTACCATAGTACTTTGAGCAACTTGTAGCTTTTGTATAGTAGAGTCGGCAGCTTTGTTATACGCGACACACCCATAAAGTAGTGCTGGTCTAATTATCTGACTGCAGATCAGCTTTCTGTTCTTCACGCTAAGGTTGTTGTGTTTGAAAAGTGGTTGTAAGCAGTGCAGTGTTTTTGCGCAACTACTTCTTTTGACTTGTATGTGTTTGTGACAAGTGAACCGCTTATCAAATGTGATTCCTAAGTATTAAATGCTGTCATCCCAATTAATCGCGATGACACCGACTCTCACTCTTGGTAGATATTGCCTGTGTTTACATGTAATAAATAGGGCTTTAGTTTTCTGATTGTTAGTTTTTATTTTCTATTTCTGGAAGAACTCCAGAATGAGATTAACATGCTCCTGCAGCGTGAATTTCATAGCTAATACTAGCACTCCTTACCTCTAGGTCCTCAGCGATATATGTATTATTTAATATATATATAATAATATATACAATGATATCTATTATTTAATATGTATATAATAATATATATGTATATGCAACGATATATCTATTACTCAATATATATATTATAATATATATGTATGTACAATGATTTTACTGTAAGTGTTATCATATAACTAATGTGATTATTGATTTCTCGAAACGAAGTGCAGTAAAGTACCAATTTCTTTTTATTAATGCAATTTTATTCATAATAGCAAGTATAAATAGATAAAAGTATGTATAAAAATATGTAACTTATTTTTTTTTTTTGAACACATGAACATATGGTACATGCACTATAGATGTACTAATATTCACGTCACATATAAATGTTGTTGATAACGTCTTGTATAAACATTAATTTCCGCCCTCAGCATTCTTTTTCTTTAAAACTTCCATGACACCTGCAAAATTCGCTGTTTTCTTCTTCGCAGATTTTGGCGTTGAATTTTGGTTACGTACCCGCATTTGTGGTGTGGAAATATCATCGCTGAAGTCAAAATCATTTTTCACTGGTCTAAAATAAATAAAAAAAAACTTAATTATTTGTTTTTTACTTGTTTGTTTTTTTCCTTACTCTTGCACTTCAATTTCAGTAGTTACTCGACTTGGTTCCTCTTTAACATTTTCGGGAGAAAGTGGTCGTCGGCCAGGCGACTTCCATTGCAATTCAGGTATACTTCCGCTCTCAAGCAGTAAATAATAGCTTTCCAGCTCCTCTGCGCTAGGAATGCAATCTTCTGCTTCCGAAAAACTGTTTTCCAAGTTTGTCATGATTTCTTAATTAAACTGCTTGCTTTTTTGTTTACAAACATTGCTTGCAAAATATGGACTCTAATTTGTGGACTGTATTGTGATGAAGTAAACTGTGTAATGTGTATACTTTACATTACACAACAAAACACATTTAAAATTTCCACTCAACATAGACAAATAAAAATCAAGACTTCATTACAATTTCAAAATGTGAATCTTAATGTAGAAACAATAAAATCAAAATAAAGAATTTTTTGGGCGAAAGACCTAGTAGTTCAGTTTTTTATTATTAGTTAACTTTGAAATAAATTTTAGTGTTATCTCATAAATAAATAAAATAAATATTTTTTAACTAAGCAGTATGATTTTTTAAATTATTTGTAATTATATTAATGTTAACGACTGCATGTAATATTTATTTCATATGCATTCACATTTGATATGTGTGTTCTCTAATAAATTTGCAGTTCCACAATGAGACTCGCAGTTTGACATTTGATTTTTGAGGTTATATAAATATATAACGAGTAAAATTACGATTTTAGTCTGTCAAAATAATTGTTTTCAAGAAAGTTTAAAATATTTTGCCAAAATGTCCGATTTTGACGTACCTACCACTTCTGACAAAGAGTTACAAGATTTTTTAATGATAGAAAAGCAAAAGGCACAAGTTAATGCACAGGTTTGTATAATAAATTAAAACTTGTTTGGTTCAGTACAACATAAGCTATTTTAGATCCATGAGTTCAATGAAATATGTTGGGAAAAGTGTGTTGGTAAACCAAGTTCTAAGCTGGATAGTGGAACAGAAACCTGCCTACGTAATTGCGTTGATCGTTTTATTGACACTTCACTTCTAATCACCCAACGTTTCGCGCAACTGCTGCAACAAGGATCCACGCACTAACATGTTGAAAACGAGAAAAAAAGACAACTTTAAACCCAAAGCAGATAATATTAATAATGATGCATTTGCCATCTTGACTATAATGGGTCAATATAACGAACTCATTAGCTGCCAGTGAGAACTAGAGTAATGTGATTTTTATCAAAAAAACATGTTTCTGTTATTTAAGTTTAAAATAAAAATTACATAAAATATACATAAAATTTTTTTTATTCAAAATTTTTCTGCTTAGATTTTTTTAGTTGTCTGTAGAGTTCAACTATTTTGCTCTGTTCATTCTCCAGCATTGATCTCGTAGCAAGGGGCAGATCCTTTCGTTTTCCTTTGAGTTGCGATTTGGAAATTGTTTTATTTTTTATACCCTTCAACTTTGTCGTTGCGTTATTTAAATTTGTGGGTTTGTCGTCAGTCTGATCAAGAAGTGTCTTGAGTAGTAGATTTTTTTTTCCGGGCTAAAACATTAACAAAAATTTGTTTATGTATTTAATAATAACCTTATATCGCATACAAAATTAAAAAAATCAAGAACTTACTCTTGGCACAGTGTCTACTTTTTCAGCTCGTCTTGGTAGCGTTGAGAGTGTTGGCGGCCTATGCACTATTTCACCAAAGGATATAACGTCACGTTTATACTCCTCAATATCTGGCTTTTCGTTTCTTTTCTATAAGAAAATTGATTTATAAATAGAAAAATGGATACCTGGTAAGAACATTACCTCTTCTTTATCTTCTTTTATCGCCTGTTTAATTAATGCTTTGGCTTCCTTTGGATCCATTCGGTTCACTTGTTGAGATTTACTCGCTTTTCTACCCTTTCTTTTATTATTAATTCTTTCATTCTGTTTTTGTTTTAACAGTTCATCAATTTCATTTTTAGGACGTTTCTTAATAGTAATTTCGCCAGTCTGCGGATCTCGTAACACATTTACACCATATTTTGCTTCATATTTGGCTTCTCTTAAGGATTCAGTTGTCATGCGATTAACACGCCTCAAATAGTCCTCATCACTTTCACCAGAAATTTGTTTAATATTGCGTACTTTATTCTCAGGAATGCGAGTTTTATTTTTTTTGTTCGGTTTCTCCACTGGTTTATCCTCACGACCTGCGTGTGGTTTCTTAATTTTTTTCCCGCACTTAACATCGTCCGCTAATTTCTTAAATTGAGCAAATTTATAAGATATTTTCTGATCATTTCCAATTTCAGGTGGATTGTTAATTGAGTTTTTTAGACTATAGGAAGAGTTTTTTAATAATAACATATTTTGAGAAATGTATTAAAGCTTTCATAACTACTTACGATTTTTCCTTAAGCTCCAATTGTTTTAATGGATCACGTACTCCATGATGTTTGCGCGCTGGAATTTTTCTTCTTCGTGCCATATTACAAATATTAATATTTATGTTTATTTAGACTACTTAATTTATATGTCCTCCTTGTCCACGTTTTTTGCTTTTGTTATGATTTTTTATTCTAGTCATACGATATTTTGTGGAACTTATGCTAGCATATGTTGTGGAAGATATTGAACATATTTTAAACGCATTAAGACGATTTATACGTTCTACACGTAAGTACGTACGTTTGCGACATACTTGATTGTACATACTCTACATTACTTGAACTTATTGTACTTTTATTTATAAGATTTAGTACCATATTTAAAGAATTATTAGAATTTCAATATTAGGCAATAAATTACTAGTATTATTTAAAAATTGTACGTTAAAATTCAAATCAATGTCACTTTAGTGTCAAAATGATGTTTATGTGCCCTCAACCTTAATAAATAACTAATAATAGGTTCGAAAACTGTGTTTAAAAACTGTTTGTATGAATACTTTTCTACCTTTAGGTAGATCAAGTCTAATGGAGTTATAATTTTAAATTTTTAAGTTTTAAGTTTTAAATTTTTTGAGTTCTCACGTCGAAAGTTTAAAGTCGGTTTTGTTTTTTAAGATTTTAACCTTAGGACTTTTATTAGTAATTCTTCTGATGAAGGCGAATTTGCCGAAATACGTATAGGAATATACAAAAAAATACGATCGAAATAAAAGTTAGAATCCTAAAAAACAACACCTACTTTATAATGGACTTAGTTGACCATTTAATGACGCGCCCGTATAAAATATCTAACAAATATAAGCTAATCTCTTTTATCTGTTTCAACATGGAATTTTCTACTAAAAACATAGTTAAATAAAAAAAGTAGTAATTGCATAGCTAATGTTGATGTGAAAAATAATAGTATTTAAAAAGTAAATAGATCATAATTACTTTCTATTCTATTTACATATTATTAAGTTATGTTGTGAGTATGTAATTAGTTGTTTCTAAAGTAATCCACAGAATTTGTAATTTAACGTAATATAGTATTTATGTTGACATTTATTAACCACTGCCTATTTGCAAATACGTTCCACAAACACTTGCACTATTTTTCACCATAAATAGGTGATTAGCAAAGCAAATATAAAAACAAAAAGTTGCGAAAAAAGATTTTAGCTCCTGAAAAGTGATAAATAAATAAATAATTAAATTTTGACTAATAAAATAATTGTGTAAAATACATTTGAATATTGAGGCAGTAAAGCATTGTGAAAAGAATTCAAATGTATTGAATTAATATTAAATGCGTTCTAATATTATTTTCCCTAACTACAGTTAAATAAACAAAAGCGTAGTATCTAAAAGGTCAACGGAACAATAACAAATAATATACACTGAAATCTTAACAAAGAAATTAACAAATACGAAACCAAACTAAGCAGACGCAACACAATTTCCTATTTTAAAAATGGTTGAGCCAATTTTTGACTATCAATTTCGATTGATTTTAATAGGAGACAGCACAGTGGGCAAAAGTTCACTTCTTAAATTCTTTACAGATGGCAAATTCGCTGAGGTAAATATTTACTTATTCTTTAAATAAAAACATTCATATTACATAATGATTTTGATTGGTCCAGTTCGCTTACTTCCGACAGCCGTGTTATATATGTGAATATGTTGTCTGTGACTGATAAGGTAGATTTTTTTATTTCGTCTGATGAGCTTGTTCACTCAAAATGTTACAGTATAAATTATTTACATCAGGCGTGGCAAACTGACAATAAATTATGCAGTAAAGATTTCCTATGACTAATGGTCATGTTCGTATATATTACATATATATTGCATTTGTTAATCATAACACTTAGAAATGTATAATATATATAAATTATCTACTACTACATAGAAATATTTCTCAGAACATCAATATATTGTTGTTGTTATTACCCTCTTTATTCCTTTCGTATGGTGATACCCTAATAGAAATGGTTAGCAATACTTAGCCGTCATAAACAAGATGAGAGCGCAGAATATCTCTATTGATAGTTGTAACAAATCACGCAGGCTCATAATATCATAGCATATATGCAGTTTACTGTTAGGATCAGAATATCATAGCATATATGCCGCAGGATAGTTCGAGAATTGGGTTATATCGAGCTACGGCATAGTGGAAGACATTGTTGACAATATTTAATTTACTAATTTTATTGAATAATGACGTGCGGCAGGTGAGAAAGATTATCCCCTAAGCATTCTTTTATTCATAGCTATCATTAACAATTATTACAAATTAAATAAAAGAGCGAACCTTTTCTGGATAAGCGAACTAATCAAATATATTAAGTGAAATAAAAACATATTAATAATAATAATTTAAATTCTTTCAGCTATCTGATCCGACAGTAGGAGTGGACTTTTTTGCCCGTCTAATAGAAATGAAAGATGGCACTCAAATTAAACTACAACTATGGGATACCGCTGGTCAGGAGCGTTTTCGTTCTATTACAAAATCCTATTATCGCAATTCGGTTGGTGTACTACTAGTTTATGATATCACTAATAATGACAGTTTTGAGCACATACCTCTCTGGATGATGGAAGCACAGCGGCATATCGAACCGCATCGGCCAGTGTTTGCACTTGTGGGCTGTAAATTAGACTTGGTTGATGCCGGTGGACATCGTGAAGTGAGCCACGAGAAAGCACAGGCATTTGCAAATCAACACGGGCTACATTTTGTTGAGACTTCTGCACGTACCGGTTTGAATGTAGCCGAAGCATTTCGTATGGTCACACAGGAAGTATATGCGCGCATACGATCTGGTGAATATAAGATCGAGGATGGCTGGGATGGTATAAAAACAGGATTTGCACGACCAAATAGTTTAGATTTTAATTTAGTGGTGGCAGAGCCAGAAAAATCATCTTGCTGTTGATATGTTTATATATGCTATACATTTTATGTTGTTATATTTCCTTAAGATGAAAGAACAAATGTTTACAAATAATTTTAAAATGTTATAATTTTATGTTTAGTTAGATTTTGTTTTTATTGAACAATTTAAACAATTAATTTTATTGGAAGCAATCAACCTTATCATTTATGTGTTACCCTCATAAATTGTGTTGGTTGGCGAGGCAGTTTTGTGGTGATTTACCCTCATAATTTGGTGATTCTTAAGTTACGAGAAAGTCAATTTAGATTCTATAGTAGGCTTAGTTAATATTAATGTTTAATGGATATGATTTAAGCTACTAATCCAATCTTTTTCGTTACTATATTCTTCTAATAAGAAAAACTGACAATTCAATATATAGAAATAACTGAATGCGAGGATGATCTTGCATTCTGAAGTAGAAGCTTAAATTTTAACATTTTTCTTAATGAATAGAGACTTGTATTCAAAACCTTAACAATTATATTTAAAGTATCTTTGAATTTGTACGAAAAACGTTTTTAATATATATATATATGTATTAAACAATTTTGAAAAAAAAATAAAATAAAATTACATACTTCAGTAAATGTATCTTTGCAGTCTTTTTTCTTTTCAATCTTTTATATTTATATATACTATAAATTCAATTGATAAAATTAATTTTATATTATAACCGAAACGTTTAATGTTTACTATTATTTACTATTTATAGCAATTACTTTTTTTTAATATTCAATACATGTTCTAGAAAAATATGCTAATAAACATGAATGCACATAAGTATCTAATCTAAGACATATATAAGATGAAGAGTCTAGACTGGCTTGGTGAACAAATGGTACAAGCTACATTTACCTTACACTTCTTCAAACTCTGGTAATCCAATGGGTAATCACTCATGACATTCAATTTTGCAAATACTTGTGCATATCATCCATCAAACTTCGTCGTTCTATTCCTTTCATTACTTTGAGCTGACATCGATTTTCCCTATTTTAACACTGTACCTATTTAACTTTTAAAGAAAGGATATGAATGAATAAAATAATAAATGCATGAGTAAGATTAAAAAATTTAGGGAATACAAGGGCTGTTATATTATATTGAGAAGCGTTAATGAGCAACTATACTTAGTGAAACCATTTTATAATGTGAATCATAAATTGCGATAACTTCTTCACTTTCTGTATATTCTTTTTAATGTAAAGCGAAATTCTAGTAGTTTTCTTGCCCTTTTGTTAGATGAATATCAAAATTAGTTGTGAATAATGTTTAATTTTAAAGCTTTACCGAGTAATAATTGAAAAGAGCGTGGAGACTCCTTTTATGTCATACATTTACCAATTACCGAACTTCGGTTGAAGATTCCTAATACAACTTTGGGTTGCAAATCAGCTGCGATCAAAGATTTTATATGCTGATAAAGATATATTTTTTTATTTATTATAATAAATATAACAGAAAAAAATGTTTTTGACAAAGAAACACAATAAATGGCATTTATGATAATACAAGCCTTATAAGACATTCACACTGTCTCATTTAGGTGGTTTGGTTCATTATGGTTAGTAATGACGATGATTAACCATACAAAGAGCTTTCATATAAATGAGCTTATTATCAATAAATCAGCTTTTTTAAGGCAAAAAATGTCAAATGCAACCCCTAAAAATAAATTTCCAACCAGGCAAATTACCAAAATTTGAAATATGTGTCATATGTTTTATATGTAAAATGTAAACAAACGACACCTGATCTGTAAATAAAGGCTCAGAGATAGAAAGCATTTAATGAAACCTTTGTTTTTATAAATTGAATATTTTTTGACATATAAAATATTTTATTCTTTTATTTGTGACCAAAAATATTATATACTAATTTATTAGCGGGCTAATTCGTCATTTAAATAGAAATAAAAAAACTATAATGTATTATTTATATTTAAAAACAAATTATATTTTATATAAATATTTCTATTTAATTGACCAATTACCCCGCTAATAAATTTACATCATAATTTATCATATTTATAAATTTATACTATAAATAATTTAATATATCAATTACTTATTTAATTTTTTTGTGTTATATATTATTAAGTGAATTTTATAGACGTTTTATTAGCTGCATAAATTAGCTCATTATAATGTGTACGTTCACTTCTTGATATAAATAAGCAAGTGCTTAAATGATAAAGTGTGAATGTACCATTAGCAAGAAAACGCTGTAATAAAAAATCATTGTTTATTTGTTAATGGAAAAAAATTGAGAAGCTGGTAACTCTCATTCTAACATCTGATTTCGTTATTCTGTTTTGAAATGCATTCGCTGCTACTAAAATGGAATGTTATGTTGTGCCCTATTACCATTTTTATAACATATGCTTAAAAAAATGTTGAGGTTTATTAATTAATTTCAAAATCAAAGAAGTAAATTTTTATATTTCATATAAAGTAATAACAATTTAATTGTTATTGTATGTCAACACGAAAAGTTAAATTCGGAAAATAAACAATAAAAATTTTGTTACATTCTACACTGCGTTTAACATTGTATGTTTTCGCCTGCTGGTCACCCTGTTCATTCATTATCGTGTGCAAAAAAATTACCGAGAAGAGAACATACATTTTTTCGGTAGTAAAATAATTTTTCATTTGTTTTTATTTAATTTTTAAGTAACAATAAAATGTAACAACATAAATTACAAAAAATATTAGTAGTTGATTAATAACATATAAATGAATTATTTTTGTGTGAAATAAATATAAAAAAAAACCATTTTATAAAAGTGCATACAGAATAAAAGATTTTGTCGACATCATCAAGGAAAGTTTGTGTGAAAACGCTAAATCCATAGCATTTGCCAAAAGTATCTTAATAAAAATTTATTATTAAAAAGAAAGAAAGAAAGTTTTTTGTAATATTTTTGTATACATAATATAAAAGTTAAAAATTTGTATGTATAATGGCATTAAAGAAAGTGAAAGGAAATTTCGAACGTATGTTTGATAAAAATCTAACAGATTTGGTACGTGGCATCAGGAACAATAAGGATAATGAGGTAATTTCAATATATTTTAAGCTAATTACTTTAAAATAAAATAATTGAATAAAAAAACTTTGAAAAGTATATCTGTTGTTGAAGTATAAATTATCTCTTCATATAACAACAACACACAATCCACTTCTCTTTTTTTTTGCTGCGCTTATCTATATAAATTGCATGCCATATTCCCCACTCCATTTGTGGTATTATTGTAAATAATGTACGTGCATTAGCACCCATTTCCCAATTCATCCAATGTGATTGTGAATCGCCCACCTCCACTCAATTCAATTTGTTGCCTTCTATGCTTCTTTTCGAAAGGCGAAATGGACTGCCTATCTAGAAGGATTTTCATTATCAAACAATATTAATGTACATACTTTAACTTGGCTGCAAAATTTTTTCTTTTAACAATGCTGACAATGATGACAATGATGACAATGGTGTTCTTATCATCAAAGTCGTCTTCCATTGTAATTTATAAACAAAGTTTCCAAGTTCAATTCCTTGGGGTATAAATGGTCCACATTTGTTTTAATTGTGCACTTACGCTGTGTAGGTTGCTTTGCTTTAGGTTCCATATGTCGCAATTCCTACAAATGCTCTCGTGCTTAATCTGCGCTTGATAACAAAATGATTTATTTAAATAATGTGTAAAAATATTTATTATATATAAATCACATTTGTGTTTTTAGTGGAATTTATTGTGAAATTAGTTAAAAACTGAAGTCTGCTATTTGGAGCGTGACTTTTGCAGTTTTATTTGCTGTGCATAAGCAATATTGTGCCTAGCACTTTTGGATTCCTAAACTGTTAATTAATTATTTATTCATTTAATTATTATAATATTTAGTTATTATGATGTTATTAGTTATTTTATAACATGAAAAATGTACTTTGATTACAAGTACATAGGATGTAAACTAAAGTAGCTCGAATAAAGTAAATAGAACCTCATTTTTAAACATGCAATGGCATGATTTGATTCATACAGTATCATTAATACTATAGTTTTATGACTTTCTAACAATTACTATAAGTGAATTAGTTTATACAATAATTTTTTAAATTAATATTATTTAAAGTTTTTATTTTAAACAAAAACATATTTCGTATATGCTATATCCTAGGAACCAAAGGTCTTACGAAGAACTTTCTCTCGCACTTTTCTGGTCCTACTCTATGATTCTGTAATACTATACATACTTCTTCAATATTATAGATAAGATGACTTGTCTATAGTGTAAGTCTTGATAGTGTTATGAGCAATATAAATTAACTCGTCGATGTATACATACCTTCAAAAGTATAGTCGCCTGCAATAGGCATATATATTTCTGCAAGTTCCCGGTACATGATACATTTTGATCTCATTTAACAAAACAAATTGTAAAATAAAATATGTCGTACAGTAGATAAATAGATTTATAGAGAGACTAAATATTACAAGATATTAGAGCCAAATGCTTTATAATATTTTGTGCTGAAATGTCGATTGACGACAGACGATTATGACATCTTGAAAAACCTTGATTCGTTGCAATTTTAAATAAACTAGAGACCACGAATATAGAACCCAAAGAATATGAATGCAGATGGAGAGTACTGGAATAACTTGAAAAAGTAATTATTGGTTCTCAAATAGTTTTTATGCTGAAGAATATAATGATGCCCATTTTTAACTTTTGCATGAAAATATTTGAAGAAAGTTATAGTGTTTTAGCGTAAGCAAAGCATGAAAAAAGAAGATTTACACCCATTAAATCTTCAACACTTCCAAATACTACACTTCTGATATAATGAGAAGAAGAGGTAAAAAGCGTGAAAAAAGAAGATTCAATGGGTGTTCAAGACTAATTGATACTACACTTCTAATACAATGAGAAGAAGAGTATATAATGATGAATGGAATGAGGAGAAAACCACGAAACCGTGGTTTTGAAAGAAGATCCAAGGTTGTATTTTAAAGATAAATAATACATATTATATGCATATTAAATTGTGCTTTCTATAGCAATATTAAATACTTCTGCCAGCTTCGATATTCTTATGGAGTACCTTCCCTTGTTAACAAAGGTTCCGTTTTGTTTAAATCAAATATTTTATTTTTAAAAAATTGTCAACTTATAAAAAACTTTTATAATTAATGTAATTAAATGTAATCTAGTGTAATATTACCTCAATAAAACATTTAAAAATTCTATGAATTAAACGCAAATTTTTTTCTTTAGGCAAAATACATATCGCAATGCATTGAAGAAATTAAACAGGAACTGAGGCAAGACAACATCAACGTCAAGTGCAACGCAGTAGCCAAGTTAACATATGTGAGTATGAGTTCCAATTAAAAAAAGCGAGATACGAGAAATTTGAACATAAATGCAAGTGGGTTTTACACTCAAGGAAACACTTAAATAAACCAGTACAAAACATAAAATGTTGCTGTGCCGGAAAACAAAACGAGCTGCAGAACAATAGATGCCTTTGTGTTCATTTTAATTCATATTCTAATTTTAATGCTATCTTCACATAAATACATATATAAATTTTTTCACACTTTGCAGATACAAATGCTTGGCTATGACATATCGTGGGCGGGTTTTAATATAATCGAAGTGATGAGTTCGTCGAGATTTACGTGTAAAAGGATAGGCTACTTAGCAGCAAGCCAGTGCTTTCATCCTGATAGCGAGGTAAGGTGGTTTTAAGTGCACTTATACGAGTTCATATGTTAGCCTATATGTGAGAACATGTTTATGAATATATAAACTGAAGAGTTTTGTACTGTACTCTAGTGTTTTTTACTATAATTGAATTTCTTTTTCTATTTCGCATAGTTGCTCATGTTGACAACAAATATGATAAGAAAAGATTTAAATTCACAAAATCAATACGATGCTGGTGTTGCTTTAAGTGGCTTAAGTTGTTTTATTTCACCTGATTTATCAAGAGATTTGGCCAATGACATTATGACCTTGGTATGTTTGCTTATCATTATTATGTAGTCTCTATTATATAGTAACAGTAAAAAAAAAATATGAACATAAATATGTATATATTTGTATATTATAGATGAGTTCCACAAAGCCATATTTACGTATGAAAGCCGTCCTTATGATGTATAAAGTATTTTTACGTTACCCTGATGCTTTGCGACCTGCGTTTCCTAAACTTAAAGAGAAACTGGAAGATCCTGATCCAGGTAAAATATTTATACATAAATAAAATTATATTGGAAAGTATTTCACATATTGTTATTTTATCTTTTTAGGTGTACAATCTGCTGCCGTCAATGTTATTTGTGAATTAGCACGTAAGAACCCTAAAAATTACCTTCCATTAGCACCTATATTTTTTAAGCTAATGACAACTTCGACTAACAATTGGATGTTAATTAAAATAATTAAATTGGTAAGATTTCGTTCAGATTTCGTTTATCTATAATAAATATTTACATTGCACAATTGACTTCAATATTGATTCGTATGAACTCGCTGAAAAAACTATTTGGACTACTACTGTTTTGTGTAATTATAAATACTATCGAAATATTAGACTGACGTAAATAATGATTCTAACTATCAATAATTTATTTATAAATTTCATTTTAAATTTATTATAATTTTCCCTCTTTCTCTCTTTTTCTATCTTTTCTCTTGCAACGTACCTCTACGAACTATTTTCTTCCAATATATGATTTAATTGCATTTAAATGATTTTGTATTGAAATTCCTATTAAAAATATGCGTTAAATAATTATTTCTCGTAAAGTTTGCCAGCCTTACAACAATTGAACCAGCTCTGGGACGTAAATTAACACAACCCTTGATTGAAATTATTTCCAGGTTTATATAAAAAATTTATTTAATTTTTTATTCAAGCAATTAAAATTAAAAAAAAAAATTAAGATATTCAATTGATATCTCACCAAAAATTAATTTATCACAATTTAATTTTTTTAATGAATTATTTATAAATTGTTTAAAAATTATTTTATTTCCTTTTAAACCACACTTTGCTTTTTTATTAATTTTTAGCCAATTTATATTATTTTCTTTAATAGTTTCTTTATTTTGTTACACCAAAACGAACAGAGGTAATTTCTTTCCATTTATGTTTTCTTTCCTCAAACTTTTTTATTTACTGAGAATTGGTAATAATCAGTATATGTACGCACATTATTAATAATGTATGCTCGTTCGAATATGTCATGGGCTGATCTATATGGTATATCCTTTTAAATTTATTTAGTATTTTCATATATGAATGGTATTTGAAGTAATGGCTATTGAAGTAACAATTTCCTTTCACTGCCTGCCAGTACGAAATGATATTTATTGTATGAAATGTTTATTTTACATTCCATTGAATTAATATATATATAATCAGCATATTTAATTCTTACTATGAATAAACACATAATAGATATTCATCAATAATTTTTAACTTTTAATATTAAAATTGAAAGTAAAAATACGCTTGCCGTCTTGATGTTTTAACTCTTGATTTGCTATAATTACGCTTACCATTTCAGAAATACATGCAAACCTTATAATAACATTGTCTGATATTCATTAATGATTCCGGTGTTTACGATTGTATGAGAGTAATCTTCCATAAAGTTTGCATACATTTCAAAAGTGGTGAGCATAATTTTAGGAATTTAAGAAAATTACGCTCAATCTGCTTTCGTACATTCGTCACACTAGCGTCAGTAATGAGTATTTCACATTGTTTGATTCTCATTAAATACGCTGATATTGACTATTGTGAAAGTATACTACCATAAGGTTCATATAACATTCAAAATTGAAGAGCGTAATATTTTAATAGCTAATATTACGCTCACAAGCATTACCTCGCCACAATAATGTGTTTTTAACAGGGTTTGATATTCATTGATGACGCTTTTGAGAGAGTATTTCCATATAGAGATTACATGCATTTCAATCATAAAAAGCGTAATTTTATTTAGAGTAGAAATGTCGAGACGCCTATTCTAACTTAATTCGGAAGTGCTTATAAGTGTTCTTCAAATTTTTTAGCACACCTATTACGATAATGAAATGTCGCATCATATCATGAATTCTTCAATTTTATTATTCCTTGCAAATTTGATAGATCAAAAACTTAACTCTACTTCATAATCAATATAAATGAAATTAATGCGTTATTTAACAAAGCAGAAATGTTTATTAGTAGTTCCTGAAAATTATTGGCATTAGAAGAATGTATTCTGTTGTTAGAATAACTTAGAATAATTTTTACCTAATCAATGTAGAAAAAAATCATATATTTTGATTGTATCTTAGCTAAACATGAGAATATTTTTAAGTTTTTAAGAATGTTTTTAGTTTGTTTTAATAAAAAATATTGCTCAAAAATTTTTCTAATATTATGAAAACAAAATAATAATATAGAATAAAGTAATGGAGTAACCTAGAGGTTATCATATTTTAATCTGATATATACTTAGATGTTGTAATATAAAGATTTATGAAATAATTAAATTAAGGTTTCTCTATGTCTTTTTATTAGAAATTTATATTAAAAATCATCCATCGATTCGTGATGTTCTTATTTGAATAATTGAAAATTTTCGAATAATTCGAATATCGAATTTGTAGCAAATAATTCGAACTATTTAAATGAATGAATTCCTGTTTAGATTTCTTATGGATTGCTGTGTAATTTTAAAATAAGTGATTCAAATGACATACTAAAAAAGCAGAAATAATTAATTAATTTATTAAAATAAGAGTAGCATATATTAGTTTTGAAATACCGAAAACGTTGTTATAAAAAGTTAAAAATATACATTATTACGTTGAAGCTTTAAATGTGGTTTATTACGGCAGTTGATCTGTTGGAGAAGAGGTAGAATTTATGAATATTTTTCTACTACTTTGTCTAGCACTGACAATAGATGAAATGAATTCATTATCTAAGAAATCTAGGAAAGATAGCGTAAGTTGATCTCCTTTCGTATCTCTTTAATTTTATCTGAAAACTAAAGTGATTTACTAATTATAGCTATGAACTTATGCTGCAATGTTCATCAGATCGTTTCTTTACGGGCTTAGCAGATATAAAGATGGTAGACTTATAGGATCTCCTAAGCTTCAAACTAGAAGTATAAATGGTTTAACAAGGATAGCATATGAAGTCATATTTAAAACTATCGTTCTATGAAACTCACTTTTATTTTGAGAGCATTACAATAGGCGATAAATCTCTCCTATTTAAAGTATTAACATTCTATTTGTATTAATAAGTGCCATCTCAAACCATAAATTCAGAATTTCAACTATTCTAATAGTTCGAAATATTTGATGCAAAACTAATATACGAGTAGTTTAAATAGTTATTCAAACTATTTGATGCAAATTCGGATATTCGTATTCGCTAATATATTTGAATAACAATTACTTCTTAGTCTATTAATACAATGTGTTTTTTTTGTTAAATCTTCTGTCTTTCTAAAATGTATCTCATTGTTATTGCTAATACTTTAATCATTTAATATTATATTAATATCATTGATATATACATTTTTTTATATATATATATTTATTAGTGCTTATGTTCGAACATAATAATGCGCGAGCAGTTCGAATATAATGAAATTCGAACATTTGGATTTAAACTGCAAATATTCGAAAATTTTCGAACTGCTCGAAAAGTTTCGAGCTGGTAGATGTTCGAGCTATTTAAGCTAATCTGCTTTAGGTTACATTTTATACAAATACATAAACGAGAGGCTCGAACACAATATTATGTTTAAACATTTCAAGCGGCAGGTTGTATTCGAACGTTTGGTTCGAATATTAAAATGGAAGTTTCGAAAACCTCGCCTCATATTTGAAGTGCTAATATTTATGTATGTAAATTAAATATTTAAATATATATATTATTTATCATTATTAAAAAATTCTGCTCAGAATCTATTAGACTTACAACAAAAAATATCAAATATATTTAAAAAAATTTTCGCTGGTACTTAAATGGACGACTCCGACATATAATATCGTACACAATACAATATTTTATGTATAAGTTTTTTTTTAATATTGTGTTTATAATTTTTGCTTGTTTCTTTTTCTCTTGCAATTGCAGTTTGGCGCTTTAACTCCTTTAGAACCCCGGCTAGGAAAGAAATTAATAGAACCTCTTACAAATCTAATTCATAGGCAAGTTTTGTTGTTGTTTTTTGATTTGTGTTATTATTTAATTATAAAATTATATTTTTGTTTTTAGTATTTTTAAATAAAAATTAAATGTTTTATAAAAAAATGAAGAAATATTTAATGTTATATTTATTTTTTTTTAAACACTTTTGCTATAAGCGTTTTTTGCAGTATTTGTTTAAAAGATTTCAACTTTTTTTTATTAATTCATATGCAAATGAAACCACAGTGTAAGCTTCTTTAATTTGTTTAAAATTGTTGACAATTTTTTGTAATAGACACAGATCGCACCCTGTAATTGCAGAACATAAATTGATTATATATTTTTATATTAACAGCACAACCGCCATGAGTTTACTTTATGAGTGCATAAACACTGTCATCGCCGTGTTAATCAGCATCAGTAGCGGTTTGCCAAATCACAGTGCCTCAATACAATTATGCGTTCAAAAGTTGCGTATACTCATCGAAGACTCCGATCAAAATTGTAAATATGATATGAATAATTGATGAATAATTGTTATAATTCTTATTAACATTTTTTTGTATATTTTAGTGAAATATTTGGGACTATTGGCGATGTCGAAAATTCTTAAAACTCACCCTAAAAGCGTACAAGCGCATAAGGATTTGATATTAGCCTGTTTAGATGATAAGGATGAATCAATCCGTTTGCGAGCGTTAGACTTACTGCATGGCATGGTGTCTAAAAAGAATCTCATGGAAATTGTAAAACGACTGCTGGGGCATATGGAACGAGCAGAGGGTTCGGCCTATCGTGATGAATTGCTCTTTAAAGTAATAGATATTTGTTCGCAAAGTTCGTATTTGTATGTAACGAATTTTGAATGGTATTTAACGGTGCTAGTGGAATTAATACAACTAGAAGCTGGTTCTAAGCATGGTATTTGTATATATACAGAAATTATTGTCAATTATGATTCTATAAATATTTTATTGCTGAAGGTCGCCTTATTGCGGAGCAGCTACTAGATGTTGCAATACGTGTGCCTGTTGTTCGTCAATTTGCTGTCAATGAAATGACTAGTTTATTGAATACTTTTACTGTATCGGCTCAAAGTAATTCCATGTACGAAGTGTTGTATGCTGCTGCTTGGATTGTTGGCGAATTTTCAAAGTAATTTTACAAATACCAAAAATATATTTTTCATTTAAATCTTTATTTTTTATTGTTATAGCGAATTGGATGATGCAGAGAATACTTTAAACATTTTATTGAGACCTCGGCAAGTGCCGGGTCATATTCAAGGTGTTTTTGTACAAAATGTTGTTAAAATTTTTACAAAACTTGCCACAACATGTTTGGAAAACGAGGATACAGCTACATTAGTAAAAGTAACTACCGTTATCTTAAAATAATAGAATCTTTGTTAAGGTTAACATATTTGTATTACAGCTTTGTGATCATGTGCTGGAAAAACTGCAGGAATTTAGTAGTTCCAATGATATTGAAGTTCAAGAACGTGCAAATTCTGCTTGTATACTCATTGAAATGTTGCGCGTACAATTCAAAAATAATGCCACCGAGTTAACTACACATGCTCAATCAAATCATAAAAACGCTATGGAAAATATAATATCCACAGATGATAATCAAAATATGCCAACACAAAGCCAGATAGAGTCCAGAAGGATACCTACATTAGCTATAGAAATTGTACAGGAAATGGCTTTACTGTTTGCTGGTGACCTGATACCAGTTGCAGCAAAAGCACAGCGCAAAGTACCACTGCCCGATGGTTTAGATTTAGATGAGTGGATAAACCCACCACCTGAAGAAGAGAGTAGCGCATCATCACAGGATGAAAATGATGAGCTCTTTGTTAAATCTTCCATCAGTAACGATGAAAGCAAACGACGCAAGAGCTTAGAATTAACTCCAGAGCAAATAGAACAAAATCGAATGGCACGTCTTCAAGAACAGTCAAACAATCCGCACTATTTAAAATCAATGCCATCGGATGGCAATAATAAAACAAAAACATCAAATTACAATTCAAGTTATAATGTGGATCAATACGATAATATAGACGATATTCCAATAACCGAATTATCGCTTGATATACCATTACTAATTGGTGGTAAGTTGCATAAATATTAATGTATTCTAAATATTGTGCACAATCATTTAATTTTTTTTCTGTTACTGCAGCTACTAAACGTTCCGATAAATATATTGTTCAAGACAAGTCAAGTACTAAGGAGAAGAAAAAACACAAAAAATCCAAAAAGAGCAAAAAATCAAAAAATAAAGTGTCCTACAGTAGTTCGGATTCTGACGAAGGTTAGTATAATTATACCACAGACCACGTATTTATAGATGTCTACGGCCATGCATAATTAGAGTCCACTAAAATGTTTTAATTTAGCCATTCGATCGCTGTTCAATCTACAACAGCAGATACATTTAGTAAAGAAAGAAAGAGAATAAAGCTCTTTCAAAACTTCTCATTTGCTCAGAGTGCAAATCACAAAAGTTGAACAAAAGCTGATTTCTGAACTTTTAAAATCGTTATCGATTTTGTGTTTAGTGTTGGATATCCATATATAAGTTTTCTGCACTTATTCGTTAAAATATTTTCAAATTGAAGAAAAAGTGCCTTCCCGGTTTTCACTGTTATATGCGTATATATGCTAACACATCTATTATGACTGATAACATATAAATATATTATAATTTAATTTTAGAACTATTTAAATGATTAACTTATTTGTAGAACCGAAACCGCTACATATTGTTAACACAACGCTGGATATGCCCGAAGGCGTTGCATTATCTGATAGCGAAGATAAAGACGGTAAATTTGATCTTGACGATCCACACCGTGCGCTTAATATTGAATTAGATATGTAAGTAAATTTTTTATCTTGGTTTTATTGAAGTTATCAATATTTTATACAGACCCGATTTTGAGGAACCCAGAAACCGCCACGCAAATAAGAAGCCTACGATTAATAGTCTGAATAATAATCAGGACTTGAATACTGAGAACAAAAGTAAATCTACTGGTAGCAGAAAGGAAAAGAAAAAAGACAAACATAAGGATAAAGAGCATAGATCAGCTAACTCTAAACACAAAACTAAGGAGAACGCTATTATAACAGAAAATTTATTGGGTGCTTTCGTCGAAGATGTACCCAAAGACAAAGCTGCAATAGAAAAATCACAAGAAGTGTCTAATATGAATGTGCAACATAATATTGAAAAGAAAAAGAAATCTCATAAGTCTTCGAAGGACAATAAAGACGACATTTCACACGAGAAGAAAAAAGAAAAGAAACAGAAACAGAAACATTTACACAAAGAAAAGGAAAAAGGTAGAAAGGAGAATTCAAATGGAGACTATGAAGAAGCACTAGGAATTTCAACACCAAGTAAAGAATTATTTTAATTTTTGTAATATTATATGTTCGAACACTTAATTTTTCATAAACATAAATGAATCTTATTAAGTTTAAAAAATAGTTTTAAATTCATTTTATATTGTATTTAATATGAGAATGAAATGAATTATATACTCCACTGAAATATGTACTTCGATTATTCTTTTTATCGATTGATTGTCTTATTAGTAATACAAACGTGTATAAGTTCGAAAATGGAATTCGTAATATTTAGTTGCTTTTTATATTATATATAACGGATCAGTAACTAATAATTTAAACTAAGTAATTAACCTTTTTTTGATAAGACACTAATATTAGTTAACAAAAGTTGTGCTTACAACAAAAAAAAAAAAATGAAGACATCATAATGCAGTCCGCATTATTATCACATTAAATTGCTGAGCAACAACACATAAACACATTTATATGAACAATTAATATAAATTACTATTTAATAAAAACTATATATATACTTTAATTTTATAAATCGCATATATTCTTACTTATATTGTTTAAAAAAAGAAGTATAAATACTTAATTATATTATTTGTTAAATGTGTAATAAAATGTATTCCATTGATGAAATATTTATACATAAAAGGAATATATATATATATATATGTTATATATAAATTATATAGCAAGTGTATATGCATATGTAAGTATATTTGTATATTTACTTTTTGTTGAGATTGTGTAATATGTAAAGAAAATATAATTGTTTTATTTAGCTTAAAATATTTTGAAAATTTTTATCTACAAGAACAAAGTTAATGAAAAAGAATATATGAGACCCATACTGAATCCATAGCTTAAGTTAATAGAATTAGTAATAACCGATACAATAAAGAATATAAATACTGAAATAAAGTTGAGCTTGATAATTTTTTTCTTAATTTAAATAATAAACTTTGAAAATTTAAGCTTTTGAAATTGTTATATCATTTAGGCCGTGTGCGAGTTCGAGTCAATTGATGGTAAATTGAGGTAAATAGTAAATTATGTCGATATGGCAGCGAATGTTGGTATTTACCAAAATTTCTAGTAGGATATTTAATAAATTTCGAGTACAAGATGTTTAATAAATAAATTAGAAAACTTGTAACCAAAAATAATAAATACATAAATGCAATAAATGAATAAATAAATATTTACATAAGTGGAAATTTCAATTTACTCGAACTCGCACACGGCCTTAATTTTTTTTATTTGTATTTTGTGTTTTATGGAATGCAATATAGATAAAATTTCTGAAACGGTCAGAGTGATCTACACCTCGGATCTGCTGTTTGCCTCTTCTATCGTTCACAAAAAAAGGGTGGAAAAAGCCTTTTAAAAAAAGTTCATAATGTCATGTCCCAAAAAAACAAACAAATCATTTAAATGTTCAATGTTTCACCAAAAGGACTGTCGTAAAAACTACATCAGAACCTACTACTATTCTATAAATTTATATTGAATTTTTTTTATAGAATGAAATAAAACGTCTCCTTCACTGTGGTTTTGATTAATCTTTTTATTGAACGAATTATTAATTTGTACTTTTTTTTTATTATAATTGCTTTTCATAATTTAAATGAAAAAATTAATGAACAGAAGCATTATTAACATTTTAATATTATTTAATAACTGAAAATTGTACTAACAACAAAGAGCGATTGCATCATTATGGAAATCCACATTATTTAATAACTAACTTAATAAAAACTAGATACATTAATAGAATAGTATAGTTTTTTTATATTGTATTAACTGGTGTTTCTTAAAAAGTATAAAAATCCGGGTAATAGCATATAACTTATTATTTATCTCTCCATAGGGCAAATTCTTTAACTCAATCAAGAAAAATTACTTCATCCATGTAAACTGCACAGTCCCTAACTCATTTTGTGCGCAAAGTACTTAATATTTAATGTGACATTAAACTGATTAAACAGATAAGTAACCTCAACCGACTTCCACCTGACATTTTGATCGTTCAGCCAAAACTGTACTGATTAACAGTTACTTATTATGTATTAGCACGTTAGCTTCCAATGTGAGTTTAATTATCAGCTCCATTCTTTACTGTTTTGACCTTTCCATAGAAACAGGGTCGTGCTGCCCCATCAACGAATAACCTCGCCATAATGATTTGGAATCGCTCTGCCAATAGTCCCCCTTACTGCATTTTTCACATATTTGCGAACTTTTTTTATACTATATTACCACTTCTGTATATCTTTTGATGAAACCTTATGTCTCGGATAAAAGATCTGTCCATAAAAAAAAATTAAAATACCCTCTCTCACTTGTCAGCTATTCCGTTATCGAGAATTATGGAGGAAATTAATTAGTTATCGTCATAAGTGTTACTTTTACTCATTCATTAAATGCTGTATGATTACAGACAACTTATATATGGATGTCCAAAGACAACTACAAAATCGGCAACGATTTCGTAAGTTCAAAAAAAACTTTCTCAATGTTTTTTGTTTTTATATAACAAATTATATCATCAAATTATCATGATATAATTATATCAAATTATATCATTATCTTATATGCTTTTTTTGAATATCAAAGAGCCTTCGCTCCCACTCTTCCTGTAACTAAATGTGTGTTCTCCGATTTACAGTATATATATGAATGACGGATGACATGTAGATTGAAAAACAACTGAAAGGTACGGTGTTGGGTTCTATCGTTTGTGGTATAAATTTAGTTATGTGCAATATATTTTAATATTAGATAATAGTTAATAGCTTTTAGAACTCTGTAAAAAATATAATATAGCATATATTAATTTCATAACAATATTTTTTTTTTATTTTTAATAAATTGTGTGATATTTTATTTTAGTTAACAAAGCTTGGGAGTATTAAAGGAATGCCAATATCAAATTCGAGGCCCTTGCATTACTGTTACTTTCGCAGTATACTAACACAATAATAATATCACGAGTTTGTTATTTATTATTGTTTACAGAATATAATGCATTTCATTTAATATGGAACTTTTTTTTTCTAAATAAAGTAATTCAGTAGTAATTGATCAATTCATTTGCAGAGGCGGTTAGTTAATCAGGGTCTTCATAAAATGTCACAACACGGAATTATTGAAATTTCATTTTGTTGTGCTAAAATAAATTTTAAAAAGAATTAAATTGTGTTTTATTAATTATAACCAATTCTCTCACCGTTCAGGTTTTTCATTTTTAGTAATTCGATTATGTTTCGCTTAGTTTCCATATGTGGTAAATGTCAATTTAAGTGCAAGCTACGATTTCCCATTGACAATTTATTGGAATTGTTGATAACAACACCGCTCATACGCATATGTTCAAATGTGAGCGGTATGGCAATTCGTTGATCCCGTTTCTTGTAATACTCATTGAAGTCCAGACGAATGCCAAACAATTGTAAGTTGTGATCATTATTCGAATGGAGTAGAAGTAAGAAGCAATGAACGGCTTCTTCATAGTCAGCTTTTATATTTCCTAGAGACTTATAATAACTGCTGGTGTTTTGTTCAAAGATTTTGCGGTCCTGATCACGTTCCAACATTTTTTCAGTAGTTGTGCCAAATTTTCCTTTCCCTTCTGAGATGAGAGCCTCCTTTGTATACCTGTTACGCGCTTTTAATTCTTTGAGAACTATATCGTAAAACTTTTTTTGCCACACATTTAAACGTTGTATGCAGTCATAAACCGTCTCCATGTGTTGGCAGAGTTCTCGTGAATTTTTATCTTCAGTTTCCTGAAATGTGCCTTTTCTAACGGATTTTAGAAAAAACATATGTGCCTGTAGGACATCATCCAGGGTCCGGGCCTTTTTAATATCATCTGTTAGCATTGACCAAGAACATTCAATCACTTCGAATAATATATAATATTCCATTTGATGTATGAAATGCATAATTTCAGAGGTAAGCATATGTAATCCATATAGTACCTTGGAAATTTCTTTAGCAATCGGTCTTATAATCTGAAAGTATTTATATAAAATCATATTAAATATTTTTTTTATGTATATAATATTAAGTATTGGTGTTGGTCAGTGTAATATTAAGTATTGGTGTTGGCAGAGTTTTTTGGGTGCATGTCGAGACAGTGTTTCTGCTTATTAAATTAATTTCCAATATATTTAATTTCATTAATTGAAATTTTAGACCTTTCAATTAAAGGTTTTATGACCTTTACCAACTTTATTACAAATTAATACGGCATGACCAGCTGATATTAAAATAGTTTTAATGATTAATTTAACTTCACTTTATCAAAGATCTATTACTCGTTAGCAACTTCAAATATTGGTTACAAATTTAGACGTAATATGGTTAACAGTCAACGAAAGGTTTTATGACCTTTACCAACTTTATAAAAAATTAATATGGCATGACCAGCTGATATTAAAATAGTTTCAATGATTATTTTAACTTCACTCCATCACAGATCTATTACTTGTAATCAACTTTCAAATATTGGTTACAAATTTAGACATAACATAGTCAACACGAATCGAGTCCTTTCTGTTTATATTTAATGACTGTCTAGAAGAATGGCTGCCTAGCTAACTGCACTCATCTTTTCATATATGAACTCATCTTTGCTTAAATTTTTAACAGTTTCAACCTGTCTGATGACTATACCTTGCTATATCTCCTACTGCCTAATGAGAATATTTTGTTATATTTCTAACTGTCTGATGACTACGCCTTTTATCTATCGACCAGTCTGATGACTACACCTTGTTATATATCTATCTAGCTGATGACTATACCTTTTCTCCTCTCTATTCTGCGAAACATGAAAGCACATAGTTTTAGTAATAGTTACGTATTGTTCCAATAGCAGTCAGATCTATGTCTCGATGTTATTCGTTAACACAGACAATAAAATGCATCGTTACTTCTATTATTCTTATTATGTGCATATAAAAGGTGACATATTAATGAAAAGATGCATATTTTAAAGTAACTAGATTATTTGTAACATAAGAGGAATTATTTGAATAAATGTTCATTGTTCTTTTAAATATACATATATCAATTTAATTTTTAATTGTTTTGTTTTAAAATTTTTTAGGTAAATAAATGCAAGTAGTTATAATTTGATCATAGAGAAAATATTTATATATCACCCATTGTATTTAGAGAATAATTTGTTTAATTTAAAGTGGCATTTTACATTTCTAATTTCCATCTACCCTTATTTTTAAAAATTGCAAATTATATTTTTTCCGGGTATTTATAGTGTAGTATTTGAATTGTTAAGGTTAAAGTTTAAAATGCATATTTTAACAAATTCATTGGCTATACTATCTTATCTCACATCAAATTGCCAGATAATTTGTAAAAACAAACATAACTTTAATTTAAAAAGACTCTCTTTTAATCGTTTATGAGCTTATTTCTTCTTAGTATTAAAGCTTTCAGATCAAGTAAAGCATAAATGTATCAGATTGTAAGCAAGCAACTGTCTTATTTTAGTCGAACTAAAATTAATTGTGTTTTAGTTAATGCAATAACATTTCAAAAACTGTAGCTTTATAAACCATTTAAGCACTTTAGTTGTCATAATGTAAGATTAACTTCTAATTTAATATTAAATAATTATTTTTTTAAGATATAAATAAAAATAATAATAAGGTTAAGTATGTAAAAACACATATTCGTTTTTTGCTCATTTCAGATCATATATTGTTCTCGTTTTGTCTCTTCTGCATAGAAGAGATCTTTTATCAGCTGATAAAAACATTGAGCAATTGCGCTGCATTTCTTTGTGTGCAAAGTATTTGATGTTCAAGCTGAAGATGTGTTGTTTATGCTTTTAAGCTATGCTGCTTTGTAAGCTCTCTGTCATAACTAATGACTTTATTTGCGTTCTGCGTTCTACGTCAACTAATTGAGCCTTTAAGCTACAGTCACTTGTTACTGTATTTCTTGCAATTGATCTACACTGAGAGTAGTTGGGTATAAATAACAGCAAGCTTTACATATTAGTAGTTGAATATACTGCCTTATTTTGTAACTCGTCTCACAGTTTTCACCTTAACATTTCTATAGTGCAAACGTCTAATCAAAAAAACAGCAGAATGCGCATGTAGAGGAAATGGGAGTTTCGCCATAAATTTGACGTTTTCGTATTGTACCGATTTAATTCACTTTCGTCATTCACAGTGTAAGCATGCGATATTAGAAATTAATATAACAAATAGTGTAAAACATAAATTTTACTTAATTGAAATATTTGTATTACAGTAAAAAGTATTAACTTATATTCAACAAACATGGCCCTACCGTCAGATGCTATATTCCAAAAAATTATTGATGGTGTTAAAGACAATGAAGCAAAAGCTAAAGCCGTAAATGGTGTTTTTCTGTATAAAATTACAAAGGATGGCAAAGTAGTTAAAGAATGGAGTAAGTAATTGAAATTATTATGTATTAACAATGTAAATGATAAAATAGCATTCTACGACTTAAAAACTAGCATTCTATCACTTATTTGCTTAGCAATTCATTGGGTACAAAGGGTAAATGTAAATGTGAGGAAAAAAACTGTACAAAGACTACGTCATTACGTTATGCTTTTAAAATCTCGTAAATTTTTTTAAAATAATTAAACTAACATTTTTTGATTTTCAGCAATTGATTGCAAAAACGTTAAAGTTTATGAAGGACCAGCAAAGGATGTTAAAGTTGACACAACATTAACCTGTTCCGATGAAGACTTTGTTGACATTGCCTTAGGCAAATTGAATCCACAAGCAGCGTTTATGAAAGGAAAGCTAAAGATTGCTGGCAACATCATGTTGACACAGAAGCTGGCTCCTCTGTTGAAGACTGACTCCAAGTTGTAAATACTGACAGAGGTTTTACATTTATTATATGTAATTTGATAATTAAGCAGTAATAATATTCCAGTAAATTTGTATGTGGGTTCGATACGGTGATGATGTATATAATATGAAACACGTTTACTTAATAATGCTATAATAAATCCTTTTTTACACATCAAACTTTTTGTCTTTTTCTTTCGTTTGAACATTGAACTTAAATCGATTTACGTACACGGAATGTTAAGCTTCAGATTAGATTAATAATCTAATCCGATAGTTTCCATTAACATTCAATAAAACTTAATTTATTTGCTCAAATCTTCGATAACGAATTTAACACAATAAACTTAAGTTTCAGAAAAAGGAATGAAACTTATGAATTTGTTTAACATTTAATTACCAAACCAAAATTTAATAATATTAAAGCATATAATATTCAAGTCTATTAATTAATGTATAAATGCACCCTGCATATTCTTCATATGAACTTTGTGCTATAAACTGCACAGCAACTATAATGTTAATTAATGTAATTGTTGTGTAGAAAACGTTAAGGTACTTTATTTATGTATATGAAGAAATACTATAGAGACAACATATCTATATCAATTGATTTCTTCAGGTAGCGTGTTGCACTTGTATTTACATGCTATCTACTTTTCAGAAAAATTAAAACATTTTAAAGCTCTTTTTTTATATTAATGTGTTGTGTATCCTTCTGCCTAGATCCGAACAAGCCATTTAGCGTTGTTTACTCAGAAATTATCACAGATACCACCCTAGTTTACCGAACAACAATAACTTCACTTTCTTAAGAGTTTTTTAAAATATAGTAAAATATTGTAAACGATATCTTCTGCAATGAATTAGCTGTTAACAGCTAAAATCAAGATACTGCTCAGTTAGGCATATGTCAAATATCTTACTATATCTTAAAATATCTTTACTAACTAAGCATTATGTGTGTATGGAATAGGATGAGCAAAGCGATATGGAGTAAGGATGAGGTGATATGTAGGGATGTTAAATCTAACTTGAGTGCAGATTGAAAAATCTTGCCATTAATCTATAGAATTTAGAAGGCTCAGAAAAGAGCCAATAGGACTGCATCGATATGACGGGCGAATAACTCTTGCCTAAAATAGAACTCACTGTTGTTATGTTATCTTCATTGGGGTAGGGGTTGATGTATCTATAATAAGAATTAGGCATAATTATGATCTTACTGATTGTAACAAAGCTTAATCTTAAGATATCATTGTTGATTATTGTACTTAGTATTTTAAGAAAAGAGAGAAGCAGCTTTTCACAAAATTTGCTCTCATAATAAACATTTACACTGTATTACTAAGGCATAGTCCAACAATAGTTTCAATCGTCATGATAAGTTGATAAAATTATATTCTTGTTACTCAATATATGCTAAATGCATGTGTAATATACACACATACATATCACTTACCTTATCATTGCATTTTTGATCTTTCCAAATTTTAGTAGAAAGCATATGTTCCATGTGCTTCATACGCCAAAGAGGTCTAAATAAAACTTGATAAATTTGATTAGTATCCTCAAACAATATTGCCAATGGTCCATCTATTTTATAAATAATTGACACTATATCCCAACCAATTTCTCCATTACACGGATTATTACAGCAGATATGTAGATTATTGTAAACATCTGCACCATCAAACTGTGCATTTGTTGATCGTATGGCAGAATCCATTATAGAAGTAAGATCACTAGCTCGCAGATCTTTGGCAGGTTTATACAATTCAGTTCTTATAAAAAACATATGTTATTAAAATGTTATATTTATTAAACATTTTTAACTTACTTAAGAAGCTCAATTAAGACACATATAAAATCTCCTTGACCTAAAAGCAAGTAACGTCTGTGCGCTTGTAAATGAAATTCGAGTTTATATTCCCCTTTTACTTTGTCTAAAACACTTTTGGAAGTTTTTTCAAAAATCGATTCAATTATGCCATGTAATTTGGTGTCAGGCACTTGTGAAAAAATTTGCTCTCCTAAATGAATACATCATAAAAGAAATAAATATACTATACAAAATGTTAAACTGGTTTTTATACCATCTTTTTTTATGCATTGGAGTAATTCATCGCGGCCTTCCATCAATCGCTTATCTTCACAAACTTCTCTTAAAAAATTAATACTTTTGCCAGTAATAAGTATTTTATTAGCCAAATCCATGGATATAAAAGTAGGTAGCATATCAGTACAAACGCTATATTTATCTTTCCATAAACGCTCAGGTCCAACATCGTTTATGCATTTAATAAAAAATTCGTTATGTGGATCTGAAATCACGCCTTCTAACATCCAATGAGAGAGCATTTGATATAATGGATGACATACTGCTAGTAAAAGATCCTTTGCTAATGCTTTAACTGTTGGATTACCATGACCCAGAAAGCTATAAATTGTTGAAGCAAGTTCACCACCTTTTTGTACCTTACATTTCTCTGCTATTATAGTTAAACACTTTAATCGATGCAATGGTTCAGCAGCCCAGACCATCAATTTAGTTAGAGTAAGACTTTCATTAACATTTTCATAGCAATTTTTTTGGTACGAAGTTCGTTGTTGATTAAGCTATCAATAAATATGAAAATCAGTCAAGAAATAATATAATTTTGTTCATAATATATATACCTGTTCCTGCAGCATTGCAATCATTCCATAATATTTTGTTAATTCATTTTTTAATGCGGATATAAAACCTTGACCCATATACCCTAAAGCTGTTTTTCCAGTACTAGGATTCGAGAAATTTTGCAGCAAATTGTGATAATAACTAGAGTAAAGTTAAATTTATTAGTTTTTAAATTTATTGAATGTATTCGCATTAGTTTTAAAGTACCCAAGATGAGATAAATATAGCAGAATGTGTGCTTGTTCTCTACTAATAGCGCTGCAATTTGTGCGTAACTTAAATCGTTCCAATTCAATATCTTTCTGCAAATATTTTCCATCAATGCCAGTAAAAGCATATATTAAATTCTGTATTATGTCATCATTTTCATTATTTTTTTCTTCCTTTGTGGAAACAGCTAATGCACTTGGTAGGACTACTTGATTGTTAGAGGAACAAGTGTTGGACGCGGTAGTACTCACAGAATCAGAGCTGGAAAAACCATGACTAGCGCGTACGGTATTTAATTTATTACTAGAATCTGATGAGCTGCTGCGAGCCGAAAGCTAAAACGAATATATCAATGGCAATTATGGTTTCCACAAATCATGTGCTGTTTTTACTCACTGCTTCAAGGAGCCTCGTATCGAGTTTCTTACTTGTCGAATTGTCGCTGAATTGCCTATGTGGGTAAACAGGATTTATGTTACTGCTTCCATTAATCTTCTTATTTTTATCATGATCATTTTTTATGTTTGTATCAGCCATGAACAATAAAAATGTTAACAATGCTCGGTGATGATATGGATCTATTCGCTATATTTTACCAATGTTAAAAATGATAACCATAACCATTACTTATGATGATGTAGCTAAACGTTATGTTACTTACACTGTTTTTTAATTTTTCGTTAATTTTTTGAAACAGGCTAACATTGCTTACAAAGCCGATTCCACCATGATTGATTGATGACAGTTTAATATCTAAATTATTAGTAATAAATGAAGTTGTAAGACCATGCGGCATCACAGAATCTAAGCTAGACACCTTGCATATGTGCTGACGTACTTTTGCTTCAAGTGCAATGGAATCATATGGCAATAATTTGTTAAACGTTATTGGTGAATTAGATATGTAATTCGACATATTCTTCACAATTTCTCCTAAAAATAATCTTGTTATAAATCAATGTTTCTCGTTTTGTTTGCAAATATAACTTACTCCCAGGTTTTATCTTATTACCACCACTCATGCTTAATGCCAACTTATCTATTAGTTCATATATTAGCGTATAGTTATTGCTGTGTTCATCATCTCCATTGGAAGACATATTTTTAAGCACAGCTTTTCAGTGCGACTTCAGTGCAGTTTCAGTTTGTATTTAGAGACAAATTATTTACTTTCAACTTTTGTACTTCATTCCAGTTTGGATTTTGTTGGTTTCAGATAGATGACAAATGCCAACTTTTGTGCAATTTTTTCCAGTTTATGAACTTTTATTAAAAATTTGCACTAAATCTTATAACATCAATTATATAAAATTATGGAATCTATAACCTTTTAGACTTTTCCGCAATTGTATAAAAATTAATAATTATTATAAACAAAGTCTCAACTGCTTAACAAAACAGTGGATGAACAATGTTTGAGCGAATATCGCAGTGTCTATTTTTGCGCTCGGAATGATGTTAGAGCAAACAAGAAACAATATAAACAAAACGAAACAAAAACAAAATATGATGCCACAAGTTAATTGAAGGCCACAAGTTAATAAATAGTTTTTAATAGTTCAACAGTGTACCAAGAACAGATAAAATTTCTTTTGAATATAATAATTTGATATAATAATACATAACACATAAATAAAATTAGTTTTTTTGACATAACTAAATAATAAATAAAAATTTTTGATTGAAATGATATGGCAACATTTGTAAATTAGAATTTGTCAGTGGTTGTGTCGTCGCTTTTGTTAATAATTCTTGCCACGAAAACTGTGCTTTTATTCCAAAAGAGTTTGTTTAAGTTTAATTTAATCAACAAATCGTAGATTTAGTGAATACGAGGCATAAAGGTAAACATAAATAGTGTTTTTGTTTGTATAATACAGAATCGAATATATTCTGAAAATGTAGTCGAAGGCAGCGGAAGTAATATAGTTTATTAATTTTCTACACCGTGCTTTTGTGCCGGCGTTTCTTTTTTTTTTTGTGGGTGTTTCAGCAAACTTTGCTTACAGTGGAGTATGACCTTGGACACACAAAATGCTAGCAAGGCGAGGGCTATGCCAGCATGGGAAAAACAGGAACATCTTATTAAGCTAGTCATATTGATTACTGCAGCAATTTTATGTAAGTTTATTTAAATGTTTATAAAGTTTAAAGTTTTAACTGAGTTTTATTAATTAATTTTATTCTATTTATTTATTTTATAATGTTAGTGTAGATAATATCTTAGTTATATATAAAACATAACTGTAGAACTGTTTATTATTTGGTATACAAAATCATAACATAGCGATGGTTCTTACTGTATTGCTCTGTTTGCTTACAACTTGTATTTGTGATATAATTTCCAAATTTAATTATATGTACTTATTTTTTATATAAGCTTTAATGCATTGATTGCTACATTAATTCTTAAAAACCCAGTGTAAAAAGTCAATTTATAGACAGTAATTTTTTAAATTCAGTAAAGCCAAGTCAGCACTTCACATGAAATGTTGTTTTAAAAATTAAAATGTTATGCCTTGAGAATATGTTTTCATCGATAAACTTTTAATTTAATCTCACAAATCATGTGAGGAAGTACTATATAGTATGATAGAGTGGCCGAGTCTACAGAGACAAAGCCAGCATGTTTTTTAATACTGCAATAACAACTACGTTCAGGCATATCATTTTTCAAATCTCAGAGCAACTCAGAGTTAATCTTTTCAGAAAATCATAATTTTGTCTTAAGTTTGTTTCTTATTTTGAAAATGCCGAAAGTTGCAGATATGTTTTGTTTTGTTTTGCTACACCTTATAAAAATTATTCACAATATCGCTCGCTACAGTATTGTGCGATTGTGAATTGTGAAATTATCGATTATCATTGTATGCAATCGAATAGGAATTTTACTTTGTAAAGCGAAGACAACAAACTAAACCAAACGGTCAAGATTACACACAAAATTTTAATTACTTCTAAATAGATTACACAAAAAAAATGACATCAACAAAAACTGTTTATTAGGAGTTGACATGTTCTGATTTGTTGTATTTATTAATTTATATCTAATAATAATTGCTACAATTATAAGTTAATTCTTGGAATATTTAGGTAAAATTTTTTAGATATTTAGATAAAAGTTTCTAATACAAATTATCTAGTGTTGGTAATGGTATTGTTTAACGAGTTCGCTATTGTGAACTTACACTTATAACGAGCACATCTTAATTTCCTGTTTTTAATTCTTTATACTTTTGCTTTCGTAGCGTTCGCCACGCGCTTGTTTTCTGTGCTGCGATTTGAGAGTGTTATCCATGAGTTCGATCCATATTTTAACTATAGGACTACAAAGTTCCTTGCCGAACAAGGCTTTTATAAATTTCATAATTGGTTCGATGATCGCGCTTGGTATCCATTGGGACGTATTATTGGAGGTACCATTTACCCCGGGTTAATGATTACATCTGCAACATTGTACCGTTTAATGTCGATTTTAAATATAACTGTGGATATACGTAATATTTGTGTATTCTTGGCACCATTTTTCTCGTCGTTAACTACATTAATAACCTATGCCTTGACGAAGGAAATCTATGTAAGTATAAGCAGAAATTAATTTTATATACATTTTGAGGTTATACACGTGGGGTGAGTATATTTGTGCTATACATTATTAATACTTGGGAATTTAAATATCATTAGGATGATATGTAGTGAGTACTAATATTATAGCTGAATATTAATTACATATTTTTAAAATTTCACATTGATAAATATAACTGAGATATCTAAATGTAATTTGTTTTAGACAACTGGATCAGGTTTGGTTGCAGCTGGTCTTATATCAATCGTTCCTGGATACATATCAAGATCTGTAGCGGGTTCCTATGACAATGAAGGTATAGCAATCTTTTGTATGCTATTGACGTATTATCTGTGGATCAAGGCTGTAAAAAGTGGTACAATTTTTTGGTCCGCAATGTCTGCATTGGCCTATTTCTACATGGTATCATCATGGGGTGGCTATGTGTTTTTAATTAATTTAATACCATTACACGTGCTTACTCTGATAATTACAAGCCGTTTCTCACATCGTATATACGTAGCATACAGCACTCTTTATTGTGTTGGTACAATTTTATCAATGCAAATACCGTTTGTAGGATTTCAACCAATTCAAAGTTCCGAACATATGCTGGTAAATAAAAGTTAAAATTAATTAGTTAATCTTAAATATTTTTGTAATCATTCCTTTTTAAATAGGCACTAGGAGTTTTTGGACTTTGTCAGATAAATGCTTTTGTAGACTTTTTACGCTCAAGGATGTCTAAAGAAAATTTCGCAATAGTTTTTAAAACTTTAGTTTCCGCTACAGTAACGACAATTCTCGTACTTATGGTTGCACTAATGATATCAGGCAAAGTTTCGCCTTGGACTGGACGTTTTTATTCTTTGCTTGATCCATCCTATGCAAAGAATCATATACCAATCATAGCTTCAGTATCTGAACATCAGCCTACGTCATGGTCTTCATTTTATTTCGATTTACAGGTAACTATGTTCCTATATTAAACTATTTTCCTTGTCATGAGCATTTTCATTTTTATAATTCATGATGACATTAACAATAATGAGTGCGTCTTAATGTCCGTAAATGTACAGTTTTGATGTTTTTTATATAAAACTCACTGACGTTTATCACCAAGTGATTACAATTCACTTTGATCGCTGATAATTTACACTAAATTTAAGTTTAGTTTAAGTTGAAGTTTATTTTGAATTGTAACAAATAGAATTTTGAAATTTTACAGATTCTGGTGTTTCTTTTCCCTGCTGGGCTTTACTTTTGTTTTGCGAAATTAACAGATTCTAATATATTTATTATATTGTATGGTGTCACAAGCATATATTTTGCGGTAAGTGTAAATTTGTTATATTTTGTAATAAATAATTTTATAATTAATATTTATAATTACTGTAGGGAGTTATGGTTCGTTTAATGCTTGTGTTGGCGCCAGTCATGTGTATACTATCTGGAATTGCTGTATCTCATTTACTTGCAAAATACATAAAATGTGTGGATACGGTACCGATGAAGCCTATGGATAGTAAACGTCAGTATAAAAAACTTGAGCAACAAACTGGTGTAAAGAGTGAAGTGGCCATCGGATTTGTCTCTGTTGTTACAATAATGTTAATAGTATATACTTTCCACTGTACTTGGGTTACTTCAGAAGCTTACTCATCACCCAGTATTGTTTTAAGTGCACGGTCACATGAAGGAGGTCGTATTATATTTGATGATTTTCGAGAAGCTTACTACTGGCTACAAATGAACACACCTGAGGTGAGTTTTTTTGTTTATAAAAACGTATTATATTGATGAACTGTTTTTATGATGAAGCTTTAAACATTCTTGATAGGAAGAGTATGATACATAATGAGTACATTTTACTAAACTGATTTTAATTTAGTTCACTAAATATATTTTCGAAAATTTAAAATTTTTACAAAGAATTGTTTTTTGTTTGCAGGATGCACGTATTATGGCTTGGTGGGATTATGGTTATCAAATAACTGCTATGGCTAATCGAACTATTATAGTAGATAATAATACTTGGAATAATACACACATATCACGCGTAGGACAAGCTATGGCATCTACTGAGGATAAAGCCTATGAAATAATGCAAGAATTAGATGTTGATTATGTGCTTGTCATATTTGGAGGGCTTACTGGTTATTCATCAGATGATATCAATAAATTTTTATGGATGGTACGAATTGGTGGTAGTACCGATGGCGGAGCAAATATTAGGGAAAAAGACTATTATGCTGGCACTGGTGAATTTCGTATAGACAAAGATGGTTCATCGACTTTTCTTAATTGTCTTATGTACAAGATGTGCTACTATCGTTTTGGTCAAATATTTTCTGAAGGAGGAAAACCATCTGGCTATGATCGTGTACGTGCGGCTGAAATTGGCAATAAAGATTTTGAATTAGATGTTTTGGAAGAAGCTTACACAACTGAACATTGGTTAGTGCGCATTTATAAAGTTAAGGATTTACGAAATCGTGGTCTGTAGGATTAAATTTATATGCGAATATTCCAGAGGATTGATTAGCGATAAATAAACAAAATAGTATTTTCTAACAGAGCTTAATTTAAATTAAAAAATTGTAGATTTTTTAATACTATAATTTTATTGAATCTCTACCATCTCCTACGTAGATTTCGAAATAATTTCGAATTATATTTACACGTTGTTTATAATTACTCACATACAATTGTATAGCTTTAGATATTATTTGGTAATTTTTAATCCTTAAGGCACTTTTACTCGAATGCAGTTATTATTAAAAGTATTAATAATAAATCAAAACAATAAAATAAATAAAATTAAAATTTCAATAAATGTTTTTAATTATTTGGCGTAGTTTTCGCAATTCGAAAAATACTGTAGAGCAGGAAAACTGAATGAATTGTAATACGAATTTATTAGTTGACATGAGATATAAAGACGGGGATATGTATTATGTGGAAAAAGGATATGGGTCTGGGTAGTAGGGTACGAACTGAAGTGAGCCTGAGACAAGCCGGTTTCATACTTTAATAAGGTACAAATTTGTGTTGCAATTGGAACCTGTAAGCAAATAAGTGACGTCGTGAAAACTACTACACAATTGTTTAATTAAATAAAGCATTGTAAATAAAATGTAGTAAATTTTAATGTTTAGAAAATGAATAAAATTTATTGTATCAAAAAGACAAATGATTATGTGTAAAAACATGCAATCTTGGTATAAAATCTTATTAAGTATTAAGTATTATATTCTTTTAAGAACTTCCATTTTTTTGAGCATCAGTAATAGACACCCCTTCTAAATTTGAGGCTATGCCTTTCAGTGTATCTTCATCACCTGTTAACAAATAGTTAAAAAAACTTGTATTATAAATAAGTTTACATAAAATAAAATATTTTTACCATTTTTCTGAGAATTTGATTTCGTGATGAAAGACATTACGTCCAGCTTTGTTGCTAAGCCTTTGAGCACTTCCTTGTCACCTATCATGAAATTTGTTTTATTAATTTTAAAACTAGTTAAATTTATTTTTATCGTATACCTTCTTTATCAACAATAAGTACACATGGATCAACTTCTACTACACGAGCTAGTTTTCCTAAAATGTCTGATGAAGTAAGGCGAATGGGTCTCTTATTTAGTGCTTTGATAGCGGGATCAGTTGGTTTTCGTGACATGCTTACAATTTGATTTATTAATGTTTCTTGACCAACAACACCCATTATAGAACTGAAATTGCAAATAAGCATATAACAATTTATATATAAGTAATGCCTATAAAGAAATTTAGTATAGACTGACTTACTCATTCTCTGCACTAAGTACTACAACTTGATTTAGTTGGTGTTTCTTTAATATTTCCACTGCTTCACTAACTGTGGTATCTGATTTAATAGTTATAGGTTTTGAGAATTTTAGGTCTTCCAATTTTGTATCCCACCACCAATGATGTTGTTCATTGACAACTTCTTTGAATCCACGTGCTTCCATCCAATTATCAGAGACAAATTTAGTCATATAATTTCTAATACCATCAGGCAATATAACCACACATCTTTGCCCAGCTTCCAATGTTTTTGCAAATTTAAGAGCTGCAAACATAGCTCCACCGCTTGAACCTCCGCAAAGTAAACCTTCTTCAGCATTAAGGCGTTTGCTCATTGGAAAGCAGTCTTTGTCGCTTACCTTTGTCCAAACATCTACAACACTATGATCGGTGACAGTTGGTATGAAATCATAACCAATACCCTCCACTTCATAGAATTGTACATCAGATTTGTTCAACGATTCGGGACGAGCGAGAATCGATCCATAAGGATCAACTCCAACAACTTTGCAATTTGGTGCTTCCTCCTTTATTTTACGCCCTAAACCAGAGATTGTACCGGCAGTTCCGGCAGTACAAATAATCATATCGACGTTATTATCTAACTGCCAAAGAATTTCAGCAGCAGTTCCATCATAATGTGCCAATGGATTACTAGCATTGCGATATTGATCCAAAACAATTGAGTTAGGTATTTCTTTTTCTAAACGTTGTGCAACGCATATTAAACCTTCTGGTGCATCGTAAGCTGCTTCTATTGGTGTACGTATGATCTTAGCACCCAAAGAGCGTAATGCATAAACCTTTTCATTAGACATTTTATCTGGCATGACAATTAAGCATTTGTAACCCTTAACAGCACATGCTAGAGCTATACCGATACCAGTATTACCAGATGTAGGCTCAATAATGGTACAACCCGGTTTCAGTAGACCCATTTCTTCAGCATCTTGAACCATTCTATAACCAATACGGTCTTTCACCGAACCACCTGGATTAAGAAATTCACATTTCGCGTCTGTAAAAGAAAACAATATATGACTTCAGAAAGTATAATTACGAGTAGAAAGTATATATAACCTACACATTTCACATTTTATGCCCTCAGATTTTGGTATATTGTTCAGTTTAACCAGGGGTGTGCAACCGATAACATGTAAAATATCTGGAGTTATTTTTTGTCTATGGGCACTGAGAGAATATATAATATTTTATTTTTGTTTTGTTTTGAGTTTCGAGATGAAAATACTTACATAGGCCGCTGTGTGTGAGGACTCTTCTCTGTCGTTCCCAGCTTCCATGTACATTTCGAAGGCAGTCCTGGATCCACGAAATCCTTTGGAGTTTCATAAGTTTTATTAGCTGGCATTGTTTTTTATTGAGGATAACTAAAATAATTTAAATAGTAAATAATTTTAATTGTTTCTGCTCTAAACGAAGACTTGAAATGTTGCAAACTTTGTGAGAACAATTCAGAAAATATGGATGTTTTATTAAAACAAAATCGTTTAAAATTATGTACAATTTTAAAGGTCAATGCTGCGAACTTTCAATTATGGTTTGTAATAATATTTCTATATAATATTGAAATAAACAAATATTATTTAAATTCAGGAGAGAAGAAACAGGCATGGTTCCATAGAGATAAAGCGCGACTTTACGTGTGAATTGCTTATCAGTGATGAAAAATACAATGGAATATATAATCTGAATATATTTTTTTTAATTAGAAATAGAAATTCATTTTACTCATACAAAAATTGCGCATGTTAACATGTGTATCTCTTATCGGTTTTTATAAAAAATAAAATATTTTAAAATATATGAAATTTGTATATATAATAAAAGAAAGCGAGAGGGAAAGCAATTAAAAATATTTGCGTAATAATTATGAAAAAAAAACATTGCGGAAATACAAAAATTTCAAGTTCAAATTAAATACGCGATCAAAGAGATCGTATAGGCGTTCCATAAGAGGATTTTATGAATTTACAGTTACTATATCTGTTCATGCTTGAAGAGATTACACCTCTTTTGCGTAGATTTGGAATGTGGTGCAGATGGAAAAGAGATTTGTGGTATGTAATGTGTATATTTAATCAAAAATGGTATCAGAAATGTTTCCATCTCAGTGGGGCTAAGGCACAGATAAACGGGCCTTAGATTCGTTTTTGTTGCTGGTCAATTGAACAATTGAACAAAGTGATAAGCTGTAGAACTTTAGTATTGGGCAGATTATTGACATAGATAGAAGTAAATATAAAAAATAACTGCTACGAACTTGACTACGCCCTTATCTAAACAGGAGTATAATAGTTCTTATTGACCTACGTGATAAGCATAGTCCTAAGTAATGGGATTATGTTTGTCATCTTTCTTTCCTAAAACGTACAGCAAAAGCTAAGCTATAAACCTCATTCACTTCTATTTATCACCTTTCAGAAAAGAAAGGTGATAAACATAGTTCTGCTGATAACAGAATTACTATGAAGGAAGTGAATGAGGTTTATAGCTTAGCTGTATCAATATATTGCTCTCTAACTTTATAGATAAGCTGTGCTATATAATTTGCTACATAACTTTAGCCATTCTGCAAAAAGGATCACTTCATAATTATCCCTACAGACACTAAAATGACACTTTAACACGTAAGAACTGCGGGCACTATGAAATGATAATGCTACCTAGTTTAAATCACTTAACAATTGCTTTAAATAGATTCTGGCAGAGTCAGAGACAAATATAGATTTTTAATATATAATTTTTAAAAAGTTTCATGACAACAAATATGTTAAGAATCGGAATATTTAAAGGAACAATATATGAATATGTTTAGGTTAGTCAGTTGGATAAAGAGCTATTGTTAACTATTGAGGACAGAGCTTGTTCTGCAAAACGCTTGTCTAAATCAATTACAACTTAATGGTATAGTTTTGCTACAATATTTGAAGAAACCATATAATAATTTAAATTGAGTTTGTTGAATCTCATCTTAGTTTTATTATTGAAATTATTTACTGAGCGGTCCTGCCCGGTCCTGCCCGGTCCTGATTAAATTTAAGATTAATAAATATTAATGATATATGACAATTCATTTTTAATTTATTTTTTTAAACCTTTGTTTATGTTTTCACTATATTAAAATTTTATAATAAATAATTTGGGCAATTTAGCAATTTATACGATCTCACAGACATGAGATTTGATTGCAGCAAATGGTTTTAGATTTTTTTCTAATTTTGTGTATTCATTAATATTACTTTTCAGATTAATATTTTAATACAGAAAAAAATATTACTTTTAACGATATGTTTTCTTCAAAAAACAACATAAAAAAGGGACTAATAATACCAGAAGAAATATAATGTACAATCAGATGATGAGAAACTATGTTACTTTCTTCATCGTTCACATAGTATATAAAAGACGCTGTTTGCTTAATGTGGAATATAGTACGTAACTACGTAAATAAGTTAATTTTATTTTTAAAGTAAGCTTCTTCACCCATTTAATACATCCATTTCCATTTAATATTCAAGTAAGTAATATAACCAGAAATGACAGTGCTTGTTAATATTTTAAAATTTAGGTAGAGAAGCAGATTGATATAATTACAAAATATATTGTAAAATTGGTATTAGATTTGTGTTTAATTTAGTATGTAATTTGTTGTTGTTCCTCTTGTGCTTACATATTTCTGAAGAAAATCTTAATGTTTAAAGTGTCATCATCTATTTACGAGTTGTTAGGTATAGAAAGGAGATGAATTACTATATATATCGACATGCGATATTATTAACTCTAAATATTAAGAAAATGTTTCTGTATTTCACTCATATTTGATCTTTATGCTGAAGCCTTAGTAGTTTCTCTCGGACTCTTAGAAATTTTGCAATAAAGGTTTTTTGTTCTATTAATATTATTATTATTTCCATACTCCATTATGAGCTTAAGTAGTCTACAAAACTTTTCACTGGTTTTTTTGTGATATTGTTCTTAACTCGATTTCGTTCTATTATTCATACTTATTTCTAAAAACTAATACCGGAAAAATAATAATTATTAATCATAAGTAATTGTTTACTGTGAACAGTTTTGCGTGTTAGAACTGCAGTTTATATTTTGGTTAATGTAATTTCAATTTATCTACAACATGATTCCAATGGTAATTACTGCATGGAACTCACTGGAATACTTATATACGAGTATTTGTACAATTAAAAAAAATTGATTGAATAAATTCATATATAATCACTATTTCAGGCTCTGGTGTCTTATTTTGTAGTAATTTCAGATAAAAAATATTTTTGTTCTAAATAATTAAAAATTCTTCGCACGTTGCTTTTCACTAAGGAAAACACTTTTCTGTTGTTGTTATGCTATCTTTTTTCTAATTTCAGCAGGGCTTTCTGTATTCTCCAAGTTCTAATGTATTTCTTTAGCTATTCTTATTCTTATGTGCCGGTTGTTAATAATGTGCACATTTATTTATCAGTGATATTCATTTACACAACACAGAAAACAAACTGTAGATATCGGCGTTCTTATATAATTGTTTTATTTATATATATACATATATATGCCATATAACAAAGTTCTTAATTACTTACCTTAACAAAAATCAAGAGTGAAAAAGTGAAACAAATCTAATTCAGAACTCAACAAAACACCACCGAATCGAAGATAAGTCAGACGACAACTGATAGTTCATAAAACAATAAATTTTGCTTGACACAAGCAGAGCCATAAAAACACGACCAGCGCAATACACAACCAACTCAATTTCTGAGTGGATATTCCAGTTTCTCATAAGAACTCTGTTGAGCAACATAATTGAGTGTGTATGTAAGTTGGCAGGAATGAGTGCGTTAGTTGCAGTATACTTACATGCATAAGCAAAAATAAATTAAGAAAAAAAGTATCTCTACCAGTTTTTCTTTTATATAAACAAATGCATTTACAGGTAGGCAAGTGGAAGACAAAGACACATCTTTCAATTGTAAAGATTTTTTCTTATTAAAACATTTTAGCAAACGAGTTTTCACGCATCTGTCAATGATTGCTTTAGATGTTAGAAATGCTTCGGAAAATAATGATTTTTATAAATTATTTTTAAACATTTATTTTTGTACAAATGACTTACATCGAAAAAATTAAAATATAAGTTCATATTATTCATAAGTATAATTATATTTTATAACTCTATAATGAGGTAACGTTTTATATACATATATAACATATATAACTTAAAGATCCTTGTTTACATTATTTTCTATCGCTGTTCCAGTGGCCTTGTTATCTGTTATGTACGACATTACATCCATTTTTGTAATGAGCGCTTTGAAAATATCTTTATCACCTAATAAATATAATATTAAATAGAAAAGCGCTTTTTCCAATATACAAATATATGATATTTTTGTAGATAATATTTCAAATAACAAAATTTCCATTCATTCATCAAAAACTTACCCTCTTTCTCTACAATCAAAACAAACGGTTCCGTTTCGACCACGCGTGCTAATTTGCCCAATTTTTCCATCATATTTATACGAATTACTCTACGATTTACAGCTCTTATCACTTCTACCTTATCTGGCTGACGATTCATGCTTATAATTTGTGTTATCAATGCATCTTGACCCACAACACCAATTAACTCGCTGCATAGAAAAATATTATTTATCAAAACTTACTTGACAACAAGATAACCAACATTCGACGTACCCAGTTTCTGCATCATTTACTACCAATTCTCTGACATTGTTTTTTTTCATGGTCTCAATAGCCTCAGCAAATTTGATATTTGATTTAACGCTAAATGAAGTGGGCAATTTTAATTCACTAATTGGTATGTCCCACCACCAAAAGTTGAATTTATTTTCAATTTCCTTAAAATTACGTGCCTCCATCCAATTATCAGACACAAAATTAGTTAAGTAGTTTCGTATGCCATCCGGCATTATAACTACACACCGTTGTCCTTCCTTCAATTCTTTTGCTTTTTTCAATGCTCCTGCCATTATAGCACCACAGGAACCTCCAACCAATAAACCTTCTTCAGCAATCAAACGCCTGCTCATATTATATGTTTCCTTATCTGTAATTTTCACCCAAGTATCAACAATTGAATGATCCAGTACTGTACAAGAGAATATGAAACCAATTCCTTCGACTTCAAATGATTTTACATCCGTTTTATTGATTGATTCGGGGCGTGCTATAAGTGAACCGTAAGGATCCACACCCACCATTTTACAATTTGGTAAACGCTCTTTTATCTTGCGACCAATACCAGTAATAGTACCGCCTGTACCAGGTCCGCAAACGATCATATCAACTTTATTGTCCAATTGCCACATGATTTCCTCAGCTGTACCATCATAATGTGACAAAGGATTACTGGGATTAAGAAATTGACCCATAACAATGGAATTGGGTATTTCTTTTTCAAGACGCTTTGCAACATAAAACAAACTATCTGGTGAATCGAAAGGCAATTCACAGGGTGTGCGTACTATTTCGGCGCCAATTGCACGAGCAATATATTCCTTCTCAACAGTCATTCTATCAGGCATAACAATAATGCAGCGATAACCTTTTACGGCACAAGCTAAAGCCAAACTAATGCCAGTATTACCTGAAGTAGGTTCAATTATTGTGTAACCTGGTTTGATTATGCCCTTATCTTCAGCATCTTGTATCATACGAAAGCCTATACGGTCCTTAACAGAGCCACCAGGATTGAAGAACTCGCATTTAACATCTTTAGGCATTCATGTGAAATTTAGTAGTTTAGGAACATAAGTTTTCTAAATTTTATTATCTATACATACACATATCACATTTGATGCCTTCCGATTGTGGTATTTTATTTAATTTAACTAAAGGTGTGGCGCCCACAGTTTCCAAAATATTTGCATAGGTTTTCTCTTGTTTAGCCCTACAATGGGATTTATCAAGATTTTTCAGTGGAACTGAAGATTCTTAAAAATACTTACATCGGTCTAGTATTATGTATGCATTTTTCCTTTGTACCCACCTTCCAGGTGCACTTGGCTGGTAAAATGGGTAAGACATTATCTACATTGTTTAAAGTAGCCATATTTTTTAAATGTTTTCTAACTATAACATAAATAAGTGGAAAGAAATTAAAAGAAATATGAGACATATAAAAGCTTTTATTTTTCAAAATTATATTATATATATATATACTAATTTTTGATCTAATGCACTTTAGTGCTGTTAATTTTATTAGGAATATTTGATATTAGAATTATTTGAATATTCACATTTTCATCAAATACTTGGAATAAAGAAAAAATACTACATGTATAGTAGATATAGTAAGAAAAAAGTTAAGAACCAAGATATTAAATTATAATTCTATTCATTATTTATTATAGTTATTAATCCAAAGAATGTACCTGCTCTAAAAATACGAAATTATAATTTGACGCAAAAATTTTTGTGGAGAATATCTGTATAAATATTTTCCATGTTAATATATAAGAGTTAGATTTGCTTGAAGGGTGTATCTGTATCTGAAATCATACATACACCGTATATAAGTCAGTTGTATTACTCTGAGGCTCTTATTATAAGTGTCTCCCATCGTACTGATTTGATTATTTCTACATGAATACGATTTTCGTGCTTCTAATAATTCCTGATTAAAAAGCTACTTTCATTACTTAATCCAACGTATTTTATTTGAGAATTTGGTGGGTTTTCTAATATCAATTTCGGATAGTTATTCAGAGTACTCAAAAAAAAATTTTCCAAGAATTATAGCTCTGCTCCTTGCTAGGACTAGACTTAGGTAAAACATATAGCAGTTAAATAATTTGATCCCTCTTATATATATAAGAGAGATAATTCTCCCTTTTTCTCAAGGTAGAGTTCGCAAAGATTGTAAGTAAGAAAGTTTACATACTAAACAAATGTCCAGTTATATGGAACTTGACATTACCGAGTTAAATAGTTTCCTATATCTAGCTGGTTTATAGCTGCCCAGATAATATGTTAAATTAATAAATAAAAAATAATTATGATTATATAATTAAATGAAACGTAGAATCTAGAATGAATGTAGAAAGAATAACGGTTTAAAGTACTATGAGTTTAATATTATGATATATATGATATTAATAATATTAATATTAATAAAATATATCGACTGGTTCATTGTATTTATGAAATCTGTGCTCTAAGTTTTGTTGTATATATGAGTATTTACTATTAACGCTATATATTCGTTATATATTTAAAACATTTCCTTAAATTATTTAGAAATTGATACAAATGACAAAATATCTTCAGATTTAAATTATAAAATCGTCACTTCTTCAGTCTGTATATTAAGAAAAAATTAGATTATTAATCTAGCACGATGGGAGCAACTTAGTAATTTTCCATATTTACTATTCATTTTATATATTACGAACAATTTCGCCAATATTCCAGTTTTGTCTGGAATATTAGTTTTAGTTTTAGTTTTAAAGCCAAACTATTACTTTACCATTCATATATATGATAACAAGTTTCTTTACCTGTTGTTCAAGTAAATATTTATTTAGAGTACACAAAAAAAATTTTTTTTAACCTATTTTGAGTTGTTAAAAACACACTAGTATTGTCGTAGGTTCAATAACACTTGCTTCGATCAATCGTTGAGTACATATAATAACAACCCGAAAAAACTCATTGTTAAACTCTCTAGACACAGAAACACTAAAAAGAAATTCGAGTTAAAATCGCTACAGTAATGTTTTGAGTGAGAAATTGAGTAATTGCACAATTAGCAAATATATATATAAAAAAATTGTGCTCAAATATAAATTTAAGATTAGTGCTGGTAAGATGTTTCCATGGTTGCTAAGCTAATTAATCACACCCACTTGTCAACTACACTGTAAACAGATGTTTTCAACTAAAGTATTGTTAATTTTTAAGATAAGCGGAATATAAGACCTCTAAGCACAGTTAATGTTGATAAAATGTTTATATGTATTTTATATATTTTTGTTTTTTCTTTTTTCATTTTATATTTTTAATTTTTTTTGACTAATTTTACGCAATAATTTTTTTAACACACTAAATTTTACATCCAGATCCTTTTCGATTGTATTACCGATTCTTAAATCCTCTAGAAATAATTCACTTTTACTCTTCACATCTAATAGCACATTGATTCGTTCTAGAGCTGAATACGGTTCTTTTATTGCAAAATTTCGGTTCCTACGCTGGAGGTATACAAATATGAAATATGATAATTAACGTTTTTTGAGTTAAGTTTTATAAAAACAATTAGTTTTGAGTGAAATTATTGAGATATTAATTGAGATTATTTTATTTTCATAGATTTTGTAGCTACATTCGGCATTATAAATATGATATGCATAAGATGTCAGTATAAATAAATGTTATGAAATTTTAGAATAAAATTCTTTTCCTTAAATAAGTAAATTCTTTTAAATTAATTTTATTTATTTTATTATTATATTATAGCTAGTATTAGGAGGGTTATTACATTTTTCCTTATCAAATTTTATAAATAATAATATTTTATATTTTATGCAATATAAAGCAGAACTAATAATTCTTATTATTTGGTGGTAGTGCTGAGAACAACCTATCTGAGTAACGGCACTACTGAAATAACGGATATAATTGTAAACAAAAACATATTATGTATTGATATTTTGCACACCGACATTTTTATAGAACTCAACATGGCTACCATCCACTTTTGCACACGGCTATTCATAGATACGGTGTTTTAAATGCTTAGTCTTTTACAGTATAACAAAATGTTAAAGACAGTAACTTGAAAATTTGACAATAGTCAACATAGTCTAAATTAATCTTTCTATGAACGGAAAATGTATAAAATTTTAGGCGGATATTTTTAAAAATCCTACCAGTATGTATATGTGGTCCATATATACTAATTAAGGGTAAGGAAATGGTCAAAACTGATTATCTATACAAAAAAGTAATTCAATATAGTGTATAAAAAAACAGTTCAGTTAAGCGTCACGTATGAAAGTGGGACCTCATCCCATAATTTATAAATCTTTTGTTCTTTGTTATTTAATTGTTTAATTGTTATTTATCTTTTGTTCTTTAGTTTAATTAAATTTAATATATTTTATAAATTTTTTTTAAAAATTGAACATAAAAATCTTACATTGATGTTTATGGTCGGAGTATAGCGATCAAATATCATCCATAAAGCTGATGATGGTTTATGTTGACTCTCGGAGATTAACTTAGGCAAACCATTTTGGTCCTCTTACGGAAGCCGTCAGCAAAAAGTACACAATTTATTAAACAATATGTCCTGATATCCTTAGTCGGGTAAAAGAACCATTATGACAATGAATATTTCAATGAGTTAAAGAGACCGACGTCTCCATCTTCAACCTTTCGCTTGTTTTGAACAGTTCTGACTAATAACGGGTTTTTTCTCGTTTTTCTTTTCATATACCTATTATTTTTTTATATATTTTTTATATCATGTCTCCATTTCTAAACATGATTTTATGAAAATTTTCCACCGTGATAAATAAGTTGGAGAAATATAGCATAATTAAAATTAGAAACTTGTTTCAAATTTAATTTAGGAAGGTATTCTGTTTTATTTTACTTTATTCTTGCTTCAAAATATATACATCGGGTTTTAAAATCTTTAAAATCAAAACGAATGAAGATATATTGTCCTTTTGGAAATGTTATGTAGAAAAATATATATAATGGTTAGGTTACCATATCATAAACAGAAAAATTTTTGTACTGGTTGGATTGCACTAGGGGAACTATAATCAAGAGGTTTCCCAAATATTGTCGTCCATATTTCAAACTAAACATGATTAAGGTAAATTTTGTAACTTTATAGACTTCTATCAATTTTTCACACGTAAGAGAAAGCGAAGTGCAGAGCCATTATATTCACTTAATTATAAATAATATTATCAGTTAGGGAGTTCTCTTTGTATTATGGAAATTACTTTTATAATATAAATGCTCTTATATTTAACATTCTTGAGTTAATCTAGGTAATTTAAAATTGACGAACTGTAATTTAAAATTATAGAACTGATATGTTTCAATTTTTAGTGAAATAGAAAATATATTATATAAATCAGAAACTTATCTTTGCAAAAGGCTGTGTAAATATATTTAGATAATAGATAAATAAATAAATAAATTTATCTATTTAAAAAAAAAATCATGAATATCAAATTCTTTCCTTTTAATTGAAACAGAATAAGGTGATATAATAAATTTTTATGCTAAAAAATTGTTCTATTGTTTCTTTATTTAATGATATATAATATATTTTTATCAATTGTTTTTTGTATACAGTATGAAATTCTCTAAATATGCAAATAAATTAATATTTATTAGTAACAAAATATTTCGACTGATATAATCTCCTATGATATGATCTACTGAGCTCTCAGAAGAGGGAATCATTTCGACTATCTTTTGTGCTAACAATTAACCCTAAACACACAAAATACAATTTACTTTGCAGTACTTTCCTCTATCAAATGGGGACATAGAGCTCGCAGACCAGTATACCGCTTCCATTTATTGCACTTATTTTGTAGTATAGGTATTATCCATCAGTACTTTTGCTAAATTTCAGTTGAGATTCAAACTTGAAGTTTTTATATTAAACATATATCAAAATCTATCGTATATTGTATAATTCTATTGTATAATTATAATTCTGACTGTATTATAATTAATATAAAAATAGATACTTTAAAATTAAAAATAGTCGTAATTTTTTAAATAAAATTTATTTAAATTGGAATAAAAATAAAATCAATAAATTGCATGTTTTTATAAATTTACTTAATACATTAATTCAAAAAAAAAAATTAAATCCCTTCAATAAAAAACCTAATTAATGACTTAGAAAACTTTACAGTAAAGCTGCGCAGAGAACTTGAACCGCCATAAAGGCAGTCGATGCAAATGCAACCATAAAGGCTAAAGCACGTGCAGGCTGTGGAACCACATGAACAGCATAGACCAAGGTATGTGCGATACGTGCAATCGCTACGGCACGGAAGAGATTAATAGCCACGAATGCAACAGGATTTGTGAGTACGTAGAGGAAACCGATAACGAAGAATGGTAAAATGTTTTCCAAATCGTTGCGATGAGCCCTAAAAGGAATATATATGCGATAATTATATGTTTATAAGTGGAAAATAATAAATTAATATGTGTTTTACCTGCGTACACGTTCTACATTGGGATCATCGAATTTGACCTTCAATTTGCTGGATCTTAAATCTTCTGGATTAGCAAAAGTCTGAAAATAAATTTAAATATATTTTTAATAAAAGTAGATTAAATTTTTATTAGTTAGAATATTAAAAAATAATTAAGTTTTAATTTTAATTAGTTGTATCTTGTATTTATAACTGTTACTTGTGTCTTATTATTTAACATAACAAAAGGAGACTTGTTCATATTGGGGAGAGATGCTATTAGCGGTTACTAATGGATTACATTGAGTTAAATACTTCAAATAAATTTAACTAAATATAACTAATAACTAAATATTATTTAAAGAAAACAATGTGAATGTAGTTAACTTGAATTAAATTTATTTAATAATTACACTATTTTAGAAATAAATAAAAATTTTGTTTTCCAAAGATCCGAGATACTGACGTGTCTTTTTTATCCGTCTATATGGCTCGTTTGCTATTTGCTTATTTAGCTTGTCATATAATATGTGAATGCGTCATTTTAGTAATGGATTAATTTACTGAAAAGTGTATTATAGTTCTGTTAGTTTCAGTTATATATGTATATATTTTCTTGGATTTTTAACGTAACTAGACATTAGGCCAAAGGTTAAGTTGCCATTTATAATATATAGAGTAAAATGTAACTATCAACAATGCCTACGTTCATTAATAGCTAAATGATCGGTTGAGGTTAATACCATAGACCACTTAAGTCCAGTTGTGTATAGTATTCCTCACTTAATAATAATTAAAATAATAATATATTTTATTCATAGTTTTTTTATTTGATTAGATAATTTCTTTCATATATAAAAAACCAATATTTCTCTAATAATATATTGAATAATTTAATATTTTTTTTTATTTCTCAGATAGTATAATCAATTGTAATAAAAAAAGTTTAATACAATTACTTAAGCAATATCAAGAAAGTGGATTAAAAAAACAAAAAATATATATTTTTTGTGAATATGTAAATATGTGTCTGCCATTTGCGATAAAACCGCACACACTTACCGGTGTATTCATAAATATTTGTTTATTAATTTCCAAATAAAACTGCCAGTCATGCTTATTGAGTAAAAATTTTTAGATTCTATCACTTATCAACAAGCATAGATAATTTTAATTTTTTCTCTTCTATGAGTTTTCTATAGTACGAAAACTCTTATAGCATTGTAACCAAAAATTGATATGTTGAGTATCTTCTTCTCTATGAATTTTATCTACCTATGTTATTTCTGCTGTGTCTGAAGTATCTTGTATTCGTATCTCTCTACACGAAAAGGTTTTGGTTTATACATTCTCTTATATGTTCAGAACATTTTCTACACAAATTTGTTAATTTTTCGTTCTCTCCCCAAAAAATACTCAAAATTAACTTATGTTGGAGAGAAAATGACTTCTAAAAACGCCTATGACACTACATACACATTTTTTTTTAAATATTTAAATCTAAAATATTTTATATTTGGCCTAAATTCAACTGCAATTTACCTTTGTCTTGAATCGCTGTGTGGCTGTGAGTGGAGACATTGCCAGCATTTTGATGACCAAAACCGCACTCCAGAACATATATGCATTGAAGACAGCATTGTCAAGAGTTAATAATTCAACTACACTTGCCATTTTATTTTTATTGATTTTTTTATGCTTTCAGAAGACACTGAACTTGACCGCCCGAGCTAAGAAGTGAAACTAAATTTTTCTTTTTGAACGTTGTGTAGTTACGTGGTGCGACCGGCATCAGATACGTTCATATTTCCATGTTGTATAGTTTTGAACTTTGTGTGTTATCGCTTTCTATGCTGAAGGTATACGATTCATTGTTTTTTCGAGATAACAAGCTTTGCTTTCATAAAAAAAACCATTTCTCGATTTATAACATATTTGAATTTATTAATAAAAATAATGGTATAAAAAAGATAAGAAAATAAAACGACACTCTATAGTTTTTAATGAAATAATTCTTTAATATTAGTAGATAAATGCTTTCGTTTAAATTAATTATGTTGACTTGTTTTTCCAATAAAAATTATTATTAATTCACTTTTCATTGAATATATAATTTTCTATAAAGTAATAATTACAATAAAAAACTTCTAAGTTCAGTAGTGGATTTAGCTCTAATTAATAAGAGCATAGGTTAACATGTAATTTAACTTTAATTACATTTTATATATGTATTATAATTATTATTATATATATTATTTTATTTATTTATTATTTATTAAATAATTAGAGTTTAGGTTCACATGTAATTAATCTTTATATTTTATATATTTATTATTCTATTTTAATATTTCAGAGAACATATAAAATTAAATAATAATACTCGTAATAAGGAACAGGGACGAATTTTGTCAATGGATAATTAAGCAAGTATCTAAAATAAGATACTCATTTGCGCATATTCATAAAAGTCCGATATATTTTCTGCAATTTATTCACAACTATTTTTACACACTTATATCCTAGAGGTATAAGTCTCTAGGTATTCGTATACGTAAAAGGTGTGTATAATATATATTTTATAAAAATTTATATAATAATGTATACAAATTTTTAATTTATATATTTTTATATGCATCTTTGCGTGGTACAGAAGAATTTGTTCAAGTTGGAGAATATTTTAGGGGAGGTTTTGAACAGAAAATGTTTTCCATTATTACAAATAAGTTTAATGGAATTTTCTTTTCTTTATATTCACTTCAGATTTTTACTTGATACTTTTTTCTACTGTTTTATCATTGCTGCAGTTGTTATGTTTGTTTTAATTGTTGTTGCAATATATGCGTTTATGCAAAAGTATTAAGGTAAGTAAATATCAAGTTCGTCGAGAAGTAAAATAAATCATAGCATTACTGTTGTAATTATTTTTATTTATTTATTATACTATATATATAAAGAATATAAACTCAACTCTATTGGTAAATGAAGTAAAATAGTTCAATCTACTCTGAAACTGGATCCTTATGACATTTATCCAAAATAAAATAATCTTATCGAGTCAGTTCGTTGAATGTTTCATAATGAACACGCTTTTATTATATGGACATTTTCAATTTCGCAGGAATATATTTTCTAAGAAAAGCATTTTGTGGTCAGAGAACCAATCAAATGCTTATGTTCATATCTTGTGCAGTCGTTACTTTAGCACCAATTGATCCAAATCTGGTTATATTTTCACAGAACATTAGCAATTAAAACAAGCTTACCAATGTCACACGCTATAGATGGCTTCCCCATAAATACATATTTGAAAAGAAGTTCAGTTAACTTTGAGGTCCTCATATTATGGTTTATATACATCACAAGAACATATTATTAACAACAACACGACTAACAATTATTTATGTTTTAAGTTTCCTGTTATTTTTATAGTAATATGGTCCTCTTTGATTTTCAGTATAACATATAAATAAAAGACGTTTCTGGTACCGAATCATAATTTAATTACATTAGATGTAATTCACCAATTTAATCCCTAAAAATTACAGAACTCATTATATATATTTAAAGACTATATTAAAAAGTAGCTAATAAAACTTGAAGTCCCATATAAAGAGAGGGTAAAAGACCCGCACCAAAAGCTAAAAATCGGGCAGGTTGAGGGATGACAACTACTGCATACACAAACGTATGCACAATGCGTGCAATTGCGAATAAACGGAATAGATTGCAAGCTAGGAAAACTGATGGATTTATAAGCACATAGAAGAATCCGATAGCGAAAAAGGGTAAAATATTCTCCAAGTCATTACGATGAGCTCTGAAAATTAGATATTTAATATATTATTATGCACATATCAAGAAATTTATGTGAGAACAATCTATATTACCTGCGTACACGTTCTACATGCGGATCATCAAATTTAACTTTCAGTTTTTTGGATAACAAATCTTCTGGATTAGCAAAAGTCTAAAAAAAATTAAAAAATAATAAATTATTTTAGTTTAAAATTTAAAAAAGTTAACTGCACATATACAATATTTAAAAGGTGATACAATGAATTGAATATTTTTTTAATCTAACCAATTTATGAAACTTTTTACTAGTCATGCTTACTATGTTTCACAACTAGCGATAAAATAGTATATTTTACTAATTTTGTAATATGAAGTACAATAAAACTATTTTATAAAAATATACTGTCTTCGAACTTGTTTATATTTTTTTAATATTTTAAAATTAATGTTAAAATTGTAGGTATTTTAACAAATAAAATGATATATATGTTTATATATGTACTTTTTTTTTCAAAGTTCCAAACGAGAACAAACTAAAATCTTTCAAATACTATATAATTACAAGAGAATCTTGAAAATATGAATGATGGACTATTTTTCTAAAAGGTCCTTAGACAAATGAATAAAGGTAGAAGGATATTATGGATAAACTTTTTTATCACGAAGAAGTTCTTGCAAGACTTAACAAAGATAGAAACTTAGAAATAATATAACGACGAAAGAGATGAATTAATACCAAAGTGCCGATTACTTCAAAGTATCATAAAATGACAAATTAAGGATTAACATGTGAAAGCGAATAAACAGTTGTCATGACCGTGGAAGATTCAAGACTAGACTTAATGAAAGCTGGAGAATTGGTATATATTTAAAAGTAATGAGAAATAACACATATTTGCTAAACTGGTTATTTGAAATAATAAATGTGGTAGTTCACATGTAGTGTGTGGAAGGGTTAACAAAGCCATTCTATGCTTTGCACATTAAAATGGGATTAAATTTTTATTTATTGGAAAATAATACATTTCCTGGTGTATTCTTTATGAGATTAGAACAATCAATTAGACAAAAGATAAAAACAGTAAAAGAAAGTAAATTTATTAGGCAGTTGGGTACGATAGGATCAAAGGTAGAGTTCTCTAAATTATAGTTTTAATTTTATTATCTTTTTATTATTATTTATTCAATCATAAATGTATTTAATTAAATAAAATTTTTTTAAATGAACAAACTTTGATTTTAGATCTTTAAAACTTTTTAAGTAACCTCTTCGAACTCCCGGCATTTTTTTTTATTTTTGCTTTTACTTGTTGTTGCTTGTAGTTTTTTTATACACCTATATTTTGTTTATATACTAATGTACTTATATTACCATTACCATATTCCATGTATTTAACTTTATCTCTCATTTCTGATTATAACAATTAGAGTAGCTACGACTATTTATGTTAAGCTTTGTTATGCAAACAAAAAATTACGTCATTATCAAATTAGTTATGGATTAAGAAGCAATTGAAAAATTTAAAAAAAAACATTTAGTTATAATAAAGTATTTAAAATTAATATTTATATAATATCACCTTATTTTTATGGCGATAAATTGTTGTTACAAGTGTGACGAAATACATTTTAAATACCAGAAATGTACTCCAGAAAACATAATTCTTGAACACCACATTATCGAAAGTCAACAACTCAAACATAAGTGCCATTATTAATGCAAAATTCACTTTATTAAATATAAATTAAATAATATATATAAAAAAATGATGATTATTAGTTAAATAATTTTTTATTATTTATTTCAGAACTTTTTAAAACAACAGAAGTTGATCAGTAAAGACTTTATCTTCTACTAGAATAGTGTTTTTTTTTGGGAATAAATTAGAGTCAACTACGGTAAGCTTTATCTCATTAAAGGAGACTTAAAGTGGGGAAGAATTCATAAGACAAGCTTATAAAAAGAGTTTTAAAAAATATTAATGCTACTCTTGAGAAAAAATTATGCGTAATAATTTTTTAGCCAAATAAACCAATTTTTCTTCCACACTTTTACTATACATCGGTAATACATCGGTTCTTAATTGGTAAAGTTAATAAACTTGTATTGAATTCAAATATAAATAATGTATGTTAAAACATGTTAGTTGTTGAATTCTACCAAATTTTGTCAATAATATTTCAAATTCAATTTAAATAAGAGAAAAAATTGCATGTATTGTATTTAGTGATTTAATATTAAAAATTTTTTTTTTCTTAATGAACAATATGTATAACGTTATATAGGAAAAAACTATAATTTCTATAACAATTTCAAAAAACTTATATTTATTTCATACATATCTTCGATTGATTGATCTGAGCTTACTTTCGATTAATAATGTGTTCGATATTTAAAAGCCTATTTGAACTTTATTAACAAAAACAGTGTTTTAATTTTTTACATACATATATGTATATACAAAACAGAAAAGAATAAGAAGCAACAATGAAAATACAGAAACCATGTACAAAATTGAAAATAACAATTTTGCAACAATAACGCAGTTGTGTTGTGTTTTACAGGAATTTTTTTATGTGCACTTCGTTTAGTGTTTAGTATGTTAATAAGAATATTTTTAATTTTTAATTTAATTAAGTGCATCAGTTAATAATATTGAGGATGTTTTTACAATAAAAACTTTAAATATATATGAATACATTTTGCAGTAAGTATAGAACATAATGAGTATAGGTTATTATTATAATCAATTTGCTGTGACCGACTGTAGAGGCGTAAACATTGTTTCGAAAAAAACTTCTCTTTAAGCAACAATTTGTTAAAAGAGTAATAAATATTGATAGATGAGCGACTACACATTAACTTGAACAAATACAAACAAAAGACTTTTAAAGTATGCACAACAACCGGCCGGCTTAAATTATAATAATTTACATTCCGAGTAGAGGAGCTTGGAAAAAATAGAAAATAAGCTATTATTTAAAGCAAATGGATTTTTTTTATATCAATAAAGCAACTTTTGTAAGCTAAAGTTGAGAATGAAAATGATTTCAATTAATATTAATGAGTTTATAAAACTAAAAATACTAAAAAGTTGTATTTTGATATAATAAAGTAAGTTATGCCAGATAATTTAATGCTAGTAAAATTTATTAAAAGTTGATTTGACTTTGATGTGACCTGTTATACACTTTTTGTAGATAATAAATTTAATTATATATTTTAAAATTTTATAAAACTTAAACGTATAATTACATATTTGTATTATATATATATTTTTGAGATAATTTAATTGTTTACCTGTGTACGGAATCGATGAAAACCTGTCATTGGAGACATTATAAGCATCTTTAATATTAAAACTGCACTCCAAAATAAATATTCTTTAAAAACAACATTGTCCAATGTTAAGAGTTCATATACAGCATTCGACATTTTAAAATAATAATTTTATTTAATTATATTTTATCTCACAAAACGAAACAACCTATTCGACTGGCTGATAATCAGTAACTACACGCATAAAGAAAACTGCATGCTCATATGAGCAAAATTCCAAATTTATTCTACAATTAAGTTCCACAAAATAAGTTGGGCATATTTGTTTTAAAGCATTTAATAATGTATACTAGCGCTTTTTATATTATTCGAGACAATCAAATCTTCGGGTATGTAACTTGAGGTTCAAATATATTTATGCGCTATCGTTTGGTTTGAATATAGCAGATCACATTTAAAGTATTTGATCAAAATGTTCGAATTCCAGTGGACTCGAACGATAATCGACTGACATATTTAACACAGTTGGTCATATTGTATTGGTCATATTCGTTGGGTATTAAAAACATCATTCATGTATAGTTAGTCTTACTATATACTGAAGTATATATGTACTATATACTTACTTATACATACGGAATACTTTATCAAATTTAAAATTTCGAATGACGAAAACTATAGTGTCTGGTTTTTGGAGCCTGTTCTTCAAATAAGTTTAATCTACTAGAGGTGGCAGAAATGAAATGTTTAAAAAAATTCAAAATCAGAGTACTTCTTTTTACGACACGAACGAAGACTAACATTTATATATTTCATGTATCTTCTGACTGCAATCTGATCTAATATATTTTCAATATTTAATTTGCTGATATTTGCAGTTATAGATCCGGGAGCTACGATTCGAGGTTAGACGATTAAACATTTATTTTTGTTAAATATCAATGATAAGATTAATTACTTATTTATGAACTTTTACTTAGCAAGTACATATATACTTCTTGCCAATATATCTATACTTTTAGCAAAAATTAAAAAATGCGTTGATTAAGTGTAGATTAAATTGAGTGCATTGTTAAAACTGCATAGCAGCCAATATCTTTATGCTGATTTAAGTATCTATCATAACAATAACATTTCTACGGATTAAAGCTTAAATGCTTAAAATTAAAGTAATTTTTTTTATAATTGATAGATAGAAAAGCCAAAAACTAGTATATTAAAAGTACTATAATTTTAGATAATTTTCAATTAAAAATATTACCTATTAGTTGGCTTGTAGGTCAATGTAGATATTGACATAATAGAAACTTCTAATTTTTAATTATATTTTGTTTATTCCTCTTTAGAGAAATAATTAAGAGCTTTAAAGCTTTAACTTTTCAAAGCTCTTTAAACTTTTCTGTTAACGAATTTATGTTATTTGCATAAAAAAGTAATAACATTAGTCTATTGAGAATATTTTTTATAATAAAAAGTTTTTACTTGAATAAATGACAAAAATAGTTTATAGATATTAATAACTAAATTCTTAAGATAAGGAACAATAAATTTGGTACATAATATATTGTTAGTTCATACCTAAGTATAATTAAATATATAAACGGATGTTAAAAAATTAATATTAATTAATATTAATATTAAGTTATAGTTTTGTGTTTAATAAACGAATAGTTTATATAATCTTTTTGATTTGAAGCATAATTGAAAACCTTTTATATTTAATTTTATAATATTATATTTTTAAAATAATTGATAATTTTAATATAAAGTAAACTAAGTCAAGTTTATGGTTAAGTTTAGGTCAGATTGTGATTAAGGATAAATTCGTTATTATTATTATAGTAGTCCTACAATGAATCAATTCGTAGAATGAAATTTTTAAATAAATACTTCAGCAAAAAGTATTAAAAATTTCAAGAGAAATATAATATTAAATTAATAAAGCGGCTAATCGTAATGGTTCAAAATGTTAGGTCTTCGAATAATTGAAATAACCGCAATTTCGAGCGTTTGAATGGGATATTTATATGCCTAACATGCTGGAAACTGTTCGAGTTTATTTTTATTATTAATGGTTTTAATGGTTTATATTATTTAATGGTTTTATATAATATAAATATGTACAACAGCAAATTGTCGAACGCAACTAGTATGATAATCGAATATTTTTGACGGCTTAGTCAAATAATCGAGTATCCCCGTGTTCGAAACATCGATGGACTCAATTAAGGTTAAAGTTCTATTTAAAAACTGATTAATCCTCATAGAGCCTCACAGAGAACTATAATCCCTGAGGATTTATCGTATTTGAGTTGTTGAAGATTCTTTTTTAAAGTTTTTTTGGGTAAAATTTTCTATGATATTCTGCACCTTGATTGTTATTAGCAAGGGGTCCTTTTATCCGTACGATTTATTTTGTTTTCTATAAATATTATTATATTTCCACAATAAGCACTCTGTATAGGTATAGTAAGTGATATTATCCTAACAAAAGAGGATTAGAGATGCGATATTATTTTGCGATTTTTTACTTGCATCCATGTTTTGATATTAAGTGCATTAGTTGTATTATATATTTGTATATATATTTTTTTTAACATACAAGAAATATAATCTTTTTATTTATAAAATTTTCATATTGCATTTAGAGTTTAACCTTATATTTTAGGATTATTGCGTACGTAAACAATTTCCATTAGATTTATTTAAAAACTAATTATTTTTTTTAAGCTTCAGCATCATAAAAACGCATTTAAATTATACTACATTCCAAATATACTCATATGCATGTATGTCATTTTCCATAAATAACATTTCAATGTGCCCATTTCATAAAAATTCAGTTCCCATAACCCTTTAAACGATACATTTAGCGATAATGTTGTGCTCTAAATCTTTAGAAATTTTTCTTTCTTGATTTATCTTTTATTTCATTGTTATTGGGTTGTTATAGTTTCAATTATGAGCATTTAAGTTTACTGAAAAATACGCACACAATTAGTGACCCCCAACCGTAAATATGCAGCGTAGGCACTATGAAAGAAAAGTCGGCATATTCGATCTATAACACTTTATATATTGTTTTGAAATTATTGAAGGATTATTTAAATCAAAAGATACGTTTGATTTCCGTCAATATATGAAATACAAATATATTTAATGGCTTAGTTTTAGTTGGTTTAATGAAAAAAAGCTTTATATTCTGTTTAAGAACAGTTTTATTGTTACATACCCAGTACGGTTTATGAATGATATTTTTCTAAGACTTATAGTCAGTATAGCTATCTGGTCTTAAAGTTTGCACATATTGTAATATAACTTTTCTATACCTTGGTATAGATATACCTCTTTACCTTGCATAGAAAAAGTTCAGTTGTTTCTTTATATTCTTCTTTTCTCGGCTCCTACTATTTTGAGTAAAATTACTTTTAGTGTTGGTAAATAATTCACAAATTTAATTTTGTATAGGTATATATATATATTTATTCTGTATAAATAACTTAAATACATAAAACCGCATAAATTTATAATATAAATTTCTTTCCTTAAAATATCATAAATTAGGTTGCGTGGACTTGGTTAGCCAAGACTAAAGACAACATATACATTCTCAACTTTATCTCTCCTGTAACCGGTAATAGCCTAATAGGAATGTGACTAAATTTATGATCTATACTAATTAGCAAGTTCTCACTAAGGAATTCGGAAATACCTAACATTTGCACGAAGCCGGGGTACAATTTATGGGAACCTTCTGCAAGGACCTTCAAGAAATGTTAGGCACATAACACGGCCTCACAAAATTTAAAAAAATATGTATATATTGTTTAACGTGATGTAGGTAGCTCATAGGTAGCTCAACCTTTACTATATTGATAACTAAATCACTAGTAGGCTTTGTCGGAGATTTCTTCTCATACCGAATAAAACCAAACTTGCAAAAAAATCGAAATAATTTAAATTGAAATTAATAGTCATAAATATTGTCATACCTAAGATTTCTCAACCTGACGTTGAATATTGTTGACAAAAATTATATTCTCTAAAGAAGTTTTAGATATTCTCAAATCCTAAAGTTTAGTGTTTTAAATATATATGATAGAATTTTGTGAAATGTAAGTGATATGCCTAGGCGACTATACACTTTATTCTTCAAGGCAATTTAATTTTCAGTCTCATTAAGTGGTTTGCAGTTTGCAGCCCAGACTAGATGACTAGCATGACGTTGGGCTCGTTGATCGCTTATATGACATCACATCTGGAATTCATATACGCACTTTTACAGCAATCCGCCTAAAAGCTTTGAATCAAGCATTTTCATTTATTATTGTTTTATTTAATTTACTACGAAAATCTGCATGAGGTGCACTTCAGCGCGTCCACTTCAAGATGAAAAGTCTATTTCCTTCCTAAAGTATAATTAATTAATTGTTGCTGTGTTTTGTTGTAAACTTTTATTGTTGTTTTTGTAAACATTAACAATTTCATACATAATTTGCAAATGTCGATTTGATTTTCGTAATTTTTGTTGATTTCTTAGTTTACATTTCGCAGCGGTTACGTTCACTTGGAAAATTTTCAACAACAAAATCGAAAAAGGATATAAACAGACATAATATTAAAAAAATAATAGTTAATTATTAATTAGCGTGAAATATTTAAAATTAATTAATTATTTAAGTAAAATCAATCGCGATCGATAAATAAATTAGAATAAAATTAATAAGATTTAAAAAATGTCACACGGTGATCACAAAGGACGTTTAACAGTCGTTAAATTTTTAGAACTGGTAAAATACTTTTAAAATCTCTTCGAAATCAGCCTTTTATTTTATATGTATGGATGAAAAAAATCTTTAGATAATGAAATAATGAGATCATAAACTGCATGTATTAGTAAACTTTGAAGTCACTTTAAAACTAGACACAATATGATTAGAGTATCGTAGTTATGATTTCGTCGAAGAGATATTGTGTAAATGTATTTTGAATAAAAATTTTTTAAAGATTTGTTAAAAAGGATTAGAATTGGGTTTGATTAAAAGATCTGTGTCAAAAAGCAGGACAGAGACTGCTTGAGGGTGAGAAAAGTAATAGATGTTTTTATAATTAGCTCTGTCACTACCAGATACTTGCCATACGGTTTCTATCCACTATAGGGTTTCTTTTTTGTGAACGTCAACTCGACCTGTCCAATAATAATTACTTAAATACTCAATGTGCTTAAATACTTTTCTAGGGTATTAAGATGAATCTTCTTTTCAATTTCTATATTACTATACAGCTATGATTTAGTTTAGAAGAAGGATATTAGAATAACAGTTATTTATGAATTTGATCATCAGAAACTCTTTAATAAAATATCTGAAGGCTCTCATACGGGAGATTGAATGTCGAATACTTAGGTGGGAGTTTGCATTGAGCTCAATATATATGTTAATGGTATAGTGTTTCTGATAACATTCTCCATTAGTATTGTTATTTACATTTATATTATATTTATTATTATATTTAATCTAATAATGATTATATGTAATATAATTTATTTATAATATTTAATTATATTTAATTAATTATAATTGTATCTTACAGTGGTACAATTATATAAGTACCACTTTATAAGTGTATAAAGAGTTTAAATTCAATATAAATATTGGCAAAATGAAAGTAACCAACCAATATATTATAGAATACAACTAAGTGTAACCAATTTACTTGGTTTTAATGACGGTGGAGCTTCCTCTTTTATTGAAATAACACATAAGGCATTTTTTGTTATCAGATATTCTGGTACCAGATAAATACCAGATTGTAAGTCTTAATACGTTCACTTGGAGTGATGAGTGAGGTTATTTTTGAAAAATCAGTGTTTTGGATGTTCATCAAGCTTATTCATAGTGAAATTCGCATTTGCAAATGCAGTTCTTTCTTTTTCTTCTTCATACCCAAACTTTCTAAATATCTAATTGAAAGGTATGCCTATTTTTAGGAACAAATGCCTACTGGTAATTTATTTTGGTACTTTGTGCATAAAGCAACTGCTGCTCATACATGTTTATTATTCTATATACGTTACTACTCAATATATTTGTATAACCTTAATTTTTCTTAAAGCATTCATTGACCTTATATTCTAATTTCAATGAATTCGATTGGTCAAGGTATTTTTATCAATGAATACTATATTCGTCAATATTGAAGTAACTCCAGAAGTAGTAGTCACATAAATCGATTATATGTGGTGTTTGTTTCATTCACATTACAATCATAGTAGTAAATACAATTTTTTTGTATCAATTAGTATTATTTCTAAAAAGAAAATATGAGTGATTGGGCCACACTATATGCAATCTTTCAGAGAAACCGCTCATGCCACTCTAGAATAGAATCCGCAAGGAAGAGGAAATTGCTTTCGACCAAAGACTACTTGAAGAAAGACAAGCAACAGAGAGTCGCGCAAATTTTTCAGTGAACTAAGAGCTATGCGCGTGATAGAAATAATTGAAAATCTTTTGAGATTAGGCTAAGTTTTTGCCACTTCTGTTCAGCATAAGTAGCGTCCTAGTTTTGGCTTTTGATCGATATGGCATGGATTCTTTAGCTTGTCCGCAGGCAATTGTATTATCCCAATCAGTCTGAGCTGCTCTTCTGTTACTCATTAATTTTAAGTTTGAAAAAGCTTCAGGAAGGACCGCAGAATGGTAGTGGCTCAATATAATATGAATCCACCCCTTTTCTGGCTAGTTCATCTGCTTTTTCGTTTCCCCCAAATCCGCTGTGCCCTGTTGATTACTAAATATTGATTTAAAACTTTAAAATTTATTCTTTATATTATAAATATAGTTTCGATGCTCTAAAATATATTTAAATATGTTCTATTGGTCACCTTCATCCAGATATGTCAGTATTCATACATTTTCAATTTTTTTGGCATGAAAAATCAAGAGTCATCGCTCGTTTGAGATAAGTCAGAATTAGTAAGCGCTCTGGAGTTACTTTTACTTAGAGAAGTGCCTTTCCAACTATACTAGTTTTCTTTTAACTCTTAATAATTAATGGTCAGTTATCACATATACATATTGTGCCACAAACTATTTGCTTATTTATTACACATATATGTAGGTATAATTTGTATGAAAATTTAAATCTCATATTTCTATCTAAGAAAGATAATACTTTATACAATATAATACGTTTATTATTTCAGGGATTTGCCATTGCGTGTCTGACATTGCATTTCTATAGTTTTAATGATCGTGACATCGTGACATCATTCCTTGCCACGGGTACTTTTACTGGCTTCATAATCGTCGTTGTTGGCGTGTTTGCAGGTGTAGTCTAAATTGTTATAAATTCTTATTAATCCTTGCAACAATTAATTATACACCCAACAGGTGTCCTTATGCGTGCTCCAATACACAAACGCATTGACATATTCTTTAGTGTGCTGGGTTGTGCCCTTTTTGTGACATCGGGTGTGTTCATAATCGAGTCCTGGGAGTACACGTTTCGCACACGTACACGTGATTTAGCCCTTATTAAGGCGGCGTTGTCAATTGTGAGTAAACATGATTTAAAAGTATATCATAAATTTTTACTAAATTTTCATTTTTTTTCTTTTTCGAAGGTAAATGGAGTTATGTTTGGATTCGATGCTATATTTACATTTCGCGATAAATAAAACTTTATTGTCTTTAACTATAAGGATATAAGAAGTGTATTTTTTTTTGTTTAAAAGTTAGAAATAAAATATGCCACTTTTTGTAAATCTGATTTAATTGCTTTTACCCAACCGAAATTTTAACCCAAATGTAAACCTACTAGTGTTTTTATTTAACGAATTAATTTTTATTACTTAAATAATTGCTGTATATATATATCCTTTTGCACGTACTCTGTTCGTTGCATTTATTTCTGATGTTATTCGTTATTTTTTTACGTTTTAGTCATCACACAATCAGAGCTGTAAGATGGCGTCATAACGGAAATAATAGTAAAGTGAATAGTTTATTTTTATTCTATACTTAAGTGACCTCATAGCTTGACAAAACTAACAACGCAATGAAATGTTGATAAACATTTTTAAACCTACATAACAATTCAATTGAAATCGTCTGGAAAGAGTTTAGCAACATTTATGTATGTGTCATCGAAAAGCCAAGCCATACTATGTCTCATAAAACTGCATATTTTATAATTCTCAAGAAAAATGACTTATATAAGTAATACTACACATATCTTATACTACATATAACTTATATACAGTACTTTTTTAATAAAGAGTATCGCCATACAGCCATGGCATTCACGCTTAGTGTATCAGAAATCATTGCATCGGTCAATTTTGAATCTTTATCAATTTCAGACTTTATCAGAGTGACGCTTAAATTATGTTAGAGAAGTAGAATACATTTTAACAAAACATCACTATAGCAACATAGATTATGAAACAAAAACTGACAGTTATAGTAAAAAGTTATAGAATTTTATTTAAAAGTCCGTAACTGAATTTTAAAATAGTTGTAATTTTAAAAAGTTAGCAATGGAGGTTACAATAATCTTTATCCTAAAATTAATTGAACTGGTAAGTGAACATTTTTTTTAATATAGAAAATAAATCTAAAAGTGATTCTATTCTTTGAATGCTAGTGCGTTGTGGTATTAAAAAAGCGGGACAGGGGTGGGGCAAAATACTCTTATAATTTTATTCAACAATTCTAGTTTCTAGTTTCTAGAACAGTGTTTTAGCAACACTTTTCTGACCAATGTGACGAAGTACACAAAGTCTTGTCTCCATAATCAAGTTTATATCCATATTTCTCTCTTTATCCTATTCTCAATTCTTTAATTTACATTGAAAACAACAACAATTTCAAATTTGACATCACCATGATTCTGTATATAACATGGTACAGAGGAACATTACATATATGAAGTGGTTTTAATAGACGTATAATATATTACATCAATTTCTTATCATAGCAACATAGACTATGAAATAAAAACTGACAGTTATAGTAAAAAGTTATAGAATTTTATTTAAAAGTCCGTAACTGAATTTTAAAATAGTTGTAATTTTAAAAAGCTAGCAATGGAGGTTACAATAATATTTATTCTAAAATTAATTGAACTGGTAAGTGAACATTTTTTTTAATATAGAAAATAAATCTAAAAGTGATTCTATTCTTTGAATGTTAGTGCGTTGTGGTATTAAAAAAGCGGGACAGGGGTGGGGCAAAATACTCTTATAATTTTATTCAATAATTCTAGTTTCTAGTTTCTAGAACAGTGTTTTAGCAACACTATTCTGACCAATGTGACGAAGTACACAAAGTCTTGTCTCCATAATCAAGTTTATATCCATATTTCTCTCTTTGTCCTATTCTCAATTCTTTAACTTACATTGAAAACAACAACAATTTCAAATTTGACATGACCATGATTCTGTATATAACATGGTCCAGAGGAACATTGGTTATATGAATTGTTTTTAATAGATGTATAATATATTACATCAATTTCTTATCATAGCAACATAGGCTATGAAACAAAAACTGACAGTTATAGTAAAAAGTTATAGAATTTTATTTAAAAGTTTGTAACTGAATTTTTAAATAGTTGTAATTTTAAAAAGCTAGCAATGGAGGTTACAATAATCTTTATCCTAAAATTAATTGAACTGGTAAGTGAAAAATAAATTTAAAAGTGATTCTATTTTTTGAATGTTAGTTGGTTGTGGTATTAAGAAAGCGGGACAGGGGTGGGGTAAAATACTTATGTAATTTAATTCAATAATTCTTTGTAACAGAAAGAAGTCCTAGTTTCTAGACTAATGTTTTAGCAACACTATTCTGACCAATGTGACGAAGTACACAAAGTCTTGTCTCCATAATCAAGTTTATATCCATATTTCTCTCTTTGTCCTATTCTTAATTGCTTAACTTACATTGAAAACAATAACAATTTCAAATTTGACGTGACCATGATTCTGTATATAACATGGTCCAGAGGAACATTGGTTATATGAATTGTTTTTAATAGATGTATAATATATTACATCAATTTCTTATCATAGCAACATAGGCTATGAAACAAAAACTGACAGTTATAGTAAAAAGTTATAGAATTTTATTTAAAAGTTTGTAACTGAATTTTTAAATAGTTGTAATTTTAAAAAGCTAGCAATGGAGGTTACAATAATCTTTATCCTAAAATTAATTGAACTGGTAAGTGAAAAATAAATTTAAAAGTGATTCTATTTTTTGAATGTTAGTTGGTTGTGGTATTAAGAAAGCGGGACAGGGGTGGGGTAAAATACTTATGTAATTTAATTCAATAATTCTTTGTAACAGAAAGAAGTCCTAGTTTCTAGACTAGTGTTTTAGCAACACTATTCTGACCAATGTGACGAAGTACACAAAGTCTTGTCTCCATAATCAAGTTTATATCCATATTTCTCTCTTTGTCCTATTCTTAATTGCTTAACTTACATTGAAAACAATAACAATTTCAAATTTGACGTGACCATGATTCTGTATATAACATGGTCCAGAGGAACATTGGTTATATGAATTGTTTTTAATAGATGTATAATATATTACATCAATTTCTTATCATAGCAACATAGGCTATGAAACAAAAACTGACAGTTATAGTAAAAAGTTATAGAATTTTATTTAAAAGTTTGTAACTGAATTTTTAAATAGTTGTAATTTTAAAAAGCTAGCAATGGAGGTTACAATAATCTTTATCCTAAAATTAATTGAACTGGTAAGTGAAAAATAAATTTAAAAGTGATTCTATTTTTTGAATGTTAGTTGGTTGTGGTATTAAGAAAGCGGGACAGGGGTGGGGTAAAATACTTATGTAATTTAATTCAATAATTCTTTGTAACAGAAAGAAATCCTAGTTTCTAGACTAGTGTTTTAGCAACACTATTCTGACCAATGTGACGAAGTACACAAAGTCTTGTCTCCATAATCAAGTTTATATCCATATTTCTCTCTTTGTCCTATTCTTAATTGCTTAACTTACATTGAAAACAATAACAATTTCAAATTTGACGTGACCATGATTCTGTATATAACATGGTCCAGAGGAACATTGGTTATATGAATTGTTTTTAATAGATGTATAATATATTACATCAATTTCTTATCATAGCAACATAGGCTATGAAACAAAAACTGACAGTTATAGTAAAAAGTTATAGAATTTTATTTAAAAGTTTGTAACTGAATTTTTAAATAGTTGTAATTTTAAAAAGCTAGCAATGGAGGTTACAATAATCTTTATCCTAAAATTAATTGAACTGGTAAGTGAAAAATAAATTTAAAAGTGATTCTATTTTTTGAATGTTAGTTGGTTGTGGTATTAAGAAAGCGGGACAGGGGTGGGGTAAAATACTTATGTAATTTAATTCAATAATTCTTTGTAACAGAAAGAAGTCCTAGTTTCTAGACTAGTGTTTTAGCAACACTATTCTGACCAATGTGACGAAGTACACAAAGTCTTGTCTCCATAATCAAGTTTATATCCATATTTCTCTCTTTGTCCTATTCTTAATTGCTTAACTTACATTGAAAACAATAACAATTTCAAATTTGACGTGACCATGATTCTGTATATAACATGGTCCAGAGGAACATTGGTTATATGAATTGTTTTTAATAGATGTATAATATATTACATCAATTTCTTATCATAGCAACATAGGCTATGAAACAAAAACTGACAGTTATAGTAAAAAGTTATAGAATTTTATTTAAAAGTTTGTAACTGAATTTTTAAATAGTTGTAATTTTAAAAAGCTAGCAATGGAGGTTACAATAATCTTTATCCTAAAATTAATTGAACTGGTAAGTGAAAAATTTTTTTTAATATAGAAAATAAATCTGAAAGTGATTCTATTATTTTCTGGTTAGTTAGTGCATTATGACAATAAGTAAACGGGATAGGGTTAGGGTTTCGGGAAACATTCTGTGTAATTAAGAATAGTTGCAAAATATTTATGGAAATTTATTCAAGCTTCATTGTAATAGAATAACAAAGACAAAAAAAATAAAATCTAATATCAGAACATACGACTGTCTCCATTCTATAAGAAAAGACTTAAAGGTTATTATCTTATTATCTGCTTTGACATTATGGTGTTAGAATATAAATAAAATACTTTTAAGCTAACGTTCCGTTGGTTTTTTTCAACACTGTCAGGGGTCTCTAAGATTCATTCTATTTAATATTTAAATTGCTTCTTATATACAAATTCAAAGAAATTTTGCCTAACAATATCGAATAACTTCAGTATAAGAATTGCTTGCAGTAATCTATAATTTTACAGCAAATGTTGCCAGTTGCATTATGAAATATTTTGTGTAGTCGTAGCTTGTTTTTTCGACTGCTTTGAGATTTTCCACCAAACTAATTTATTTGCTTTAATTTTTGAATTAATTTTGTTTTAATTTTTTCATGTCAGTAAGAAAAAATTAATTAAGTTTCATAACGAGATACTTTTTTGTTTCGTTATATTTATATAAACCATCCATGCCTTCAATACAGAAATGTTGCATAGTTTCCATTGTTTGTTGCCAGTATAGAAATTCTTATCAACAAAAATACGGGTTTCTGTTATGTGCAAAGCTTTTTTTAGCTGTTGAGTGTTTGGCAACAAGAATATTGGTTTCTGCTGCTTCAGTACAAGGTAGATAAATAGTTTCGGAGAGAAATTTGTGGAATTGTCCTTTGAATAAGTACATAAGTATATGTACGTGTGCATATTTTTCACTTTTAATAATAATAATAAGATATAATAAGTACATTTGTAAATAATGATGTCATATATATCGTTGTATTCTTGATGTGTATATATATACATTAGTTATATTTGCTATGTATTTCAACAATGTGAAATTGTAACTGCCATTCAACAATAATTTCCATTTGTTTGTATATTTGGCCTTGAAAATACTTCAGTATCTATGTAATTCGTATATGTGTTATTATGTTATGTCTTTTAAGCTTCTTATTACAAAACTCAGTTTTATATGGGCCTGAATTTATATGAGGAATTAACCAAACTGTCTTGTTTTTGTATGTCGAATAGCACACTAACAGCAGAAAAATACATACATATATAGATACATTGGTACATAGGTATAAATTTATGCGTAGTTCATAGTCTGTCTCATACTTGCTTGAGAACCCCTCGCTTTTTGAGCAAAGTTTTTGTATATACAATCTTTATTTGTATCTTCCATATTCACATTTAAGTTTGTACTTAGATTTGATTTTATTTTTGTTAAGATACTGAAATGGTCTCATACTAATCCACATCAGTTCAATTTGCTACGTAAATTGCTTTACACAATGCGTATTTAATTTGTTTTGATTCACAGTTCTAATTCTACATGCGATATACAATACTAATGTACAGATACTACACAATAGTAATATATCTATACTATTGTATATATATCTATACAATAGTAATATATATACATACACACGTTTTTTTTTGTTTCTCTGTTTTGTGGTTTCGTTAAAATTATTCACAAAAATATTATGGTTTTAGGCTAAATGGATTTTGGTCATTAGTTTTCGCTCGTATATATGATGATGTCATTCCTTAAATAACTTTTGGTGTTGTGTTGATTATTTTGTTCCGAATACGTCATATAAACATGAAAATGAAACCAAACTTTAAGTCATGTTTATATATTAAAAATAGTAGTAGAGATACAAAAGTTCTAACATATAATTAGTAATATTACTTTTATGTATTTCTAAAGAGGCTTGAAATATAATTAAAAATTTTGTTAATTTATCTAATATTTCCGTTCTTTTGATTGATGTTATTTTACTCATCTTACAAAATATTAAAAATAAAATATAAAATAAAATAATATATATAAAACATAAATATAAGTTACTACAAATAGGTAAGGTTGGTTTATCTTGGCTGGACATAAGTTATACAAACAGATATTGGTCCCTACCAATGCCAATTAAGCAAGAACCCCGTAGTAGTCTGGTAGGATGTTAAATCATATAGGATATTGATAATTTTTTTTACAATTTTTACAAAAAATGCTTCCTGCGGACGTCTTCGAATTTCCTAAATTGTAACATCAGCGAATTCTCAAGATCTTTATTACCAGATTTTGGTATTTTGTATACGGCACTATTGGTATAGTACTATTCGCTAGAAAAGAAAAACCAACAACAAAATATATTGAAAAAATGGTTTTAGCACTTTTTTAGAATATAATTTCTTGCTATACAGCTACTCACTATATGTCTATAATATCAGCATAAATCGAGTACAGATTTTTTTTAAATGCAATTTTTAACTGGTCCATCTGTTCATGACCTAATTTTTTATATATTTATCAATTTTACTGTGTAAATTTTTAAGATGTGTCTTCATATCTTGTTTAAATACCAGCTGAACAGTGTTCTATTTAATACTAAGTATTTCTACCTCCAATACAGTCATAATTCTTATGAGGACGGTAGTTAGTATTAACGTAGGTGGAACCAACAATTTTATTGAGAATATTACAGGGCGAAGGACCTAACAGTTGAGTTCCTTTTTCTTAAAATTAAGCAGTTCAGTTCTTAACTTTAAAATTAATTTGAATGTTGACTCACAAATAAATAAACACTGAGAATTTCGTTCTCAAGAACCCCTAAAATTGTGTTTCGTTAATCATGTTTTTGTACGATATAGATAGTAGTAAGGATAATATTCTCCTATATCATACTATATTAATATATATATTTAAATAAATGGATTTTTTGTTTTTATAAATATTTTTGTTTATCCAGAAAAAGCGCTTAAATTATACAATTTAATTATAACTGTGATTTCTTTAAGGCTATAACAGTGGCTTGTATTGTCTTGTGGGAAATAATAGGGTTTCTGTCTACTGAAATATTGCTAGTTATCGGTACTATTGCGGGTTACGCTATCATTTGCGCCATTTTTACAATTGGTGAGAGTATCTATAAATTTTCTTATTAAATTTTACTGATTTTTTCATAAATTCATAAATTATTTTCAAGGTTACATCTTTAATTCGATGGCACCCAAACTTTTGAATATTTTATTTTCTGTTGTCGGTTGTATTCTGTTTATTGCATCAGGAATTGATGTAATTCTAGAGTGGGAGAGCGATGAATTTGCTGGAAGTAACCGAGTTTGTGGCCTGACTGCTGGAGGTCTGATGATTATTAACAGCGTTGTATTTTTATGGGAAGCAATACTTCTTCATAGGGTAATTTTATGACTAATTTGTTTCATTTTAAAAATAATCTTATTGATATATAACATACATACATACACTTCATAAAGAAATTTCAAAAATCTCATATCAATAACTTTTTTGTGTATTACAGGGAGGAAGTGTTGACTAATCAAAGAATGGCTTTTTGTATCCCAAATTTTTAGTCTTAGTCGAATTTGATTTTTTCGAAAAATTAAAATCATTTGATTTGGCCATAAATTTAAGTTGTTGTTGATTTGATAATTCAATAAATTTCTATTGATAATTACAAAATCGCATTTGTATTTATATTAATCTATGTGCAGCTATTTATATTATATGTGAAAGTAACATTTATAAGTAATACAGCTAACCTTTTACTGTTATGATTTGTTTTTGATTTTGCTCTTAAACTTTTTCTAGTTCAGTCAGCCTACTTGATTCTAACATTCGTTAGTCCTTTGTTACTGACCACAATGTGGTGATTAAAATATCGGCACATCTATTTACAACTTATTCTACTTAGCTAATTTATTCAGTATATGCAGCCAACTTCCACTGTATAATCAAACAATTTCGCCAATCATGTCTAGTAAAGCCTCTGATGTAGTCCATATATTTCCATATATTTCAGCTCTCCAGGACTAGTAGTTCCAACTAGTACCAGCGTGTTCCAACTACCATTTAATCAGAACATCTTTCGTTGCATGAAAATTTAAATTAAAATTGGGACTTATAATATTTTGAATAGCTAAATAAGATAATAAGGAAGAGCAAGGAAGGGTGTAAGAGAAATTTTTACATAAATCAATTTATAGGCATGAAGGGCCACGAAAATTGTGGGAATAGATTATATGCCGTTAAAAACATTAAATAAGGGAAAGTTTCGGAAAGCTTGTTGAAGGATTTATATTTATCTAGAGTTGAAATGGTATTAGATGATTGCAACTAAGTCGAAATTAACTTACTATATTCCATGCCAGCTTCCATTAAACTACTATTGTATCTAATCTATCTGATTATTTCTGTATAAGTATTATGAATCTGCAATCAAATCAAATTAGATTGATCTATTGTGAATTCTAACAATAATATCTTGATGGTGCAGTTGTTTGGAATTTAGCGGTTATAAATTATTTAACTCAGTCCATGGATTAAAACTGTTAGATGGCATGACTTTATCTTACATATTTTATGTCTTAACTAAGGTTGGTATTAGTCAGACTAAGGTTGTTGTTTAGAGTTTAATTTATATTAATTTAGATATTATTTATTTCATGTTCAAAGTTTGAAAATATAAAGATATTCTTCATCTTGCTGTTTATTAATGTATTGTAGTTGTTTATGGACAACGTCGACACAATTCTTTAATACATATTTATATGTATATGTAAATAATTATTTAAACAATTTTTTAAAAATATGTGTTATATAATTAATATTCATATATATTATTTTTGACACAATCTATTCAGATGAATAGAAGATTACTCAATGTTTGTTTATTTCAGTTTAAGATAAGTGTTCTGACTTTTAGCATATAAAAAACTTCGCCTTTGTTTTCAAATAAATTCACTTATAATTTTTTATTATTCATTAACTGATAAAAAATAATATATAATATATAATATATAATATACTCCTATAAAGAAAAAATTGTTTCGTTTTCTTCTTGAAGAATATTGATCTTTAATATTACAGCTTTAATATCAGAATTTAATTTCCCATTATAATTGAACATTTATAACATATAAAGATTATATAAAAAATATTGATACGAAAAGTTCTTGATGTCTATATATAAGACACCAAAATCAATTATAGGCTACAGTCACTTACCTATATCATATATAGGTAATATTTAGCAAGAGCATTATAGAAATATCTTAGAGAAATATCTATCATAATTATTTAGCAGCCTTTATATTCCTTAAAATGACGAAAATAAGAAAGCTCCAAACATAAGTGAGATTGTAGAAGTTATAGCTTAACGAAAATCTAGCTAAACTTATAGAAAACTGATTGAAGAATTGCACATTAAATTTGTGGAAATCGCAGCCTGATGCAACTATGTGTAATCTTAGGGATCATTCACCATGATTTATGCCTTTATGGAAAAAGTCAGAATAAACTTAAACGATGGATTAGAATTTAATCGAAATCCTTTGGTATAGATTAAATATAAATATACGGTATGTAAGAAAGAAATGATTTTGTGTGATTTAATAATTGTTATATATATATTTATATGTGATATATAATCCCTGATACATAAGTGTATTATAATAACACGTATTTTATTATTTATTTATTTATCCATGACAAAATGAGTAGTAGCAATGATAAGAATGAGTTATAATTAATGATGATTTAAAATTTAATTATTAAATTTATTTACAATTTGATAAAGACAGACATCAGTTAAAGTAAAGTTATTAAAAATTTTAATTTCAGTTCATACAGAACATTTTTGTTCTCTAATGATTTTTGGCTAATATAATTCTAGTTTTATAAAAGAAACGAAACCCGACACTCTTATAATTTATTGCTTTAATTAATTTAATTTTTTATTGTATTTTAGACACTTGCATGTGAAGTAGCTAAGGCGAGTTCATAGTTCGTGGCGTTTTAATCAGTAGTATGTGCCTTAATGTCGCATGACATTATCAGTTGTACAGCAGATGTTCTTAGTTGAGAATACATTCCCTAGAATTAGAAATTTTGGACTGTATAAACAGTTTCATGAGAGGCATAGATAATTTTTTAATGACAGAAAAAACTTGTAGTTATATGTACATATCCAACAAACACATTTTAATTTTTACTATAAAGTCACTTCATAATATTATAGATGACACTTAGTAGATGTTCATAACTTAAAAAAATTATGAATTTATTATTTCGATGAATTAGTATAACATTATATTCATAGAAATCATTTGCATATAAAACTCTTAAGTAACTCATATTGCATATTATTGACCTAATACACAACAATATATTGGAATAAAATAATTTAACTCTAATTTCTAACAGTTTTACTTTTATTCGACGCTGATGATGCACTGCTGCATTACTTCCAAAAACACAAAATAAACTCGCACCAACTAAAGAAAAGTGGTCTTCATCACTAGAACCACAATCAATATCCAATAAGACAACATGCTAATACTCATAACATTTACGTAGAATAATGGAGACCCTCAGATGTTTGGGCCTTGCTTTCAACAAAATGTTTCTCTGGAAAACCATAAGTTCAGGCTATACAAACTCCTGCAGGAGCTTCACTCGTTTGTAAGTAGTCGCAAGTTTAGTAACAAAAATAAACTAACATTTATATACAAATAGTGAGACCAGTTATGCTATACCGCTAGGTAGTTACCAATAAAGCCACCAAAATGCCTATATATTACTTTGACAGTTGTACACTAAGATTTACATATTGAGAGTTCAACAATATTAAATAAGGCACTGAAACTTTTTAACATCATTGAGTCACTTCCGAACACGAACCTTTCGTTACTAAAGACAGTCTCTATAATAACATGTGAATAATACAAAATAAAAACTTTAAAGGCATGTTGTGAGTGGACTCATTTTCAAGTATTCATATACCATTGTGTATCTAGATATTCAACTTGTAATAAACAAAAACAATAACAATAAATATTAAAATAAATCATATCTGCAAACCACTAATCTAATCTATCTGAGTGGACCTCTTAGTAGCTCACTGGAAATGAGAGGTGGTTTGATGTTCGTTTGTTAATGTACATGAGCATATCATATACTTTTAAGGTTGTCAGGTTTGGATGAACCTTAAGCTAGTTTACTGTTAAATTCCTTACCCATTTTTTTTAAAGCGTTTTAGTGCTTTATTCTACTAATTACTAATTCAATATAACAATAACTTACATTTTATTTAAATTTATGTTTTAATTTTATTGTTATTTATATTATAATCCATATTTTTTATAAAAGTACTGTGACTGTTTGTATTCTCAACATAGGAATCCTTATAAACATTAGAAGTAAACAAATGATGTCGTCACATGCCTTAGTACAGCAACGAGAAGCAGCACACTACACCACACGAATCACTATTAGAACTGTTGAAGCAACAAGTTGTTAAGTCATCAGTAAGAAATATATATACAAAAGCAAAGCATTTGTAAGTACCACATCGAAAAAAACATATGCCAACAAAAATACTGGTTTTTTGTTGCTAACACAAAATGTTGATATGATTTTTGAGCAAAATGAAAGAACATTTGTATTAAAATATCAGTTAAATTGTATCGCTCGTTTAAAGAAGGTTGTTTTTGAAAACTTAAGAGCCGGAAAAGGAATTATTTTACATTTGTTTCTTAAATTACAACAAAATTTTAATAAAAATAAACTAAACTCAAAATGCAAAAAAATATATAAGAAATATATAAATATAGAAGACCCAAATAATCAATGCACGGAAAGTGTAGATTTAAAAGGGCGTAGTCTATATATATAGTAATGTATACAAATGTCGTTTCCGTTTAGCTTAGCTAATTTCATGGCATCATTTATATAGACTATGTTACTATATAATAATAAAAACAAAAATAAAAATTAATCTATAAGCACTTATTTTCTATTCACATCAGCCCTTTTTCATCAAATAAAAATTTTTATTTTTTTTATTAATAACCTTCCTGCTATATAACTGTCCGGTTTTCTCGAGAAGTTGACAAAAATATTTGAGGGCTGTCAGTTTTACCGGACTGAAGCACATACTTGAGGTTTTTGTTGAAATCCTAATAAAATTCGTTTATAACACGATGATCCTAAGCGATGCACACTATAGCTTAAAATTAAGACTTCGATCTGGTATAGCAATGGGCCTTAATAATCTACGCGTGACCCCTTTGGTCTGCCAGCATAACCTAAACTAACCTACTAATATCCTTATATATTAAAAATATATCATAAAAGGCATTATTAGAGAAGTTAACGCTTTCAAAAACAATATTAATTTTTTTTATAATGGGATTTATTGGAAGCCAAACGGATTTAGGAAAACTGGAAACAATAGTATACTATCGGAAATTCTCTAAATCATTGAAAAGGTTTTAATAGTAATCAGTTTTGGCCATTATTACAATGTATCCATACAATGGCTTATATCACAGAATAATGAAAGGCAAAATTAGTAAGTGAAAACAGTGTTCCTTCTAATAAATAATTACACATTATTCTTATGTATTCTTATGTATTATGTGTTTATGTATTCTTAAGTACTGTTAATTTTATGTAGAATTTCATCTTTAATATGTCAGTTGGAGTATATATAAATGATGCGCTGATTATCTTCTATCTTCGCTTCAATCACATGTTAAAAATTTACAAATTCTATTTTATTGTGTTTAAGTACTCTTAGAAAAACTATTGTATACCAAAATTTAATAAACAGCAAAATTACTTATTATTAAGTTAATAATACTGTATATCTATTTCATTATTGTTGTGAATGTTTTTTTATTTAAAAGCATTAGTACTTGTCATCTATGCTTACTAAATTGCTTCTAAATAGAAACTAGAGTTCCGTAAATTATCTTTCTTAACTATCAGTTGCCGATTCGTATTGTGCTGTAAAGGTTTTATACTTTTTTATGAATAGATCTGTATGAGAGGCTAATTGAAGTGAAATTGGTTTATTTCCACAGGTCTTCATACTCACTATAGTCATTCTTATCGAAAATGTATCTGATCACAGCTACACAAGCCAAGCAATGTTGGTTTGTGGCACATTATCAGGTTATATGATTATTTGCAGCGCATTACTAATTGGTAATTATAGATATTATATTGAATACTTTGGCTTAATCGTATTTGGCTGTTGAATTAATGAAATCAATTAATTTCACTAAATTTCATTATAATTCTATTTATCTGTTAGGCCACCTGCTAGGCACTCCAACGCCTGTAGATAAACGTATTGATTTGCTTTTCAGCATTGGTGCCTGCATTATGTTTATATCTTCTGGCGCAGTTATTGTAGACCAATGGAGTACGGCGTACACTTCTAGAAAAGACAAAAATACAATTATAGCTGCTGGAGCGATGGCCATAATTACTGGGGCCATTTTTATAGCCGATACACTTGTTATATTTCGCAGTTAGATTTTTCGCTTTTAAGAACATATATAATTATCTTATTTATTATATTAATTGAATTAAATAAAACTGAAATTAAACAAAAGCTGATCTAATTTATTTCCTAGAAATCTGAACATAATTATCTAAAGAATTATATAATAATTTTTTCAATTTTTTAAGGTGATTGCCGTGACCTGTATTGTCTTATGGGAACTTGTTGGCATGCTCACTATGCAAGTCATGGTCGTATGTGGTACTGTTGGTGGTTTCACAGTTATCTGTACTATCTTATTCATTGGTAAGACTTGCTATCAAAATTCTATACTTTATTCTATTTAGTTAAATTAATAAAAAAATTTGAATCGTTGCTAAACAAGTTCTTGAATTATTTTTCAGGTTCTATCCTGGACGCACAAGTTGACCCCCGCTTGAACGGTCTATTTTCGATAGTCGGTTGTATGCTATTCATCACCTCTGGTATCATAGTAATTCTACAATGGAAGGACGATACATTGTTTGGATTGGGTGAAAAGAACCGTCATTATGGTTTAGCTGCCGGAGGGTTGATGATCATTAATGGTGTCATCTTCCTTTGCGACACAGTATTCATTCTTCAATCGTCGTAATTTTCATGTCTAATTTATTTAACTTCAATAGCAGATCTTTCACACAACAAGAAAAAACTCTTCAAGAACAGAAGTATCTTTTATATTATTATATATATGTCCAAAAAAATCTCATACATAAGTATCACTTCATATGCACATATATACTCCACAAGAAATTTAAAAAATCGCATATCAATCACTATAAGATGCATCACAGAGGTAAGAATTTAATCTTCAAAAACTTAAAGAAGCAGTCCTTGAAATGATTTTATATTTTGATATTAAATTCAAATAAACTTTTCTATATACATCCCTTGTATTCTGTGTTTATATTGAGCTTTTTTACAGTCTTCACTTATCTTTTGATGTACATGACAAATATGTTTCGGTACTGGTCTAGACAGTTAAAATACCACAATTTTATATTCGACGCGATTTTTTATACTTTAAAACTTTCTTTTTACAGTCGAGTGGAAGTGCCTGTGATAAGAGATGTGCCCAAAAATAAGCTTGAAATTAATCGCTTCTAGACGTTGCATGCGATCTTTTAAAGAACGTGGGTTTTAAAATATCGCACACTGCTTTGAAACGAAGCAAGCACTTGTTGACTAATTTGTAAGAAACCGAATGTGATATATATTATTTAGTATTCCTTAAAAAAATATACAAATCGAAATAAAATACATTTATAAACAAATTTCAAAATTATTTAAAATTGCTTTGGAACTCCATCCAATGGGGAACATGTTCGGAAATGAAATTAATTAACAGGTTATTTGGTAGAGTATCATAATAAAATGAAAAATTGAATTGACTGTACAGATCTGAAGTCCAAATATGCAATATATATATATCCTGAACTGATTCACCGACTGACACTATATTCAGATGATACATATATAGTGAAATACACTCCGTTTCACTTGAATAGCACACTTCACATATTTAATTTCTTTTCTTTATATCTTTTAAACTAATGAAATAAAACAATTTTTTTTTAGATTTTATAGGTAGTGTGATTAATAATCTTTATTATAAAAATAAAAAAACTTGCATTTTTTCAATAATTTTTATATTAAAAGATGACAAACTAAATAAGTATATAAATAGCATAAAAATTTCGTTTCACTTGAATAGCACATTTTTGTTTTTTAAATAAATTTAATTATTTTATGCACTAGGGACAGTTTATTTATTTATTATTACGGATTAATTTGTTAAAATTAACATTTTAGTAATGAGTTGAACCTCCCTTGTTTAATATAACCTCATAGATCCTATCGGGAAGTGAATCATACAAAATTTTAATATAATCAAGGGAAATTGTAGCCCATGCTCGTTGAATTGCTTCAATTAGTTCAGTTTTTGTTGAATATTGTTTTCCAGATTCATACACTTTTCTAGCCAGCCATCCCCAAACATTTTCTATTATGTTAAGGTCCGGCGAGTATGGGGCCAGTTCAGAACAGCAACATTTCTGGATTCAATGAACGATTTTACAACACGAGCAGTATGTATTGGGGCGTTGTCTTGTTGGAAAGTCCACGGCAATTGTCCAAAAAGATTCTCTAATGAAGGAAAAGCTTTTTCTGAAACTCCTTGGTACGATTTTGCGTTCATAGTTGTGTTTAAGAATTGGAGTTCACAAGTGTCATAGTAAGATATGGCTCCCCAAACCATAACTCAGCCCATTCTACTGTGTAAACGCTCTAACTGATGAGTTTCTTTCCTCAAATCATGAAAATAATAATTGTAACCGTCGGGCCCTTCCAAATTAAACTTTTTCTCATCAGAGAAAACAACGCGATTCCACTCCTTGCTCCATGACATGTTGGCACGGCAAAAAGTCAACCGAGCTTCTTTACGTATAGGGTTAAGTGGTGGTTTTTTTTTTGATTTAAGCCGTTTTAGATGTTGGGCATTCGAAATAACCCGCCATACGGTAGTTTTGCTTGCATTGACACCAGCTTTTAACCTTATTTTGTTAACCGAATCATGTGAATTCGAAGCTTGCCTCAAAATAGCCCGCTTATCTGCATAGCTGAGGACGCTTTTTACACGGCCTTTCATATTTTTTCCATAGTTAAGATCATTTTGAATGACATTGTATATCACTTTTCTGCTTCTTCCGATTTTTTTGGATATTTGAGTTACAGACAGGTCAGAATCAATGAAGCTTTTTATTTTGACCTGTTCTTCGTTGGTTAAAGCATTACCACGACCCATTATTAATTTAAATCGTCACACTGTATTTAAAACTCACAAATAAATAAAAAAAACTTAATATTGTGGTGAGCTGCTACTCATAAATTAAATTGGATACCAAATGTGCTATTCAAGTGAAACGAAATACATACTAGTTATTGATGCAAATTCAAAAGAAAATAACAGGAAAATTTAACGGTACATTTCTGCAGTACTAATTTTTTTTGGAGGAGACTACATAAGGAAACAAACAAAAAAACCCAACAATTATTACAACAAAGTCATGAGATCATTGATAGATAAGCAAATAATAATGCAAAAACGAAGTGTGCTATTCAAGTGAAACGGAGTGTATATAGCTTATTCAACATATATCTTATTTGTTTTAAAGAAAACTGGGTTGTTATTTAACGTAAGTTATTTGTTCTGCTATATCATTCCAATCATTATTATGTTGCGGCTAGTTGAGTCAGTGCACCTGAGCACTTTTACTCTCTATTAACTGCGAGGTTTCTCAAAACCCCTCTTTGCGCCTTGACTGGATTATTGTTTATCACTTCATTAGACTAAGCAATAATTGACCTCCGAGTGCCAATTATCTCCCCGAGGAGCCTGTAACCATTCTGAGATTTGATAACACGGTGTTAGTAAGTCTGTCAGATTTCGCAAATAATTTCAGGGCTCTATCCTTTATGTATTTTTTGATGGGATCAATCTTGAGGTCCCTGAGGACGTCATTCGTCCTAATGTTCCAAAGAACTTTGAAAAATCATCTCAGAGTCTGGCTTTGTGCAATTTCTAACTGGTGAATAGTAGTGTTTGAAGCTTTGTAAAACGCTGCACAACCATATAGAAGTGACGGACGAATTATTTGGTCATATATCAGTTTCCTGTTCTTAGCATTGAGGTAAAAAATGAGGTAAAAATGATATTACCCGTCGGGCAATCTACCTCCACTGAAGTAGCTTCGAGTGCTTGTAGATTATCAATTCTGAGATGGTGTTTGATGTTTCTGCTAATAAGGGTAGCAGTGCCCCCTCCTCTTCTTGAGACCCTGTTTGATCTATGAATGATGTAATTAGGGATTTTGAGCTGCATTGAGGGTTTCAGGAAAGTTTCTTGCAGGACCATAAAGTCTATTTCAAAATCATGAAGAAATTGTGTAACATCGTGTTTCTTGCTTGTAATGGAATTTGCATTCCAGGCCACAACTTTCAAGCGATGTGATGGTGTGTTCATTGTGAAGTTAAAGTTGGCAGTAGGCTTTGTAGCATGGCCTGCATCATATTCTTCATAATCGAGTTCAGCTGTTCCTGGAAGTTGTTCATTAACTTTTCTAATTGGGCGGCCGGTGGATGTGGAAAGGTGGGGAGTTTTTGGGAGAAGGTTTTTTCTGCAACATCCGCATACGTCATTGATGGCTTTATTGAGGGGCTAGGTGGTATCACAGTGTTATTTTTTCTTTTTGGAATGATTTTCGGAGCACACGCGCATCCTCTATAATTTGCCGGATGATCACCGCCGCAGTTTGAACATTTCGGGGGGTCTTCACGAGGCTTCATACATAGGGAGTGATGATGTATGCCCTCACACTTAACACATTTGGGTGCGGCCTTACAATTAGTGGCAAAATGACGAGACTGTTGGCAGTTGTGACACTGAGGGGGACCTTTTAGCGGGCGCTGAGCTTCAACAGTCACTTTTAGGTGGCAAACATTGGATATGTTGTATATATCCTTTTGGTCCGCAGGGAGAGGAATTTTAATAAGTTTGTCGACTGTGTGCCTCGTCTTAAGTAAGTGGCACTCAAGGATGCTAAACCCTTTCTTTTCAAGATATTCTTTTATAAATAAAATTTAACATATAAAATACATAGCTTTTTTTTTAAAAAAATAATGAAAATGGACTGCAAATAGATGTTATTTGACTATTACTTGCAGAACATAAAATTCACGCTTTAACGCTTTATGTCTCTATCATAATCTGTAAATGCAAAACTTTATCTATTTCATAAACCAGTGAATTAACACACCTTTACCTTTCTTGGTAAAGTACTCGTATTAGAGTTTTCTATTTTCTAAACGACTCACAGGTATGACCAGCAGGTGCACATACGATCTATTCTTTAGATTAAAGAGCTTGTTTTCCAGACGTTGATCATGTTGATAATGATATATATCTGTGTTTCTAGGTGAATAATAAAACCTCATTCAATGCTATAAAAAAGGGTTTGCCATAAACTACTGACATACATAGATTTTTTAGTTATAATTGGGTGCTACTTTGTCATATATCATTTCCTTCCACAAATTTGTTCCTGTCGAGTGCATAATAAAAGAAGACTGAACAAATTCGGTTGTTATCAACTCACATGTTGAGAATGTTTCTTGATTAAATCTACAGTGGCTTGCTACATCAACTGTCAAGTTAGGAAGTCAACGGCTATGTTTATTTACCTACCTACCTTGGTATACAGTTAAAACTAAACGATTGGACTGAAATCAATAATTTGTGAATACTTTTTTAACTTGCATTAGGCTTTATGCCTTACACAGAAGCACGAAAATATTTCGTCACTATAATGATGATGCACTACTGCATTACTTCCAAAAACACAAAATAAACTTGCACCAACTAAAAAAAAGTGGTCTTCATCACTGGAATCACAATCAATATCCAATAAGACAACATGCTAATACTCGTAACATTTACGTAGAATAATGGAGACCCTCAGAAAACCATAAGTTCAGGCTATACAAACTCCTGCAGGAGCTTCACTCGTTTGTAAGTAGTCGCAAGTTTAGTAACAAAAATAAACTAACATTTATATACAAATAGTGAGACCAGTTATGCTATACCGCTAGGTAGTTACCAACAAAGCCACCAAAATGTCTATATATTACTTTGACAGTTGTACACTAAGATTTACATATTGAGAGTTCAACAATGTTGAATAAGGCACTGAAACTTTTCAACATCATTGAGTCACTTCCGAACACGAACCTTTCGTTACTAAAGACAGTCTCTATAATAACATGTGAATAATACAAAATAAAAACTTTAAAGGCATGTTGTGAGTGGACTCATTTTCAAGTATTCATATACCATTGTGTATCTAGATATTCAACTTGTAATAAACAAAAACAATAACAATAAATATTAAAATAAATCATATCTGCAAACCACTAATCTAATCTATCTGAGTGGACCTCTTAGTAGCTCACTGGAAATGAGAGGTGGTTTGATGTTCGTTTGTTAATGTACATGAGCATATCATATACTTTTAAGGTTGTCAGGTTTGGATGAACCTTAAGCTAGTTTACTGTTAAATTCCTTACCCATTTTTTTAAAGCGTTTTAGTGCTTTATTCTACTAATTACTAATTCAATATAACAATAACTTACATTTTATTTAAATTTATGTTTTAATTTTATTGTTATTTATATTATAATCCATATTTTTTATAAAAGTACTGTGACTGTTTGTATTCTCAACATAGGAATCCTTATAAACATTAGAAGTAAACAAATGATGTCGTCACATACCTTAGTATAGCAACAAGAAGCAGCACACTACACCACACGAATCACTATTAGAACTGTTGAAGCAACAAGTTGTTAAGTCATCAGTAAGAAATATATATACAAAAGCAAAGCATTTGTAAGTACCACATCGAAAAAAACATATGCCAACAAAAATACTGGTTTTTTGTTGCTAACACAAAATGTTGATATGATTTTTGAGCAAAACGAAACAACATTTGTATTAAAATATCAGTTAAATTGTATCGCTCGTTTAAAGAAGGTTGTTTTTGAAAGCTTAAGAGCCGGAAAAGGAATTATTTTACATTTGTTTCTCAAATTATAAGAAAAGTTTAATAAAAATAAACTAAACTCAAAATGCAGTTTAACAATCGTTTGTTATTGAAGATCATTCAATTAGTAAGTGAAATAATTTGTTTACTTTTAAAGTAGTGTTGTGACAGTTGTTGCTATTATTTCTATGTGTAAGAACTTTATTTTTATGTGCAGCTTATGTGATTATTTAATTTAATATATAATAAAAAAAAAATTAAGAAGAAAGTTTAATTGAAATAATTAAAAATTTCTTTACTCTTTATATACTTGCTCCGTGGTGCTTTAATAAACATTCTATGTTATTTCAATTTTATTTTCTGCCCTTGAAAATTTTCTGCGGAGTTTTATATGTTTTCAAAAATATGTGTGTATCTATGTATCTAAAGAGCCTTCTTATTTTATTTGGGTATATTTTGATAGCCCATTTCTGTGTGTTTTATTCATGGATTACCAAATTTTTTTCATCAATCAAACTGGTTTTTTTTACCCCGAATATGTATTCCGTATCTTCGATGCTGCGAATATAAATAACGTCATTCATATAAATTTTGTGCGTAGTTTGTTGTTAGTGAAGCATGGATATCCGTACTCAATGTTAGTATATAAATATTTTGTTTGTCATATAAGGTATCTGTGATTTTCAAAGAAGGAAGTTATTTTTGATATAATAAAATTAGTTTATTTCATTTTCTGCTCCTTTTTTATTTTGAATATTATTTGCTACACTTTTGAACGTGTTTGGCGAGATATTTTATTATTTATTCAAGAGAGCAAATCGGGTATCTGAAATGACTGAATTAACTGACTAAATTGATGGACCCTATTACATATAAGTTATATATAATGCAGTTATTTTTATTAGTGGATATAAATATATTACTGTTACTTTTATAATTTCCTATTTCAGTAACCGACTATATACTTCAGATTTTTTTACTGACATTTATAGGTTTTAATGTTACTTAAGATTTAAGATTAGCTGACAAACATTTAAAAGTTTTGAATTGAATCCTTTAACATATGTTACTAAATCATGAATAATAGTAGAGGTAGTGGACTACTTTAACTCGGTAACTGTAATTATTATTCGGTAACTGCCTACTCGGTAACTGCTTATTCGGTAACTGCTTATGCGGTAAATGCTTAATCGGTAATTGCTTATACAGTAGCTGCTTATTCGAAGTGGTAAGATAATAGACGTTTGAACAGGGGTTTTCAATTCTTTCTTGGTAAAATCATTAAATTGTTAGATAATTTTGTTTTAGTTTATAAAAATATTGGTAACAGAATTCAACTATTTTATTTACCTAAGCATTTCTTATATTTAGTTTGAATATTATATTGTTTTTGTTTTATTATTTTAAATATTATACAAAATACCGTGCTAGTTATCTGTGCTTCATAAATCTTCTGAATTATAACATTTATGGCTTTTAAATTTCAAGTAATATACTTGAAAACTTTGTCTTAGGTATTAAATTTTGTTGTCCGAGCATATTTAAGTAATATTTTTTAATACCATTCAATAAAACAATAAAATAATTAAGAAGTGTTCGCTTTTACTACACATTTATGAATATTATTGTAATATACAAAATTCCGGTGTCAGATTATTTGATAAAATGCAATTGTTTACAAAAAATACAAAACACAAAAATAACATTCAGTAAATATATGTATCTTTATAGAGAAAAAAATATTTGTTTATTTTGCTTTAGTCAATATTTACCGCGTGATTTGTAACTTAAACAGCTGAAGAAGTGAGTCAGAAGAAAAGCAAATTTCAATTTTTTATCTAAAAAGATAAAAGTTTGCAAAATGCATTTTGCAATAAAAAATATGATAATATGTTTTATTATAATTTAATGTAATATCGTGAGTTCAGAAATGGCTTGATTCCTTAATTCTTTAGAGATACGAATATAGTATCGCAAACTCAATGATGATTTATCCGTATATAGCCATCTCTTGTTAAAATTTATCATGTTATATTTACTATCTACGTTTCCTAACGCCTAGTTATTATATTAAATTCTGTTTAATGTGTTAGTGCAGAAAAATATGAGAAGTATTTCTCGAAGAGCTTACATCATTCCGATGCGTTCTAAGTTTACAGTATTCAGAGTTAAAACTTTACAGAATTCGTAAAATAAGAAGCATTTCCTGTTATTATATAATATTCTTGAAATTTATTTATTTTGACTCATGCAAAATATATTTACTTATCTTATAAAACGGTTCAGTGTCAGCAAAAAAAATTACAGGCCTCTTCTCTTTTTTTCGAATGGAAATTAAGAAGGAAAATATGCAAAAGATACAGATAAACCATACTATCCACATGTCTGATTAATGTGCGAACTTTTGATTTCAAATCTTACACATTCTGCACATAAATCTATTATTCTATTTGTAATAAATTATGTTACACCCAAGTCGTAGACACCTATAGACTTATTTATTCTTAGCACACAAGTCTATTATCAGTAAAGGTTGTTTACCTATCTATTTACTATCAGTAATAACTTATAGGGTGCTTAATAATAAAATTATGTATTCTTAACACATAAGCTTTTTACTTGTTTCTATCATAAGTAATAAGTAACGAGCCAGTAATAAGTAATATATCTTATACTTTCACTACACAAATTTATAATTTTTCTTCCATTAGTGATAACTTACAAGTGACTCAAAGTCATAAAAACGTACGAGCTAAAAACTCTACACTGTCATCACACAAATCTATTAATTTTTTCTTTTATGAGTAAGAAGTTATTAAGGACTTACTATATTTTACACTGTCAGTACACAAATTTATTATATTTCTTCCATTAGTGATTAGTTTCAAGTAGCTCAAAGTCATAAAAACACACGAGTTAAAAACTCTACACTTTAATCATACAAACCTGTTAATTTTTTCTACTAATAATAATAAGTTATTACAGACTAAACATATTAAAAATTTTCAGTACCTAAATTCATTATTTTTCTTCTATCAATGATAAGTTGTAAATGGCTCAAAGTCATAAAAAGTATGAACTGAAAACTCTACACTCTCATTACACAAACTCATTAATTACTCCTATTATGAGTAAGAAGTTATTAGGTACTTCATATACCATTCATTCTCACCACACAAATTTATTATACCTATTTATTCCATTAGTGATAAGTTATAAGGAGCTCAAAGTCATAAAAACGTAAGAGCTGAAATCTCTACACTCTAGAGATTTAATTTTTTCTATTATGAGTAAGAAATTATTAGGGACTTCATATGTATACCTTATATTCTCACCACATAAATTTATAATTTTGATTCCATTAGTGATAAGTTATAAGTGCCTCAAACTCATAGATGCATACGAGCTAAAAAGTCTACACTCTACACATATAAACCTGTATATTTCTTAATTATAAGGTAAAAGTGATTGTGTACTAAACATACCTTACATTTTCATCACACAAGCCTGTTGTTGTTCTTTCGTGATAATTTCTGAATGCCTATGTACTAATAATACCCTACACTCTTTATGTTCGAGCCTGATACTCTTCTTGTGTTAGTGCTAAATTATGAGTCGTTTAAAGTTATTTTAGTACAACTATTTTAGGCAACTAATATTAACGTATCAAATAGCTTTTATAAAATGCTAACTTGCAAAATTTTTTAGTTTATTTATGAAGAATATATGTACGTGATGTATATATATGTAACTTCCGTAGAAATTTATTTGTCGATTTAAAGTTTATCGGCTTCATCAATTGTCTTTAGACTCTTTATGGCAGCCAGTGAATTCGCCAATTAATAAAAACCTTTTGACATATCGCTGATAGCGCCGTTTTTGTCTACACACAAATTGACAAAAGTTTTAATTTATTTATTTAATTTAGTACAAAATTAATTATATTATTAATTGTTAAATAAATTTATTTTTACATATGGTTTTTTCGACTAAATGCCATAAATTCAATAGATGTTCTTGCCACGAGTTCAAGAAGCGTGCGTATTTTGGCGTATCAGATATATAATATTTATATATATATATTTTTTTAATGGTTAAATATAAATCAATATTTACAGAAAATATGAGTAATAACATCACTAAGGCTTAATAATTTTCGACGAGTATTAACTTGAGAGAAGTGAGTTGTTTTTATTAGTAATACTTAATGTAGTGTGAAGCTGTTTATACTACATAAAAGTTCAAAGTTAAATGTATTCGTAGCCATAAAATAAAAAATTTTTAAACAGTTTATCTAATATGTATGTCTGTTCATTGAGATAATTCTCTAGAATTTATTTCAAATTACGTCATTGTTGATATATGCAAAGCTAAACAAATGCGCTTTATTTAAATTTTTTTACTTCTCATAAATAATTAAGTCATGTAATTTCTTTGTGCTATGATATCATTTATAAGAGTTCTTTTCAATTAGAATTTTGATATTTTAAAATTTTCTATTTTTATAATTCTTTTAAGCAATCATTTTATCGCTATTAGATTTTTATATATAATAAATTGTTATTATAGTGTTCAGCGTAATATAGTATTAATATTAATATAATCTGCTACTGCTAGAATTTGTTTATTAACATTTAATTACTCATTGGCCTTAATTGTATCAGTTCAGTGGAGCAATATGAGCATTAATCTTGAGCTTATATAGACTCATGTAGTATAGTATATTTTAAATGAATCATATAGTAACTTTATTAATACTTGAACATAGCAAATTATATTATATTTAAATTTATTTCAAAAAGTTTTAACATTTATAACCATTGGAATATTTTTATATGTAGGTAATGTATGCTTTATAACAAAACTGTATTATAGAAGAATATAATTATTCCATTAATTGTTTACAAGTATTGTTTACTAAAGCTTGAAGTCCCAGCTTTGATTTCTAAGTAAATATATCTTCAAGTTCCCTTTAGAACTTAAGTCAGTTATTAAAAATAGTAATAATCTATTGGTTGTAATAATCTAGTAGTGATAATCTATTTATGAATGTTGAAATGAATTTTCAAAAACGCTGTGAATTAATTAACTCATTTTTAAAACTCTTAAAGTAGCTTTATTTAATCA